AATACGGAACTTGAACTGCGAACTTAAGAATAAAAAACCATTAAGCAGAATGTATAAGATCTGCCATAAAGATTAAAGTAATTGGTACGCATACTTAAGCTATCTGAACTTAAGTAATTTAAATACCGTACTCAGATGATAATCACAGGTAAAAATCTAAGAAAGGCTTAGGTGATCCATTAGAAACTGCGGGGATTAAAATAAGTGATCAACAAAGATTGCAATTTGTAAGCACGAAACATTTTTGATTTGCTGTTTATTGGTCATCAAATGGTCGAGTCTGTAGACCATTTCTTACTGGTTATGGCCGCGAATTAGCATAAAACCAGACGTGAACAGTTAAATAATATGGTTGATGTGTGCTCTTAGGTGTGTGTATGTTGTGCCTGTGTGCAGTTAACTTAAGTGCTGCCTAATGACAACTTTGCTGGCCGCTCGCCATCGTCTTCGTTGTAGTTTATTTTTTTTTTTTTTTTTGAGTTTTTTTATACTTTATTTTTATTTTCCTCTCAACTGGCAAGCCATGCCCATGTTTCACTCATATTGTGACAACGAAATTCATGCTGAAATATTTTTGGTCTGAAACTTGTTTTTCCTCATTTTTCCCCCACCCCTTTGTATTATTTCTTTTTTTAAAGCGCGAATTTATTACAGCGCTTGGTCGCCGCTGCGTCGCCGCGCCATAAATATTTTGTTTACAATATAATTTAATTTATGCAGATTTCTTGTCCGCTCTTTCAGCGGACACGTTTGTGTGCGCCCACAGCAGCGGTCAAAATAATATGGCTTTGAAGGCTCAAATCTTATTAAGTTAAATGTTTACTTCATTAAACACATTCATAACTTTACAGTTCTTACAAAAACTACGAAAAGGCTTAGCAAATGCGTATAGACTCCCAAATGAAGATTAAATCCATCGTTTTGGTTACCAATTTTCTACCTTAATTGTGCTTACATACTTGCATATCAAAAGCAAACGTTACGTTTAATGTGGGCTGGAGTCATTTTTGAGTTAACTGCTAAAAGGCCAACAAGTCGTTAGTCGCTCGTTAGCTGAGTTTCAGTCTTTCTGAATGGTGGTTGCCTTCCTCGTTATTTATTTACTTATTTTTTTTTTTTGCCAGCATCTGCAAAAGTGCCAATGAAGCCCTATTACTTGGTAACCTGTGCCACGCCCACTCGCCTCGCTTTTCATTGATTTTTTCCGTTCGATTTACGGGCGGTGCTGGGTTGATGACGGTGGGTTGGTGGTGCTGGTGGTGCTGGTGCTGGTGGTGGTGTCATCGATGTGTCTCGGTGGTGCTGATGCCTCTGAGGTCAAGCGCTAATGGAAAACCCATAAAGAAATTTGCATACGATTTTCTTATTGAGTTAATTAAAGGCCCATAAAAAACGGCAGCCGTTTAACGATTTTAATTACCATTCACTCGGCCGCACTTGACACCTGTCTGCTGAAAGAGGAGCTTCTGATTAAATGACAGGCTAAGCCGTTCCCAAAGGTTCGGGGAATTTGATGTTTCCCTGGGGGATTCGTTTAGAACGACAGTAACTTTATCTGTTGCAGAGGATTTGCATTTCAGACTTCAGGTCTTTTAACTAATGAAAATGTTTGGAGATAAAGAAAGAGTGAGTTTATTATCGTTATTGGGGCATGTGTTGCTTAGTTGAGAAACTACATACAATAGTGTCTTGATTTTGAATTTGAACATCAGTTTTTCCTGGTTATTTATCCAACAAACTTTGAGAGAAACAAACAAAAATTGGCAGTATTGCAATCGGGGGCAAACTGTGCCATTTACAAACTGCAAGAAAAACAAAAAGTTGGCTAAAAAATAAATACAAAATTTGTTGATTCGAAATTATGAAACCGTGCTGCTGTTGACAATCCACGACGACATCAAATCAACGTCGTCAAAGTCATGTGTTTAGTTTTTATTTTATTTTATTTTTTTTTTTTGTTTCGCTGGCGATTGTCTTTGGCGATCGTGAGATCGGTTTGTGTGTCAAATGTGGAGCTTTGGACCCCGTGCACCGAGAGACTGGCACATGTCTCCGGCTGCATTTGTGTATCAGTTTATTTATTCATGTTCGGCATGGTATCTATATTTCTCAGTTGTTTTTGTTTTTTTGTTATTTTTTCAACCCACTACTACTCACTATGTTTTTGTGTCACTTTTCTTTTGTTTTGCTTTTGTGCTTCGAGTGCAAAGTGGATGAACCTTGTTCCGTTTATTAAAGGCGTGCGTTTAATTCAATCAACTGCAATAAATGTGCATAGATGTGTATACTATATCAGCACTAAGCTATCGCCAATGACTTTTTAATTTTAATGGGACTCCCTGCCCAAGTGCACGTTCACATGAGAGTTTCACCTTTAAAATAACACTCTTTAAAAGGGTGATTAAGAATTATGAATTAACAAAAAATAAGTATGTTAACCTTGGCTTAAAATAGATCAAGAAGTTTGTGTTACTATCTTCATAATGTGACAAGTTTTTTGTTTGTCAATGAGACGTGACTTCAAGATCAAAATCTAAGTAGGTGATAAACGATATGCATATCTATTTTTACCTGGTTAAATTATAATCAATTTAATAGCAGGGTATGTTTAAAGCCAATTTAGGGGAGTTCAATTCTCTATCCTGTGCCTTAGACGTCATCGAAGGCAATCTGAGATAACACTGTGCGACAAAAAAATGTTTGAGTTGATTTTTTCTTATTTTTCACTTCTACTAGTCAAAATAAGAATACAAGTTTTTGGATTTGTTAATATCAATAGCCAATCAGCTTCTACGCACACTCAAAGGTCCCAAAAACGCGTGTTTTTGCATATTTCACAGCCTTATAATACCATATTGGGAAAATATTTTTTCACCGTTATAAGCGTTTTATGCAAGTTCAATATCTATTAATTAAAATATATTAAGCAAATATACCGTTAGGCTTTTATAACAATGCTTTAAAATTTTTTTCTCCCAGCTCTATACTCTGGGCGACTACGTATGGAACTTGTTACGCGAGGATACCTCTGAAAAATCCAAAAAAATCAGAAAAAAATTTCACTTTTAAAAAAAATAATAGTTTATTGGAAGCAAAAAAAAAAATAATATTTTGTGTTAAATATTTTAATAATAATAATTTCATAAAATTTATCATAAAAAAAGAAATCCTATCACTTAGAAGGTGGCATAAATATTTTTGTGCATAACTTATGCCCCTTAACCGAAAACAATCAAAAAAGTAACTCAAACAAACATTTCGTTAAATTTTGTCGCACAGTGTAATCAATCTATTATCTGGGAATTTTGAGGATGTTTGGTCAACAAATCAATCCAAATTCCCCAATAGATTATCAAATCTAAAGTTTAAAGCCTTTTTAAACTTATTAGTGAAGTGTGTTTCTCTCGTTATTTATGACTTAATGCCTTGCACTTCAAATTCAAAGTCGGAAGATCCATAGTTGCTTCTTAGTCACCGATCGTCTTCAGTTTGTTTTTGTTTGGATAGCGCGGTATTCAAGTCAATCATAAACAAAATCGATTGTTAGCCGCAGCTGCGCTAATTTTATTTTCAATGGCTGCGTCAACATTCGATTCCAGATAAAGCAGCCGAGCCGAAAAATATGTCTAAAAAGGCAAACAGAAGGCGAAAGGCTCGTGGCCAGATATTCCAAGAAAATGCCAACCGAATCAACTGACCGATGGACAGACAACTGCAATCTGCGTATTTGTAAACATATTTTATATCTGTGGATAGCCACAGTGGGTTTCAAAACCATAAGATATCAATTTAACTCGAATTCAATCGAGTATAAACCGTAAATAATAATTTATTATATTTGACAGCTGATTCACTTCAATAGTTAACACAAATCGATGAGTTCCAATAATATTGTCAACCATGGCGTATGCGTAATTTTCTTTATTATAGAACTTTTAAGTACATGATAAATAGCGACAAGGCCATTGACTTTTAATCAACAGAAATTGCGTGATATTTATTTAAGTAGTTCTTAAGGAATAAATAAACTAAAACTTATCTATGCGTATACGTAATCTTATTGAGAGTTAATTAACCTTTCGGTGCCCATATTAATTTACATCTTCATGGATTGGCACAAACTGTATACGAATCGCAAACTTGTGATCTTTGATCACAGTAAATGTATCTATCGTTCGTTGAACTGCATGCCATAAAGCGATTTACAACGCTGAAACGCACTGCCTTTGGGTATCTATCGCATATGGCGCAGATTTTATTATCTCTGTATATTCGCTGAACGCTTCTTTAATGGCTGTGCGAATTCCAAAGCAATGATTAATTAACAGTTTGCCAAGGCTTTAATGAAAAACAAAAATACGACCATATACGTACGCAATTGAGGAGCCAGAGTCACATCCACATGGATATAGATATAAAGACAGCGACAGACATGTGCGTATGTTTCAGCAATCAATCCATGGCGATTAGCAATTATCGTTGGAATGCGAAAATGCTGTTGCCTGATATTGAAATTGAGTTTCGCAGACAAACAGAAGGAAGACGACGTTGTCATCGTCATCAGTTGGCGTTTTCGGTTTTGGGCCTTCCATTCGGCGTTTTTTGTTTTGCTTTCATGCCGCACTATGCGAATGCGAATATATAGGTATATATGGCCTCGATAAGATTAGACGCGAGCGGCATTTGGCAACAACAAACAGAGCGCAGACATTCCGCCGCATGTTGCTGCGGTAAAAATTGGTATTTCTGCGACACTCTTGGCCGTCGTAGACATTTGCCCACTTTTACCCAAAATGCACACAGGAAATGCCGTCTAATCTTATCGAATTCCAAGCACTAACTGCCGTGGGAACAGCTTAAGATACATCTTTTGCCGCAGGCATTTGTAAAAACTTATATCACCTATAGCCAATGGCTTGTATTTAAGTAGCTAATTATTACTGTTCTTAACTCGAAGTACCCATAACTTACTTATCTTCCTGGTAATTATATCTTTACAGCTACACAAAGCCACAGACCTTCGAAGATTGTGTGGGCGATGAGTTGCCCATGGGCTGGGAGGAATCGTACGATCCGAATATCGGACCCTACTACATCAATCATCTGGCGCAGAGCACCCAGCTGGAGGATCCCCGCCAGGAGTGGAAGGGTGTCCAGGAGCGGATGCTCAGCGACTATCTGTCGGCGGCGCAGGATCAGTTGGAGAACAAGCGGGAGATGTTCGACGTCAAGCAGCAGCGACTCCTTTGGGCCCAGGAGGAGTACAATCATCTCAAACTGGCAGCCAGTCGAAGCAGTCGTAAGTGTTTTCATTCTTGGATTAAACTAATAGCACAACTAAAAAATTGGCTTAAAAATAAATAGATTAAACAATCTATTAATCAAGATATGTAGCAATTTTTCTTAACGCTTATATTTTCCCGAATTCTTCTTAAGCAATAATCAAAACTTTGACTTTCAAAAGAAGTAAATATTTTTCTTTTTCGTTAACGTTTCTACAGAAATCAATCGGTTTTCTATTAAGTCCGAGAAGTAATAAATCGATAAAGAGCCACTTAACTTGAGCTATTATTGTTTTGAAAGCTAATCCCCCTTTGCAAAAAAGAGTTGAACTTAAATTGAATTTCCTATTTCTTTTTGCAGTGTGCTCTTCCTCCAGTTCGATGAGCCGGCACGATCCGGAACTCCTGAGAGCTGACCTGATGTTGGCGAGGGAGCGAGTGCACCAGCTGAAACAGGAGCTGACCCACATTACCAATGATATTTCCTACACGGAACGCGGCATGAACACGCTGTATTCGGTGGGCGAGAAGATCAATGCCCGGGAAAATGGATGCTACGACATCACCGAGGTGCAGGCGATTCGCGAGGAGATGCTCAAGGTGCACAAGTCGCTGGTCTCCGGCGAGAAGGTGCGCGAGGAGCTGATGCGCAGTCTGGTGCAGATCAAGAACGAGCTGAGTCGTCAGCAGATCAGCGAGGAGAACTCCGACCTGGCCTCGCCCTTCGACCGGGTGTGCGTGGCCAGCCAAACGGATCTGTGCGGATCGTCGGGGGACAACCTGAATGGCGGCGCCCGTTTCGCCGAGATGGCCAAGACCAAGTTGCAGTACGCCGAGTGGCGGAAGCACATCAAGAAGCTGCAGCAGCAGCTGGCCGATCATGTGGAACGCATTGAGCCGGGCCAACTGGAGTCGGACAAGGATCGCATTCTGCTCATCCAGGAGAAGGAGAAGCTGCTGAACGACCTGAACAGCATTTCCCTGAAGTCGCGCAGCGAAGAGGAAAAGCGGGTGATCCAGCAGACGCGCCACAAACTTGAGGAGGACCTCAAGGAGGCCTACGAGGCGAACAACACCTGTGTCGCCAATCGGTTGCGCTTCCACGAGGAGAAGCAGTTGCTGCTGGACAAACTGCAGGAGGCGCTGAAGTCCACCAAGCTCCTGGAGGAGCGTCTCAAGTCCTTCTCCTCGGAGAGCACCTTCTCCATAAGCAGCGGCAGCAGCCTGGGTTCCCTTTCAACCGCCAGCAGCAAGAGTGCATTGAGCTTCACCGACATCTACATCGATCCCTTCGCCGTGGACTCACCCATCGATGTGGTGGATCTGAGGAGAAGATCACAGCGGTTGTTCCAGCAGCACCAGCAGCAGCGATTGCATCCCGTGCATCCTGTTCTCCAGCAGCAACAGCAACAGCAGCAATCCACGGAGGTTACGCTCTCGCCTAGAAGCAGCCTCTCCATGGAAACGCCGCCCGCCTCGCCGATGAGGTACAATCCCGGTGGGGATCAGACGCCGCAGGTCCTCAAGGAGGAGCCCACCTATGCCAATGCCCTGCCCGCCCCGCCTGCCTACACAGCTCCGCCTCCAGTCCCGATTTCGGGGGTGAGGGCACGTCCCTACGATCTGGACTCCACAGTGCTGGACTGCATGATGCTGGAGGCCAAGCTGCAGAAGCTCAACATGGGCACTCCGCTCAACCTGGCCACTGCGCCGCTGTCGCCCATTTCGGAGAAGCCCTCGCTGCTGGATCTGCCGCAGGAGATGCTCAGCCGATCCTCCTCCACCTCCAACACACGATCCGTTTCTGCAGCGGTTAGCAATGAGTCGGTGGCCGGGGATTCCGGCGTCTTTGAGGCGTCGCGTGCCCATCTGCCGCGCAAGGAACTGGCGCAAGTCCAGATTGGCCTCAAGTATCTGAAGCAGGAAGGAGTGCTGGTCGTTTCCCTGGAGCGAGCCAACAATCTGCTGGCTCTTTGGACTGCCTCGGCGGACAATTCACAGGTGTAAGTATAACAAATATATATTTATTTGTTCTTTGCATATTTATATTCATATTTTCCCCACCTTTTAGGTATTTGCGTGCTGCGTTGCTGCCGAATTCGTTGACTTCCATTAGGACCAAGGCTTCGGGTGATTTCCAGAAGCCCGTTTTCAATGACACCTTCGCTGTGCCCATTACACTTGACAAGCTGCTGACCAAGAGCCTGCAGGTGACTGTGGTTACCATGACTGGACAGAAGGAGGAGATTATTGTAAGTATATACTAACCTTATTCATTTATTTATTAATTAATAAAGTTACTAACTTGATTTGTCTTTAATCCAGGGCACTGTGCAAATCAGCATGGCCGAGTTCAACCCAGAAGATTCCACACTCAAGTGGTACAACGTGCTCAGCTCCAAGTTCATTCCGAGCTTTGAGTCCCTGGACATTCCCTCCACCAGCGCAGCTGCAGCAGCAGCAGCCGCAGCAGCCGCAGTTGCAACCAACAATGCCACAGCGGGTGGCAACAACCGGGAGGAATCTTCGGACGAGTCCACCATTACCTCCTCCCAGACTTCAACACTTACGAGAAACCAAGCGCACTGCATGGAACTCCAGGAGCAAATCGCCGCCGAGCTGTTGGAATTGGGACCGCTCAATGAGCCGGAGTGCAGCGACGACGATGATGATGATGAAGAGGAGGAGTTGGATGACAAGCAGCTCATCAACGATGCTGGCCTATCGAACTGTAGGTTTCACAGATTTTATATGCAGAAATATTTACTAAAATGTTTTATTTCAATACACAGCAAGTGGAATGCTAGACGCCTACCTGCAGAACATGAAGCAGGAGTTTGCCGACAAGGAGACGAACACTGATCGCGCCTTCCTGCCGGAGAAATCTCGCGGGCAATCGCAGCTGATGGACGACAGGCCCGTGAAGCGATCACAGACCTTCACTCCATCGGCGGCCGTTAGCAAGAATCGCTATAATTGCCGACTCAACCGCAGCGACTCCGATTCCGCGATGCACTGCGGCGTGGCGCCACACACCTTCCAACGAGGAGCCGCCGAGCGGAGATCACTGCGCTTCCACACCAAGGCGCCCAAGTCAGTCACAAGTGAGTACTAGAAATGATTTCAATGCTATATATGATCATATTATAATTGCCCTTTTTCTCCTTTTGAAGAACTGCATCATACTCACATACCGCGCACCAGTCTGGATTTGGAGCTGGATCTGCAGGCTCAGCACAGCAAGCTATACTTCCTTAACGATCAAATCGCTAAGCTGCAAAACCTCAAAGAAGTGTAAGTTATTAATAATAAACCACATAATAATTACAATATATTAACTATTTATAATTATTCAACAGCTTGCAGAAGGCCTGCGAAAACAAGGATCCCTTGGTGGCCGCCTGGGCCATCGAAAACGAGGAATTCCAGCGCCTGGTGGCTCGTGCCGATCCTGCCAAATGCCCCGAAGAGCGCCAGCTGCAGAAGCTGCTGATGAAGACAGCCAAAGAGATCCACAAACTAAGGAAGACCAAGGTGCCCAAGGGTTGTCCCGATTTGGTGTCGTTCAAGTAAGTGATATCTTTCGGATTTAACCTATAGAAAAGCGGTATTAATTTAAAACTTTAACAGGGAGAAGATCACCTTCTTCACACGCAAGGGACTTTCGGTGCCCGAGCTGCCCAGTGAATTCACCTTGCCGGAGGCAAGGTGGCCCATCGAAGAGGAGGAGGAGGAGGAGGAAGAGGACGAGGATGAGTTCTACAATTCGGCTGAGACGGCAATCGCCATCAACACGGCGCTGGTGGCCAGCAGCAACAGAAACAAGAATCTCAGTGAGCACCATCATCGAGCGGCCAGCGGGGCTGTACCCAAGGTGCCAGCACCTGTGGCCGCTCCTGCTGCTGCTTCTGCAGCCACTCCTGCTGCAGCTCCTGCTGCCACTCCTGCAGCCACTCCTGCATCTACTCCTGCTGCCACTCCTGCGGCTACTCCAGCTGCCAATGCTGAGGCCAAACCAGCGGCAGCAGCTTCAGTTCCAGTTCCAGCAACCGCCGATGGCGAGCAACAACGCTTCGATTACGTCGTGGACCGCAACTACGGCGTGGAGGTGTAGCCCCTTCCACAACTACTCCCCATCTTCGCTGTACATTTTTGTAATTAATGTAGTATTTATTTTCACTAAGCAACAAGTATTTATGTGTATAAACAACTGATGTAACAAATATCTGTGCCTTATAGAGAACGTGAGAGGAACGTGAGACGAGAACCATGCTAGAAATGATATATCTACGCATAGCTATGCATTAGATTTAAGCCCTATATTGTAATTAGATAAGCCTAACTCCACCCATAGTCAGTTGTACAAATTGACCCCCACTGATGACCATATAAGAGCAACTAAGAGATACAAACCACCAGCCCGCCCCCAAAACAATTTGCCCATCCCCCAAAACACACACAAAACAAAAAAATCACTGAAAATCAAACAATAACGCACACATTGTGCGTTCAATGCCTTCAACTTCATATTGAAACCAACTGTATTCTTAAGACTTGAGCAAAATTATACGAATGTTTATGAATATTTTTATACGCATCTAGGAATAGTTTTACCACTTTGATAACCCCGATATACACAAAACGTGAAATATTTATTGATGGATCGATCGATGTAGCGCTCGAATCCAATCGGTTAGGTTTAGTTAGCTTGCGTTTTTGTTAAGCTCAAAACGAATTCTTACATTGTAATTTTTTTTATAAAAAAATCCTATGCAAAAAAACAAACCACACAAAAAAAGTGAATGTACCATATTAGATAATCGTCACTATGTTAACTATAAGAGCGCCCTTAACCCCCCGACAATGCCAACCATTGAAAAGCGCAAAAACAAAAAATGTGAAAAAAAAGAAACTATGAAATGAAACCTTGTTATGCTTCCCCAAGCGAACCTGTTAAAACTGTTGACTTTGAAACTTTGCCGTGGCGCACTGAGTTCGTATGAAATAAAATGAAATTACCCACAGCTCTAGTTTAGTTTAGGTTTTGCACGTGCGGTTTCCAGGCTCTGTGCAAACTTTGCTGTTGTTTATGTTTTCACTAACCAGACCCACACGATCCCAGCCCCTTCCGAACCCAAAAAAAACTAGAGAGTAGTACGCATAAACTGAACGAGGAGAGTCCCCACGCATATTTTTTCTATACCGTAGTAGTTTTAGTTGTAATAAATTATATGAAAGTGAACCTGTATATTGTAATTGTGCAATAAACAAACAAAAAAATACTGACATAACTGAATCGATTGTGTTTTTACATTTGGATGTGAAGTTCATTTTGAGCAAAATAAAAACATTGTTCTCATAATATTATGCTGAGAGGTGGACTATAAGTATCTGATTTGGTGCCTAAACGTAGTTTGAATTTCGATAAATTTCGATTAGATTTGCGCGGTTTATGTTGGTCGAAAACGATAAAATACCAAACAAATAGTGTCATCCTTAATCGAGCGGTCGCACGCGTGTTTTGTTTATAACTTGAAATTGTTAAATATTAATAATACAAAAATGGAGGAGGTCCTTGACGTTATGCAGCTGGAGCACATGCAGTGTGATGTTTGCGGGGAGAAGACATTCCAAGAGCGGGAGGGCTTCTACTACTGTGTGGAGTGTGGCACCCAAAAAGACCAAATCCGCGCGGTGGACATCACCGCCGACGAGAACTTCAATGAGACCACTGCGGGGAGACACGCCTCCAGGACAATCCGTCAGCCAAAGGGGGCGGGAAAGACGGAAGACGATGAGATCACCTCGTGGGAGTTCTATAACTACATTCTGCGTGGTTTTCTGCAGGAGTTACTGAACATGGGCGCAAAGCCGGAGCTTAAGCTGATGACCCTGCAGGTGTGGGCTGCCTACATGGGTCGCATGGAGGTGGCCTTTTGCCGAAACAACGCTCTGGGATTGCCCAAGCTGAATGTACGGGCGCTGGTAAGGTGGGTTTAAATCAGACATGATTCCTTATGATTCTAGTATCCATATCACAGCTTTTAGTTATACAAACTTCTTTTTTCAGAGATGCTCGCATCATTTACAACCACAAGCGCACAAAGCTGAAAAGGGGCAGAAAAGGCACAGTTGGTGATCCCAATGACGAGCGCACCAAATTCAGATTGTGGAACAAGACCAAGGTACTTAAATGCTCAGATGATTGATTTTATTGAACTAGGAAAAATAGAATTGATTGGGGAACAGCAAGGGCAGCAGCAGTACGAATGTACGTTGATAAGGATTACTTGTTGCTTCCTGTGAAGTCTCCTCAACTGGCTCAGAAGCTGGAAATGGTGTTGTTAAGAAACTATCTAAACCAAACCAGTAAAATACTCACTCTCGATGGCCTCGGGAGCTCCTGGCGCAGGCTGCGCATAAACCACGGCCAGGATGGCCAAGCAAATCAGAACCAGACGCAGAGACATATTTGTGGCAAGTTAAACTGCTGAACTGATTTCCAGTTGCTCGTTATGGTCTTTTATAGCTCAGAACAATGCACGAACTTCAAATGTAAATTGCATAATTACCCTATTCATTAGTGGCAATCCATCTCAATTCTTATCTCCATAGCAACTCTAAAACCTTGCAATGTTTCGGTTTTTTTCAGCGTAATCTCGACGCCTCCGGCTACAACAAAAAGGAAGGACCTTCGGAATCCGAGGGAGAGCAGAGTCTCCGCCTTCAGTGGTCCGTGAATGCCCGCAAGTCCCTGAAACGCCAGATGCCGCTGAAGCACCTGGATAAGCACAGCAAAGACAGCAAGGGGAGCTTGTCGTGCCACGGCTTGAGACCCAAGGCCAAGGACCTGCACCACTTCGACCGCCACATGTTTTGCCTGAACTTCAACAAGTTGTACATAGTGCTGGCTATTGCCCTCAACATGGTGGAGGACGACATACAGCTGACGGACCTGATGCGATTCATCGATGAGGAGCACCTGTCCAAGCGAAGTATGCTCAGCTATCTCCCCGAAAATGTGGCCTCCAAGAGCAAGACACTTATAAAGGAGATGGAGTTTGGCAACCATAAGGACAAATGTACCTACAAGGTGCGTTAAGATTCTTTTTTGTACTGTAAATGTTTTACCCTGAAATTCGTTTTTAGCGTTTACGTCCTCATGTGGGTTACATGTCGCGATTCATAAACCTGACTGATTTCCAAACACCGAACCTGCACGCTCTGGCTGAACGCTATATCCTGGAGTTGGCCTTGCCTCCTCGTCTACTTAAGTACGTGGGTAGCCTCATCGATCTGTACCCTCCCAAGTTCATCAACCACATGGGCGCATACACGTATCCCCACTTCGAAGCCAGGGTTATGGCCTACATTGTCTATGCTATGAAGTTGCTCTTCGGTCTGGACGATGTCAAGGAGCAAAAGATATCTGAATCGGCGGCAAAGATCAACAAACAACTGTTGGATCTTGGAGGTGATGAAGCGCCCACGCTTTTTGTCTTCGACGAATGGATGAAGTTTGTGGAAATTCGGAAAGTGATTGTCTCACATTACAACCAAAGCTTTGCCCGTCGCTTCGGAGTGGCCACGCAAATTGGCCGCCAGGTGGATGACATCCTGGCCAAGGAGCGCAAAGAGAAGGAGCAGGGATATGGCTACGATGAGGTGGAGGGAACGGCGGCGTCGCGGCGCCAGCACGAAAACCTAACCCACATCATTGAAACATTGCTCAAGGAACACTTCGGCCAGTCCAGTCAGGAAATGTTGGACCTGGATCGCATTGAATTCCAGCCCAGCTTGACTCCAGCTCACTCCTACTTTAAGAGAATCCTGCTCCAATCCTCGCGAGCTGATGGAGCGCAGATGGCCTCGAAGATTCCTGACTGTATGCACATTGATCACAGGCAACGAGACCTCGATCCCTTTATTATGGAGACCGAAAAGCTATCTGATTATTTATCCCAACACGGCCTTAAACTTCGAGTGGAGGAGATCGCTTGCCAGGAAATTCAGGAAGTGGGCATATTCCGTCCACTCGAACATATGAACGGTAAAGGAGTTCGGGAATTTTGGGCAAACACTGACATCAAAACCGAAACATGGCTCGCCGAACTGAAGAGAAAGGAGAAACGGCCAGACTTCCGATTCTTTTATCCCACTGGAACCTATGGCCCTCGCTATTTGAAGAGTATAACAGCACGTCACGGAAGGCGTGAACAACTAGAGCTTAACAATCCCTATTGGGAGATGATCGAGACGCCCAGCTACATTCTTAAAGTGGACGATAAGGAGGTGCCTCTCGATAGCTTGAGCTCCCTGCAAACCTTCGAGGAGGGGAGCATGGAGCCATTAAAGGTTCCACTGGATTTGCCGCGTCGTCATCTGGAACGAAAGCAGAATACCGAGGAGACTGACAAGGAAACTGATTCCGATGGAAGGTCAGAAGTTCCAACTGAAGAGCCGGTAAACGATAACGACCTACTGCTCCACGTCTCGAACTTTGACTGCTGGCTCCTGCACGGCTACACAGCCAGGATTCGTGAGTGCGACAAGCGGGAGTTGCGCCAGCTGTTTTCCTGCTCGTTTCGCTGGCTCTTGGAGACCTGTTCCGCAACTATCGGCGTTGGCTGGCACGTGGTCTACGAGCAGCTGCTTGTCCTGGAGGTGATGTTCCACCACAGCATCCGGGACTGGAGCAACCACAAGGAACTTCTGTGCATTCAACACACTAATCAGAAGAAGGACATTCGAACGCTGGCCAGGACGTACAAGGAATTTTGGTAGAATGTCAACCTGTAACCAGACCAAAACCAAATTACAAATCCAGACCTCAAATTTACATGATAGCACAAAGTAAAAAGTAAATAAATGTAGTTTGATACGAAAAGGAGGTGGTATTGTGGTATTTAATTTGCAGGGGTTATCATAATTTCAGTCAGAAGGCGTGGTATGTACCTAAAATAGTCCCAATTACATTTAAATCAGCCAAACGTATTTTGAAGTACCAGGCGAACAGAAAGCTATAGAAGGGTTCTACTCTTCGAATTTATAACTCGTTCCCAAAAGTATGTTACACTTTTTTATGAAAAATTACCACGACTAAAACTCCCATCTAATGAATTCGGTTGGCCTGGTACTTGAAATAAAAGATTTCCAATTGGTCTCGTCAAATTCGATTCCTCTTAAGATTTTCCAATTGTGTCACATATATAATACATATGATACAATTGTATAACTATTTCCTAAGCTTATACTGCTAATTTTGAGACAATCCATGTCTTGTGAGTCTTAAATGTGAGTCTAGTCAATTAACTATTGTTAAATTTAGAACCCAACGTTGTGCGTTGTTTAGCCTTTATGCATTTTGTTCGACATATTTAATGACTGAAAAGGTATATAACTTCGAGTCACCGAAGCTAGGCAGAATAACAATTTTAAGGGACACCTTTAGTAATCTTTCTATTCGTCCAGCTATCTGTTACTTAACAATCTTAAAAAAATAAACACGTCACACCCACTGCAAAAGTAACCTACACACTTATTTTTGTATTTGTTCTCTATAGTGTGTAACACTCATCAAAAGTTCTAAATGTATAATGTACGGAACCTGTTTCTGTTCAAAGTCATCGGATAAATTGATTTAGATATTTACCCATGTCCACCTGTCTGTTTCGAAACCATTTGTCTAAAACCCTTCCGATAATTGTTTATAACTGACTCGGACTTTGCAAGTTCAAGAATCAAGAACGGACGATCGGTACACATTATGGGGATTTTTTAAATAATGAAGTACGACATAAACGATTATCGGAAATAGTTCATATGAGATGAAGCCTTAAGCGGCCAATTTATTTTAAATAAAAATCTAGTACATAGTGGTCTTCTAACGATGTATTAAATAGCACTGCTATTTTCATGGCCGCGACTATATGTGTGAAGGCACATTAACATCAATATCAATAGGCAAATTAGCGTTTATCAGAACAACAACAATCACATTAGCAGCAACAATGCGTGTCGCGGTTTTGTTTACAAAAATCTTCTTCAAAAGAGAGCGCCGGCCCCACGGTCATCGCTAACCAGAGAGAAAAGAGAAAAAAAGAGCGGGAGAGCAGTTGGGGAAACAGTGCAGCCAATATTATGAAAAACAAAACTATTAAAAAATGAAACTAATGAATAAATTACTTATTTATCACATAACTAAAAAATTTTATTAAATAACTTGTTACGCTGTTAGGCACTATTATTTTGTAAAAAAAAGGAATTTATAAAAGTGATATATCTGTGCTCCTATTGTACACTATTACATCAAGAAGTTTTTATAGGATATATTTTTGTATTTTTTTAAAACACAAAATAATCTTTTAGAGAACTTATTCTTTTTTCAAAATTTTTAATAGGTATTTAGCTATATGAAGCACGAAAAGCCCTCATCTCTGTTGGGGAGCAGTGAGAGTGGGCAAAGAAATCATAGGCGCGCATTCGCACGGCGCGTTTCAGTGCTAATTTTAACGTCGCCGCGTTGACTGTTTCGCCTTATTGCGGTTTCCTTATTTTTCACTTTTCCACTTGCTGCGAGCACTGAATTCAATTTAAATTAGTTTACATTGTGCCTTTGTACGCCTTTTGCCCGTCCAGTGTGATAACAACAAACAAAAGCCAACCGAAGTGCCGAAGAAGTGCAGTAAAATCGGATGTGCAGACAGGAATTTTAACCGTTGCAAATCAAGAAACTAAAAAAAAAACGATCTCTAAGCGAGGAAAATGAACAGCAAATAAAAATAAAAATCAGAATCGAAATTTAAAAATAGCCGAGTGCATGGCAAATTATGAGATATCTGAAGACGGTCAATTAAAATAAAAAATCGTGTTGGCTGTGATTTTATTTGGATTTCTTCTAGTCTAGCTGCTTTTGCTGGTGAGTTTGGTTTTTGTTTTCGAACATTTTTATTAATATGCGCGCGTGTGGTTTCCATTCTAATGTTACGGATAAGGAAAGACAGCTGTTTCAATACCGCCGAAAATAATGCTGAAAATGTTAAGAGTTTGGCTAACTAGTTACGTCAACCTTTTGCGGGGGCGTCGGCGATCCGATTCTCCAGTTTCTCTAGCCAAACCCCCGATCTGACCCCCTTTAGAGGGGTTCCAAGTCCCACTTGTTGACGTTCTTGGCGGTTTTTGAGGTTAACAACATTTTCAGGCCGCTTTGTTTCGCTGTGAGCCAAACAATAAACAACTATTGACTCGCACTGGCCATGTTTAGCAAGCCGATTTACAAACAATTAATAGCTACTATTTTGTCACTTGCTCACTTTTATGCCAAAATATTTGCCTAAGCTGTTCGCATTAGCAAATCGAACAAATTGCCGAGAATCGAAAAAAACAACATAGCACGCGCATTTATCTTGATTTCAAATCCATGTGACTGTATCATTATTTGTGGGCTTATAATTTGTTTTTCCAACTGGAGTCGGCCACCTCCAAGTTGGTCCTGTATTTTCTCGATGCTTTATAAACACAGTGAAACCTCTATAATGTAAAAATTTAAAGAAACAAGTTAAAAGGTTTTTTTCCAAAAAGAAAATGTGAATTAGTTTAAAGACTGTCAAATAAGCTTTCATATTAAGTTGCACGTAAACTTTCCGAAAAATTCTGTCTTCCAAGTGTTTGCCTTTGTCCTAACGTCCACTGTATATTAGGAATATGAGAATGGTGTTTGTCAAATGCTAATTAGTTTCATTATATCTGGCAGTCACGAGTGGAGTGAGGAGGCTGAGAGGCCGTGAAGTATATTAATTGGATGAGCCGAAACAGTTTGATAAGCACAATATTACTTGCCACAGATACAACCGGACATATGGTAGCAATCACGTCCGCCCGTCGAACTGTTTATCTACCCCCCCTCTCACGATAACAACAACAAAAGTAACGAACAGAACAGAAAACCGAAAAAAAATACCGCTGTCCTGCGTGCCGCCAATGGATGTCAAACCGAACAGACAGTTTGATGGACATTTTATAGACAGTTTGGCAAACGGGAGCGTATGAAATGCTAAATATAAACAATCCTAGGTATAACTATGTACGCCCTCCCCCAGTTTCTCCATTCCTCCACATTAAAGGCAAATTAGGCAAGCCAGACGAGAAGGCTTGACAGATCCAAAAATAATCAAAGCCGCAAAGATTTGGCAGGCAAATTGCGTCTACCTGGTCGGACTTTGGATGATGAGTGTGCCACGAATCGGAACGGCAAAAGGTGTCTCGTGTTATTTATAAATCTGTCCTTTTCCCAAAAAAAAAAGGAATCCCTGTGATACTTTTTGAATGGCTTTACTGGGGTTAGATAACAATTTAAATTTTTACAACTTTCCTATTTTTAAGTTGTAGGTAGTTGTTTGTGCTTTAAATAAAGGATTTGCCTTCAGCGTAAACATTTCACCTTCGCTTGCTATGATGTATGAACAATACTAATAAATAAAATCGTACACATTTAAAAAAAATCGTTTATAAATTTATTTTTGAGTTCCTTTTCCCGTTTCCGCTGCCTGTCTTTGTCATTTCCCGAACAACAGAACCAACAACTAAATCTCGACATGATTGTTTTCTTGAAAAACGCGCTATTTGTTTGTTATTGTTTTGGTTTTGTTGCTGTTTCTGATGCGATTCGGGGGAAAAGAAAAGCTGGCGCTTGTCTCTGCATCTATTCACATGCCACATACTTTTAATAGACCTTTCATTTCATTTGTTTATTTTCGTATCTCTAGTGTTCTGGCAGTTTATTTTTAAGCTTCAGTGACACCCATAAAAGGACAGTAAAAACGGGTTATAATAATATAATTTAAAAAAATTTAATTTCGAAAAATTCCATTTGGTTTTCGTCACATTTCAAAGAACAAAAGTAAAGAGAAATACATATTATTCTATACATAAAGGATCGATAGTAGATTGTGTTTTTTGATTATTTCGTATATATTTCATTATGTTCAACATGGCGTATACTTTATTTGTGACATAGCCTTGATATAGAGGGTTCCGAATAGTTTTTCTTGGCACATCTCGTAGTTTTTGTCACCTGGTACCCACTGTATTTCCCAGACCGAAGAAACGGAAAGATTTTTAATACGCGATTGGCTGGCGCACTCACGTTTCCACGGCTACGCGAGACATTGTAGACGCAGCCCATTAATTGGATTACAATTCTTCGCATTTTCCCTATGCGGTTTTCTTTTGATTTGTTGTTCCGCACGTTGATTTCTGCTTCATTCTTCTTGGCCATTAGTCATGCATATGTTGCGGCTCTTCAACTTGTTGCGTACGTCCGATTTTGCATATCCCACACCTCGCCCTCCCCCTCTATAAAAAATACACACATATATATATATCTACACATATCCCTCCTTTAATGAACGTGGTGGAATTTCGCCTTCATATTGTAACTGTATATCCGTGTTGCGAAAATGTGCGAAATAAATCGTACACAAAAACACATGACATATTTATAAACAGACGAGGACAACAAAATATGACTGGGCATTTCGATATTTTTTTTAGAATTTTTATTACAATTGGCCATTCCAAGATACAAAGGTAATTTGTTGAACAAAAACGTGCCACACATCATTAAAATGACCTGCCAAACCTTTCAAGCTGTCTTTGAAAATTGATATTACTTATCTTGAAGCTCCATTTATTTTCCTACAAAGTCTAAGTAGTAAACAAACTTTGCGTCATTTGAACAAACACGCCTAAGTTTTTTTTTTGTTGTAATTTTTGTTTGCTTTTTATGAACTTAAAGCTCAAAAGGGAAATTACATTTAAATACAAACATAGAAATCAAATAGCCAATAGCACAAATATTTTCACAACAACATTTTATCAGTTTATTTTTAATACCTTTGGCCTTTAGTTTTTGTTTATTCAATAAATTTAATGATTTTTCAACTGCTTGTTTGGCTTTCTCTTTTGAACGTATTTTTTGGAACTTTATTGGAAGACGTTATCTGTTTTGTTTTTGTGTCGCAAAAAATGCAAAACTATTAATGAGACAACAAAGATTTTATTGTACACATGTCCACGAAAATCCACATTAAATATGTTATTGTCTTTAACAATGTTTTTGTGCACTGCTGAAATTTTCCACTCTGACGTTTCGCGCTGCCTTCAGATACAAGATCAAATATTTAAACTTGGGATTAGCGAAATTGCCTTTTTGTGTAATTGTTAATTGGAACGCCAGCCAGCCTCTTTTCGTTTGGCTATTTATCGGGCGGAAAAAAAGATAACTTCAGAATGTTATTTCGACTGATGATCAATAAAAATACGAGGCCAAATGCGGCGGACACACCTCTTGGCTGACCACAAAAAGGGGAAAAAAACTTTAAAATTTATTAAACACGAAGGCGGCGGAATTTAATTCAAACCAAAAGCAGATGTTTTGTTCTGTTTTGCACGCAGACGTAATTTCTAAAGTAAACAAACGACAGGAGACGATTCATTTGCACAACCCATTTGTTTGGCAAAAGGTGAGATGCAGAGAGGGGCAAGGGGAGGTGTGCGACAGGTGTTAATTGCCCGACAAATTCAAAAACACGCAGCCCGCTCATGCGACTAAGTCGGAGACTCATGCAAACATGCATTATACAACCGGTGTGTGTGCAGCCGAGACGCTAATAGATTCGACCGTTCAATTTGCTTGCAGATCGCCGGATCAGGCCCGTTTTGGCCCCACTCTTCCATCGACTAAAAACCCTAATCCCCAATGGGTCGTTGGGGCCGGCAGAGTCCGGTGCTGGAGCCGCCGGACCCGCAGATGCAGAACACTCCCCCGCCGCCCACGCTCCCGCCGCGAACCTTTATGCGGCAGTCGAGCATCACGAAGATCGGCAACATGCTCAACACGGCCATCAACATCAACGGGGCCAAGAAGCCAACAAGTGAGTGTTAGCTATATTACTCTGCGATTATTATTGAGTGTCTTCATTGGTCGGGAACCTTAAGTAGGTCATGGTTTAAGAAAATTATACTTTTAAATAAGTGTCAAACAACCCCTTATCTTTAAAAATCGATCCATATGCAGTTGTTCCAGATTGATTTTGAATGTCTGGTCGAAATAAAAATATAAGCAAGTATGATTACAAAATATTGGTTTAAATACTTCATATGCGCTTACTCGTATTTAAATTTTCCGCTCGTCGTTAACAGTCGCATCGCTTTTCAACACTAATTCTTTCTTTTTTTTTCGTTTTGCTTATAAGATCCACTTAAAGACCACCTGTTGTTTCACATTTTCATCAAACCTAACTCCCCAATACGATTTGTTTTTAATTATAGATTATTTTTACATTTTCTCTTACCTACCTTATTTTCCTGAATTTGGATGATAAATTAAATGGCCTGGAAGTTATACAAAGACAAAATTTGGCATAGGTAATTTTGAAGTGGAATTTTTACGTAGATTTTAACAAGAACAAGAATTGGTGCGATGTTAGCAAACATAAACAAGAATTGGTAAAACCATTTTTCGATTTCAGTGTTGCCGGTCGTTTTCTTCTTACGTTGCGTTATTTGTTACGTTCGCGTTTTGTTATGTTGACGTTACTTTGCGCCGTAAGGGTCTACGTCTCTCGTAAGCGGTTACGCTCCCGTCTGCAGCCCTGGACTATTTTCCGATTGCGTTCTCTTATTGTAAAGTGCGAAATTTGCAACAAAATTTGTACTTCCATTTTGCGGTGAATTTGTCGCATTCTTTGGTCACAAACAAAGTTAAAACAGCGAGCGGGCGTGCGGGAGTTTTCAACAGCCGTGTAAATAGTAAAAAGTGCGTGCGAAAGGGAAAATCAAGAAGGAATGCCGCTTGTGCAAAAGCCACACTCACCAGCATTCACATTAATATTACGACGCAGCAGTGCAGCAAAAGAGGCGGCATTTTGTTTTTGATTGCGAATATTCGGTAGCAAAAAGGAAGGATTCATATTCATTGGATCACGCGGCGTTTTCCCAGCTGTAAAATAAAAAAGCATCGCAGTTATTTAGTGTTCCCATTTTGAAGGTTAGATTTCGCATATATTTTTTGCTCGGAATTCGCGATAAAACAAAGACGAAGCAAACGGCGCAAACGTGTGTGTCTGCTTGTTGGTGTGCGTGTTTCGTATTTGTTTGGCAAATTGCAATAAATAATAATAATTGTGGATTAACTGGCAAATATCGTCTTTTATCGGTGTGAAGTAATTTTTTGTATTCGCTCACGACCACCGGCTGCACTCGCCCTCTCTCTTTCGCACTCGCACAAAACGCACGCCAAAATTCTGCCGCTGCGCTGCCGACGTTGTCGCAAAAAAATTACAATTTCCCCTACTTTTGCAGTTCTTTCTTCCTCTACGTGCTTAAGTCGTGCTAACAAAAAATATAATTAACAAAGGAAACAAATGCATATACTAGATATACAGCAACAAAAAACCAAAGTGTAAAGGAATAAGTGAAAAAGAGAGAATCAAAAAATCGCGCTCAACTTTGAAACTCCAAATCGTCAGCAACAACAACACCACCCTCGCGAGAAAGAGACGGAGCTAGAGAGCGCGAGCGCAGCTCCTTTGGCCTTCTCCTTTTGTTCTTGTTATTTTTGTTGTCGCTCAGTTTTTTGTTGCTTCTGTGTTGTTGTTGCTGGCTGCTTAAAAATCGACGCAAACTGTTCAACTGTCATGGCCGGTAAGTTTAATTCTCTCCTCTTCTCCTTCGTTATTCTCGCCTCCTTTTGCCCGTCTTCTCTTTGCGTTCGTCGTTCGCTTTTTGTGTGGGAACTGCCAACTTTATTTTATACCCTGGAATTGGCGACTTTTTTGGATCTAATATTTTTTGAAAATCCCTACGATCCTCATATAAACAATACTTTTATGTTTAAGGTATAAATTCAAATAACTGTTTGGGCGTAGAAAGACCCACGCAAACATTTTCCCAAAGCGGTATTGAGGAAAATGCAAGGGTATTTACTTTCTGGCTTTGGCATTTCCTTGTTCTATTTGCGCTATTTCTGATCATTTTGATGTTGGCATTAAATTCACCCAAACGGCCGATAAACAAAATCAGTGAGAAGTAAACAAACTAGTCAAAAGTCTCGAATGCGTTAATCGAAAAACAACTTTTCCCTATCAACTAGCATTGATCTTTGCACTTGAACGAAACGCCGCCAGCGACGTGAACGGAATGCAAAAGTAAAAAATTGACAGGCCCCCGCAGCCCCTTATATTTTTTTTAAGCAAATGCCCGTCCCCGCCCTGCAATTGCATTATCTATTTGAAAAAGCCCCATGGAAGTAAACCACTTTTTAAACGTAAAGCACGATTTGTTACGAAAACAGTTAGCATCCGATAAGAGTTACTACTTAAATAAAATAATCTAAGCCCACAAATCTGACATAAAAAACATTTTTTTTTCCAACTACTGCAGCTCACATTTTGAAATGCGAATTGTAGGACCTTCTGCAAGGGTATAAAATTGATTTCATGCACATGTTTCGATACAGAGATACAGATACAATTGGCATAATTAAATAATAAACAATTGCACAAGTGCTGAGAATGCGGCGTACAAATTGCTTCGGTCAATAGATATAGAACCGTCGGAACTGGATCGTGTTTTTCGCCATGTGCAAATTGAGTTAAAGTCGCAATGGACCAAAGGAAACCCCTACCACCCCCTCGACTTTATTCAATTCCTCTGTTTGTTCCCAGACAACGTGACGTCGCCCAGGTTTCTAGATTTTTTTTCGTCAGTCCATGTGATGTATGCAAAATTATTTGGCAATTTTGTATGCAGTGTCTGCATGACTTTCTGAATAGTGTATCTGCAAGATACGCACAAGTGGGCATGGAAATCTCGTAATGTGCTGCACATGTAGAATTAGTTCAACAAAACAAAGTCGGCAAACAGACATTACATAAGTTTTTGATGTTCTGGCCCGGCACATACGCTTGTCATATGAATAGTAAAGATTTCCAGAGGGTTAAGTAAAGAGGGGGTAGATTGATGTGTGTCTTAGATTAGATTGGATATGGTAATTGGCGAGGGGAACGGCGAGGTGCTATAAACGAACGTTAGGGCTCTTTTGTGCTCAATTTGCAATGCAAACTTAAATTGTTCAAGAAGCCAAACAAGCTGAGATCATAACTAAACAACCAATCAATTATCGATTAGGTCGGACTTATACCATAGAGATTTCTTGGTAGACTTTAACAATACAAGCTAAAATGTAAGGCACCAAAGCGGCTTACCCTCCCAAAATGTCCTGCCCTCATTAATAATCCCTAACCAATATCCTTAATTGCTCAGTGGTTCAGCCATGTATATGAATTATTTCTCTAACGCTTTCCTTTGACAAAACTTATCCAACTGGGCTGCCAAAAAAGGATTTCCCATGCCCCACCCCCTCCTGTTACCTTTGCCCATTTTCACCTTGCCTTCTGTATTTGCCAGTCAATCAGTCCGTTCCGCCATTCTCTAGGTCGTTCAGTTGTTCCTCCCTATAGCGTATATAGACTGAAACCCAGATAGTATAGTAGTAGAAAGGGGATGGAGGGCTAGAGCTTTGGCTTAGCGGCGACATCGCGTGGTTGTGTTAAATAATTGTGTCAATATTTGAGTTTCATTATTTTGTTCCATTTCGCGGGCGCTCATGAAAATCTACTTATCTCTTTATGTACGTTTATATACGATCTAACAAATAAATAAGCGGGCAAAGCAAGTCGAGCGAGAGCAATTTCAGAGCAGTGTTTTTCTCATCTTTTTATTTTAGGAAATTTTCTGCAATTATTCGAGATTTATGTGGGAATAAAATGTGTTGTTGAAAAAGTAGAATACAATAAAAATCTCTGACAGTGATTTGAAGATATGCAAATATTTTTAAAACAATAATAAACATTTCAAATGTTTTGATTACCAGCTTATAATTTTAATTGTAACTTTTGCAACCAATAATTAAAATTATTATGGCACTATTACTAAACTTTTGCTTTCATTTTGTGCATTCACGGCGAGTTCAATGACTCCGAAACTGTAAATGGCTGGGTGCTGCATTTGCGTGGGCGGGTGCGAAACTCACATATCATACGACCTATAAATAGTGGCGAGAAATATCAGCAAAAACGGCTGAGTTATGACTGACTAATTGGGTGACTGCCTTTGATCCTATTATGGTGCAAAGTGCAGGGGATCTCGGTAGCAGCCGAGGCGGATAGTAGGAATAAATATATGTATATACAGATGTATATGCAATTGTTTCGCCTCGTCAATCACATCATGACGTCGTCAATGGCAGCAGGCAACGTCGGGCAGGAAAAAGCCAACAGACTGCCAACAGCCAACAGCGGATAATGAGGTCACAACACATGGGACTGGGCTGGGCAAGGGCTGCGCCAAAGAAATCAAACAAACAAAGCCCAATGAATATTTGGGAATGATGAAAAAAAATGGCCAAAATTCGCACACAGGCACAATAACAAAAAGGCCTATAGGCAGATACAAAACGAAACCGATTACTGTGGGCAAGGCAAACATTTGTACAATTACTTGACTTTTATTTATTATAGCTTCGGAAGTGTCATAAGTGGGAACTATTAGAAATTACGCTGCTGAATTGGTTTCTTAACACAACCTTTTTATATTTCTTAAATCTTTATTGATACCAACAACCTAATTTAGTACATCCCACTGTGTATAAACAGGGACATAGTTTTTCCAAATGGAATGCTCCCATTATGGAATAGCAGTGTAAAAAGTGGGGGTTTGGAGGACAGTAGAAACGTCATCGTTTACACAACGTACCGCAATCGCTAAAAGTGGCTGTGCAGAGCGAATTGGAAAACAAAAAAGGGGGTGTAGGCGGGGGCCTGGTTGTAGACTAAAGGCAGCAAGACAAGGAAACAGAAAGAATATTTGGCCAAGAGCTTAAAGGCTTTAAAGTGTTTCCATGATGGCCCAGTCAAAGAAGACCAGCGGCGGAAGGCCGAGTATGGCGTCATTAGCAAATATTTGGGCAAGCCCAGGATATCGTCGCCGTCATCGTTGTCCTTTCTTTTGCCATCTATTGATTGTGGGCATGTGTGAGTGAGAGATTTTTAAGGAAATCAAACGTTACATTTACTTCCGTGAGCCAGAGCCGCCTGGCTTTTTCAGTTGTCCAATCGAATTGGCAGTCAACGAATCGAACTCAAGCTGGCCGAAGGTGTCAACTCGCATACTCATCATTTGGTCCTGCTCTGTCTTTTCAGGTAATGGAGAGGCGTCCTGGTGCTTCTCACAGATTAAAGGCGCCCTAGACGATGATGTCACGGATGCGGACATCATATCCTGCGTGGAATTCAATCACGATGGCGAGCTGCTGGCCACTGGTGACAAGGGCGGTCGCGTCGTCATCTTTCAGGTGAGTTTAGGTCGTTATATGCGCCTGAATTTTATACTAATGTTGGACTTTTGCAGCGTGATCCTGCCTCAAAAGCCGCCAATCCGCGACGCGGCGAATACAATGTCTATTCGACATTCCAATCGCACGAGCCCGAATTCGATTACCTCAAGTCGCTGGAGATTGAGGAGAAGATCAACAAGATTCGGTGGCTGCAACAGAAGAACCCCGTGCACTTTCTGCTCTCGACCAACGACAAGACGGTCAAGTTGTGGAAGGTCAGTGAGCGCGACAAGTCGTTCGAGGGCTACAACACGAAGGAGGAGAACGGCCTGATCCGGGATCCACAGAATGTGACGGCGCTGCGAGTGCCCTCCGTGAAGCAGATACCGCTGCTGGTGGAGGCCTCACCGCGTCGCACCTTCGCCAATGCACACACCTATCACATCAATTCAATTAGTGTTAATTCGGATCAGGAGACCTTCTTGTCGGCCGACGACCTGCGCATCAATCTCTGGCACCTGGAGGTGGTCAACCAGAGTTACAACATCGTCGACATCAAGCCAACCAATATGGAGGAGCTAACGGAGGTGATCACGGCGGCCGAATTCCATCCGACCGAGTGCAATGTGTTCGTGTACTCGAGCTCCAAGGGCACAATACGATTATGTGATATGCGATCGGCGGCGCTATGCGACCGGCACAGCAAACAGTTCGAGGAGCCCGAGAATCCAACGAATCGCAGTTTCTTCAGCGAAATAATCAGCTCCATCAGCGATGTGAAGCTGAGCAACTCGGGTCGCTACATGATCTCCAGGGATTACTTGAGCATCAAGGTGTGGGATCTGCACATGGAAACGAAGCCCATTGAGACCTATCCGGTTAGTTGCTACAAAAACTATGCTTTGTTGCAGCACAAAATAGTGTATGAACTTTCGAAGAACCAAACAAAATTATCACTTTTTATTTATAGGTCCATGAATACCTGCGCGCCAAGTTGTGCTCGCTGTACGAGAACGACTGCATCTTCGACAAGTTCGAGTGCTGTTGGAACGGCAAGGACAGCTCGATAATGACCGGGAGCTACAACAACTTCTTCCGCGTGTTCGACCGCAACTCGAAAAAGGATGTCACGCTCGAGGCGTCCAGGGACATCATCAAACCGAAGACGGTGCTGAAGCCACGGAAAGTTTGCACTGGCGGCAAACGGAAGAAGGACGAGATCAGCGTGGACTGTCTCGACTTTAACAAGAAGATCCTACACACCGCCTGGCATCCGGAAGAAAATATCATCGCCGTGGCCGCGACCAATAACCTATTCATATTTCAGGATAAATTTTAGCCAACACTCCTCACAAGAACCACACCATACGCCACAATCACACCAGCAACTATAACTACAGAAACACCAACAACTACGAACACGCCTCATTCTAATAAGAACTCAATCGGTTTGTTTCAGAAGCGTTTTCAAATTTCACTCGCAATTCGATTGTTTGCCTAACAACATTACCTCAGGCCACTCCTTATCCACGCCCCTTTTTCCCCTTCCTGTCCCCAAAATCCAAGTTCAACAAGACCTTACATCATACATAATGCCATAGCAAAAGCTTTGTAATGTATTTTTGCGCAGAACGCGTATAACGAGAAACAAAACCAGAAACTTGAGAGAAGGAAACAAATTTTTATACATAACATTTATAAATAGTAAAGCGTAAAGTTGATTTCTTGTAGCGCAATTAAAAAAAAAAAAACACAATAAGAGTAATATTTAATGATACATTTGATTTTCCGAAATTTTTGTATAATTAGCGCCAGCGCCGAAGTATTTGTAATAAAAGATAATAATATACAATATAAAAACCAATCATAAAATGCATATTGTAATATTTTTTCTGTTCGCTTGTTAAGTTTACTATGAAAAGTCAAGAAACAAATGCGCCCTGTTTGCTCTTCTTTATAAACACAGACTTAACACGAATTTCCGATTGTTTATTCGTTCGACAATGTTCATTCCATGCAAAAAAGAGACGATAATCTGCGGAGCTTATCGATCACTATGTCTCATTTTAAGTCTCATCTCTATCGTCAGCAATCGAACAGCCGGAAGTTGTCTCAGTCAAAAACAATTCAAAATGCTCATTTAAAAACTTTAATTCACTAAGAACAGAAGGCAGAAGTCAATGAAGAGGCAGACGCGGAAGAAGTATGAAATAAATGCATTGATAAATATATATACATAAAAAAAGCAGCCTAAGTTTAAAATACAATTTAGTGTTCTCAATTCGTATAATTTAATATCTACCTAAAATGAGAAAAAATACAAACAAAAAGAAAACCACACTATTTTTATACGCTACATTTAAGCTAAGTATTGCTACTTTTAGTTAAACTATGCGTGCGTGCGTCCAAGACCAATTCTCACATATAGTCTGCCTGCCCCTAGGCCCCGCCCCCTTATTCATCGGTCAACGACTTTTCCAGCCTTTTTATTGTTTTTTCGTTTCTTTTGTCCATTGTCATGTTTTCCAGAAGAAACAAAACTGAACCATTTTTATAGGTTATCTAGTGTCTAGTGTTAACAAGAAAAAAAAAACAAATAAAACTAAATACAAACTATAAATGAAAGTAAATTTAAAAACGATGCGCTGAAAATGTTAAACGAAAAACTCTGAAAAATGTACGGCAGCAAGTTCAAAATACTGAAATGTAAACGCATAACTTGATGAAATAAAAACTTAAACAACATAAATTGTGCTTCTTATGAGAATAATAATATATTAATAATATTGTATTTTCAATAAACTAGTTATACGAAGTATAGAGAGTGCAGCGGGAGAGCAGATATAGAAATGAAACTACTAGCCGGATTCCATTCTCACTTTTTTGCCAACCCATAAGAAAAAGCCATTTACAAATATCGAAATTCTGTCAGTCAAGTTAGTTGATGGAATCTGGCTAAAAATTGTTCAAAAAATAAAATTGCAGTGAAAATTGGCTTAACCTGGCGTTAAAATCGCATACAAATTTATCAGAGTTTCAATAAAATTGTTTTGATTGCAAGTTTTAAATTTTCGGTTTAAATCCTCTTACTGAATTTTATTTGCAACGCACATCTTTATTCATAAATCTTTAAACATGCCTTTTTGTAAATAAAAACGCAAACACAAAAGAGAGAACCTAAAACATAAAACATTATTCATTAAATGAAATAAAATCCAAAGCAGTCGAGTAGAGGAACGGTTGCAATTGCTGTTTATATGAAAACGCAAAACAGAACAGATTGCAATTGATTAGTTTTAAAAACATTTATTGAATTGCTATTCAAAATAAAGATCTAATAAAAGCAAACTTAAGGGTAAAGTTTAGTTTTGCAAGCAAGAAAAATGAGAAAAATAAAGGAGATGTGTTTTAGTAGGGGGAGGGGGAAGGTTTTTACACATTGTTTTTTATTGTTTAAAAAAATTGAAAATTTAAAGGCACACCTCGCATATTCCAAATGCAGCAAGTACCGTTATGGGCACTCTTAGCCATTTCAATGCCAGGCACGCATGCGCACGTCCAAAAAGCTACAGAGAAAGAGAGTGGGAGAGCAGTGCTCACTTAACATCGCCAAGAGGTTGGAACTCCGAAAGAAACGCAAACCGAAATAACGGCGGCTTAAAGTCTCAGTTTACTCAGATCGGTTGGACAGTGCGGTTCGTTTTGATTTTGGCTTCGAGGCGAGAGCTAAGCAAAAAGTAAAAAATATAAAAAACGCCGGAACTGCGGCCTAAACCAGTTTTGCCCAAGTGATCACAACAACAATATCTGCGAAAACGCATGCAAGTGACGAAACGACCTTAAGCAAAAGCAAGAAAAGATTAAAAATAAATTACTGGCCTCTCAATTAAAAATATTTTACATATATTTATTTGGAAATCGAAGATCTTCCAGTGACGCAGTGAACCGAGGACAAAGCCCATCATGAAAAATGCTGCGTTGTGAATAAGCTGCAGATAAGAGATTCATTAAAAAATAAACAAATTTCAACGTGGCTCCGAAAGTGGGAGTGGAATAGAACGAGTCCGTGGCAACAAAGGAAATATTTTTCAAAATGACATTGGTCAGCAATGTTCTTTGTCTGCGATTGCAGCGCCAATTATTGGTGGTCGTTGTAACGCTTTTTCTGCTTTTCCCCGCCGCCCGTAAGTTTATCAAAGCAATTAAGCTGCAAACCTAACAACAAAATGAAAAACAAAGCAAAACTGCAAATGAAAGAGAAATTTTTACTGGAGTTACGCTTGAGACGGGGCGAAAACAAATTCACTTTCGTGTAAAACTAGAGAAACTGGTCTAGTCTTTGATTTGATTCGTAGAGCTCCCGCAAGGGGGCGCCACCTGGCCCAGTGGCAGTAAATCAGAAGTCAAATTGCTGGCTTATTAGTCACAGCGAAAAACCCAAACGAGTTCGTTGTCACAGTCTTTCGTTTGCGTTTTGTTTTATTTTTTGTTTTTGCCGGTTCACCAGTTTTCTTACCAACTTCTTATCTAATCAGTGGCCGAGGGCGAAGATGAGGATGGTCCATACCGTGGGAAATACCTGGGGAAGCTCAACTCCTACCATCATCAGGTCTCTGGCGATGTGTATGCCGTAAATGAGTACACATTCCTGATTGTGGGCTTTAACTACGACGGCAACGGGGCGGATACGTTCTTTTGGTCGGGCGCCAGCAATCGTCCGGGACCTCAGGGTTTTATTGTGCCCGATGAGTATGGCAAGTAAGTATTTAGGGATCTAATTTGCAAAGATTTAACAGTAGAAATCTAAAATTGTTCACCGTAGAACCAATATCCTGGATCGCTACCACAACAAAGACTTCACACTGACGCTCCCGGATCGGAAGAAGATAACGGAAATCAAGTGGTTGGCGGTTTACGATCTGAGCAGTCAGAACAATTTCGGGGACGTTTACATTCCCGAAGAGTTTGAACCACCAATGGCCCAGTTGGGCGGTACTTTCTCAAAGCGTAGTCACAATGTAAGCAGCACTAGCATGGAAATCCTGGACTCGAAAACCATTCGTATAAAGGACTTTACCTACGATGGCCTGGGAAAGCGCACCTTTTTCTGGATGGGAGTGGGAGCTCAACCTTCGAGTAAAGGAAGCAAATTGCCTGACGAGAGAGGATAGTAAGTTTTTAAGATATGTGATTGTAGTGACTACATACTATAACCATGTTAAAAATCTCTTTCAGTCTCGATCCGATTAGAAAGTATAACAAGGAGACCATTGAGCTGGAACTGCCGGGAGACAAGACCATCTTCGACATCGATTGGATAAGTGTTTACGATGTGGCTGATAACGAGAACTATGGTCATGTTTTAATTAACGATGGATTGAATGTTCCACCCTCTCTAGTGAAAGTAACGCCCTTTGAGTTCTCGCTTCCCAATTGCCGGCAGCTGCACAAGGATATGCAGGTGTCCTGGGAGGTTTTCGGACCACAGATCACCTTCCAACTTTCCGGTCAAGTGGCTGCCAACGATTACATGTCCTTTGGAATTTCCGGATCGGATGTGTCAAGTCAGATGATTGGCTCCGATGTGGTGGTGGCCTATATAGATGAGATTAGGGGCTACACCGTGGATTACAATATCACTTCGTTGGCGCCCTGTGTTCAGGTTTTGGGCCAAAACAAAGGAGTTTGTCGGGATGATGTGGTTGGAGGATTGGATAGCTTTCAGTTGAATACTTATAGCCGGAAAGATGGCATTAATACAATTAGTTTCAGAAGAACTCTGAAGTCATGTGAGTTAGATCCCTTTTAAATGAAGCTTTCTTTAATGTTGATCATGATTTCTTTTTTTTCAGCTGACGATGGCGATAAGGAAATCTTTCTGGATCGCAGCAACTATGTTGTTTGGGCCTTTGGCCAGCTGGATTCGAACAACGAACCCGCCTTCCATACTTACTATCCCAAAAGTGATATAATAATAGATTTCAATACCACGGATCCGGTCAACGATTGCTTTGCCTTTACCAAGAAAATGGAGATGCCGACGACTCAATTGTGGGAGCGAACCAGGATTGCAGATCCGTAAGAACCATATAAATTCTTATGTAGATGATTATTATTATTATTATTAACTTCACAGAACTGTTCGCACATTCACTGCCTATTTGGGACCCTCGGGAGGACTTCGTGGCTATCAGGGATTGACCGGACATGTCTCAAGCGGTTTGTCCTGGTACATCAATGGCTATATGATCCCAGAACTTTACCTTAAACGTGGACTGACCTACACTTTCAAAGTGCGAGGTGGTAACAATCCCCATTCGCCGGAACACTACCATCCTTTGGTGATCACCGATGATCCTCAGGGAGGCTACGATCGTCTATCGGATGCCAAACAGAGTGAGATTCGTGTGTTGGCTGGAGTGGAGTTCACCAGGAGGGGCAGGCCAAAGCCCACGGCTGCAGGTCCTCTTTGTCTATCCAGATATCCTCCGAACTACGATCGCCGGCTGGATGATAACTTCCCCTCTTTCAAAAAATTCAATCGATCGCTGATTACTGAATGCGTGGACGAGGCACCGGCATTGTTGGAAATCACACCGAACATCACTTGGCCGGATACCGTTTACTATAACTCCTTCACCCACGGAAATATGGGCTGGAAAATTCACATAGTGGACAGCTACACCAACTTGAAAAGTGGAGCGAAGGCTTTAACCTGGTCCTTGTGCGTAATTCTGCTGCCTTGGCTGATAATCCAGTACTGACTGTTTTCTCACTCTTAGATTCTCCTATTTAGTGTCTTAGTCTAAGTTAAGCAGTCACAATCTTGTATGTATTTAATACGCGTCTCTAGAATGTATGCTCATGTTGTGTATATAATTATTTAAATCGTCTTTAAATACAGAACTGTGTTGTACTTTAGAATGAAAGAGCATTCCCTAGTTTTGCAATGATTCAAATTTATTTGAGTTTCTTAGTTTGGTTCTTGTAGAATCATGGCAGCTTGCGCAGATCTAGCCACCAATGCATTTAAGATTCGGGCTCAGGATCTTCCTTCTTGCGGGGCACTGGCTTTCCGTCGACCCATGGAGTGAACCTCACATGGCTCACATTTCGTCTGGCGGCAGCTGCACGCAACTCCGCTCGAAGTGCTTCACGAACAACGCGGGCCGCAATGTTAGAAAATTGGATATAGGAAATTCCCACATCCCTCCAGTACTTCATTGTATCGGATTCTTCTTTTTCTTTAAAATGATTAAGATGATTTCAGCAGTGAAAGCACGAGCTAGAAAAATAAAACTCATTAGTTTAATGGGGTAAAAGAATTTTCAGACTGCACTTGAAGGGCTTTACCTGGTTTGTAACCTGGAATCTGTATTCTATGAAAGACTCTTCTCCTAAAGAGATAACTTCTATCAGTAAAGATTATGCTTTAGTTAGGTTTAGGTCCAACTCCAATATATCCGGAAACTTCTTCCTTGAAGCACGATTTTTGGAATGACAGAGCGCGTTTCCGCTTTTCGATATTTTTATTTTGAGCCAGGGACACAAAATTTAAATCCCTATCGCTTAGATATTCAAAACTTAATCGATATAACTATTTAAAGTTTGGTACTGGTACTTGAACCTGTTCCCTGGGGAAACAACAATAAAGACATGTAAACTACTTTACAACTTAAGTAACAGGACACCAAATTCTAACAAAAATGTGGTTTAAATATATGTAGTTGGTATATTGGTAGAATTATGTTTGTACTGTTTCCAGTCCCATAGTCCCGTAATAAAGGCGCGGTTAGTTACGTTTTACCGGCACTTGCACATTCGGCCACACTAATTTTCATATGGAGCAATTGATTTTTCCTACACGCAAGGCTTAAAACTTAACAAAAATGTGCGGTCTTGATGCCAAAAAGATAGCCCAAGCTGAGGCTTTGCTGGAACAGGCTAAAAGTGCCGAAGAGGATGTGGATGAGTATGCCAAAGCCGGTATGTATTATAAGGCTGCAACTGCATACCGACTGGCCAAAAATCCGGATGAGAGCAAGGATTGTTTTTTGAAGGCCATCGAGTGTTACGAGAATAACAAGTCGTGGTTCCATGCTGCCAAATCGTACGAGCAGATAATTCTTTTGGCCAAAGAAAGTGATCGTCTCTCCGAAATTGAGGAATATGCCAATAGGGCCTGTAACCTGTATCAACAGCATGGCTCTCGGGAAGCAGCAGCTGCCGCAATGGATAAAGCCGCCAAGATGACGCAATCCCAATATCCTGAGTTGGCCTTGGGTTTTTATAAACGTGCCTTGGCAGTCGTTCTAATTGGGGATTCAACCCACCAAGCAGCTGAATTTGCTTCGAAAGTCTCGAGAATATTGGTTAAATTAAAGAAATACGAAGAAGCCAGCAAAGCCCTCAAAAAGGAAATAAGTTTAAATTTGCAAACCAAATCTTACGCACAAGTTGGACGATTAGTTGTGGCTTTGGTACTAGTGCTATTGGCACAGGATGACCCCGTGGATGCCAAAAAGTCCTTCAAGAAATGGGGAAATCGCTGTGATCCCCAGGAGGTGGAAACATTGGAGACACTTCTACAAGCTCTAGATGATGAGGACGCAGAACTTGCTGCCAAGATGCTGGCATCCCCATTTATTACACATATGGATTTGGAATACGCACTTTTGGCCAAGAACTTGCCATTGCCAAAAGGTATTATCTTCAAAAAGAAATACGAACAGGATGAAGAAAACTAAGAAATCATTTGCCAATTAAATACGTTTTTTATAAGTAGTGAATCATATTTATTGTTGATCCTCAACTAACTAAAAAGCTTTAAGAATGTACACTGTTAAATATATACAGAAATATAAGGTGTAGGTGATATAAGGCATCAGGGAAATTTACCAAATTTTTTTTAATCTAAAAACTATTTTTTATTATATTTAAAAATATTTAATATATCATATATTAAATTAATTTTACGCAGTCAACTCCTCAAAATATACCATTATATTTGTTGATTAAAATAACATTTAAAATGTGTTTGCCTTAAAGTATGCTTCCATTTTTATAGAATTTATATTTCATTAAAACAAAGACATATCCTAGATCCTAATTTTCTAAATAAACTTTAAAAAGTTATAACAATGTTAAAAAATGTGTTTTTAAATCTTTTGGTACAAGGAAAAGCAAATAATACTAGACTTTGCAGTATGAATTTCAAGTGCCCGATCTCAGCTTACTGTTAAGCTGTAATTGTATTTTAAGTTAACAATCGTCTTACCGGACTTTAGATTATTTGAGGACTCTAACCAAACGGTCACGTATCTCCTCCTGATAAGATATAGTTCAGTCAGTGTGTATAATTAGCCGTTGTCCCATCAATAAATCACCGGACACACGCTTCGATCGCAGCAAATGCGACCAAGTGTCATTTCGCAACGAACAAAGATGATTAAGTGTGACCGAGCAATAAGCGAAATCAAATTGCATGGCCCGCTGTTATTGTAGTTGATTTATTTAGAGTCCATCCAATATCAATTAGCGCTATCAGGCAGCGCAATTGGTCAGTTGACGCTGGCAGTTATTAGAGATTTCTGAATACTATTCGATAATAAATACTTTATTCCCTTGCTTTATGACGGTCTGTATTCTAAGGAATCACACTGACCAAGAGTACTAAAATTGTTTATTCGCCCTGGGGTCTCGTGATAAAATATGCAGAGGCGTAATTCACCGTCTATTTTTGGACACCGCCATAAAGCGATATTGGTCAGTTTGAACCTTAAACGGAAATAAGCGGTGACTTTTATGTTACGCATACGCACCGTTTGCCCACAAAATGATGAATCGAATCGAGTGCTTGTAAAATGTTTCATTTTTATTATGAGTAAACTTTGCACCTAATGAACTTTAGACAAACTGACTAGCTGAATATTTGTTCTGTTCTGCATTACAATTAATGAGTATAAATTGTCTGTTCTGACGTTGCTCTCCTGTGTCGCCGTTTTTTGTTGCTGTTGTATTTTCTTTTTTTTTAAATCAGTAAAAAAATTCGTTGTTTGTAACGATTCTTTGGTATGAGTATGTCATTGGCTGCTGCTCTCTGCTCTCTGGGATTGACCAACTTAAATCTACATCAGGAACTTCTGGCCCGCCAGGATGAGGGTGAAGATCAAGGATACGGATGCAGTGAGTCCTGCTGCCCCCGAACGATCCTCGGGCTGCTCGACCAGAACCACAGCTCGATTGTTCTCGCTCTGGAGCTCCCTGTAGTTGTTGTGCAACTGTTTGCCCGCCGCGGACTCGATCTCCTTGAACTCATTCACCTGATCCAAAGTCACGGGGAAGGTTTCGGTGAGAACGATCCAGGTGACAGCCTCCGCGCAAGAGGGCGTGGTCAGCGAACCGGCGTAGGTGAAGTAGCTCTCCACACTGGGCACCAAATCACCCACAGCAAGGGAATCTGCTACCAGCGCAGGTTGGTTTATGCTGTCATAGCTCTTCACAGCTCCCAAATTCTTGATGATTCTGCCGATGGCCTCATTCGGAGTATTGGAAACGTGGTAGAGAACTCCGATGACCACAATACCATCCTTGAAGTTGGCCGCCATGGTCATGTTGGGGTAAATGGTGTTCCGGTGCACAATGTGCACTTCCAGCGGATAGCGGATTTCGTTGATGGTGTGCTCCGACCACCAGTGCATGTGGACCTGCTCAACCACGAAATCGTTCAGCAGAGCACCACCACTCAAAGTCAATTCGTGATTAAAGCCAGATAGTTGAACTGTTCACAAAGAATGCAATATTTACCAATTGAATTATTTGATATTTCTGGATTGTGTTGTTAACTCACTTGTGTGTCCATTGTTGATCATTTGCAGATTTTTCTGGTACTCGTTATAGTTCTCAAACTTCAGAGCATCGAACTCTCCCTTCAGGGCTCCCTTGGCATGCAGATTGATGGGGCTTTGCTTCTTGCCACTATCGCAAATACCACCCCACTTGGGAAACGCTGTGGAATACACAAATCCATCCATCAATGTCAAAAATGGTATTTATATCAAAAGAACTCTATTGAAATTGATTGAAGTTTCTGCACAAGCCAAATTATTATTTAAATTTCCACGAAAGCCAATTTTTATTTGAAATTTAGTTCCCATAAATCAACATTTATTCAAATGAACGCTTGTTCTGTCAATTAATACTCTAGTTTTAATAAAAACCCTTTTTTTTCCAAGTTGATTTTCGTTTCTGCACAAGCAAAATTTTTATTTAAAATTAAATGCTCGTAAATCAAACTTAAAACATTCGAACGCTGTTCTTCTGTCAATTGAAAACTCTAGGCAGAAGTTCAGTTTCCGCGGAATTGCCCAAGAATCGCCGTTCGAAATTATCATAACTCAGGCTAAATTTGCATACACAACAATTTGGAGCAATTTAACTAAGCCGAAGCTCGGAGCGTGCACACAGATAGAAATTTCCGAGCGAATTCGGATCGCTCTGGTATGCGAAACACTTGACAGTGAGTAGTTTGTGAGCCAGAGTGACCCACTCGCAATGGCGTTGATTAACTAATTTCAGCAAATAAACTCGATTGGCTTTACTTACGCTCATCCTGGTTGTTGTCCAAGTCCGGGTAGCCCCAGTCGCTGGCCCAGCTGAGGGCCATCGAGCAGCAGACTAAAAAGCGAAAGAACCGTGGTTAAATAAGTATGTGTATCAAGTATGCGCCGTGTGGGACCGCGAAATGGGAACGATTTAAATAAACTTCAACTTGACCGACTGACGACTGCGCACACAGAATGTTTCAGGGGCAGCAAAAAAAAAAAACAGTACATTAAAAACTGCACCTCATGATTGCGATAATGATGATGGGCCATAAAAGCAATGCGATGGCTGAATGTTGGACGGACAGAGGGTCAATCTACACATATTTGGCAGCCACAACCGAAGACACGGCACCTTGCACTTGGCTCGGCTAAAAATACGCGGAAATTTATGATTTTAACCACATATATCCGTGGATAAGTGCCAGCTTTTTTGCAGGCGAACATTAATGTTTCATTAACCTGCAAATATCGGGCAGATTTTTTTTACTTTCTCCCCATTCCAGCTGTGCTAAAAGCATTTTGACATCGGCACATCAAAATATCAACTAAATTTAATGCGTGCGGTTTTTTAGATTTTTACGATCCATTTTGATGTTTAAAAACCTATGACCCATCAACATAACTCGCCAGTGCGGTGATCTGTGATCAAATGATCGTGTTTATTAAGCCTTATTCAACATTTATGGGTTAATAAAAAGTCTGCAAACAAGTGTGTGATAATTTATGCTCCTCCTTTAATCTTTCGAATATTTACGCATGCCGCATGGCTTTTTTGCACGTTGGCTTGCAAAAAAGACAAATGACGACCGCAGCTGCGAAAGTAGTGTACTAAATATACCCAAGTATAAATACTATATGCCGTATACGATCGTTTTAATATACTTTTGCCGGGCAACGCGCCGATCAGCTGAGGTTTTTTTTCGTAGTATAATCTTGGGTCGCCCTGTGACGTAAAGATTCGGAGGGAAAGATTTTTGAGTTATGGCATTCCATGATTATAAATAATGTCTGAATGGAATTTCAGTTTTCTAATGATTTTTTAATAATAAGCAGAAGGTACCAGCGCTTCTAATTTGTATTTTATACGTATTGAATTAGTGCCCTATCAAAAGTCATTAAAATTTTTCCTTTAATTAAGAAACGATCACAAGACTTAATTATTTAACGTGGATGCTTTACGTTAAACTTGTGATTGGGTAATGAAATTTCCGTCAGATGCCAAACCAAAAGAAATCATTGATCTTGAACCCTTGCAACAAAACAGTTTTTCAGCGGACATGCAACAAATGTCGGGCAACCATTTAAATAGCTATTAAATTTCCACATGCAAAGCTCGGCCAATTAAATTTGAGAGTCAAAAGCTTTGATAGCTGATAATGGGAAATGTTCTGTAATTTGAGGCCCCCGGGGTGTAAAAATTAACAAAACTGTTTTTGCAAACGGGCAATGCAAATGGGGGATAATCATGTGAAAAATCGCGCAAAATAAACAGCTGCAGTTGGAAGTGGAAAATGCAGTCAACCCGTGAAAGCGTCAACTGAAAGTATTTTTTTGATTCTCCTGTTCTTGAGAATCTGAATGGAATTTTTTTCAGCATTGTTCTGGCATTGGTACGACTTGTCTCCACTGCTGTTTATTAAATCATTCCGGCCTTGTCAGCGGAAAAGATTCGAAACAATTTTGCTGGCCAAGCAACAGCGATAAAGAGCCAGTCTGTCGTTCTGGGTTTTCACAATTTTTGTCAAATCACTGCAGTATCGAGATCCCCCCTAAAATTTGGAGCACTCAGTGATTTTCCAGGCGAAATGTTTATTTACATTTTACTGGGGGTCATAATCGAAGATACCGCCGATAAACGATTTCGGGAGTGCACGCGATTTGATTATTGTCTTAATATTGGGGGCTTGACAAGCAAATGATAAGCTTCGATGCCCAATAAATAGACCGCAGATCATGTGAATGAAACCCCCTTAAGTTCGTTGACGTTATCAATTGTCCTAATAAATGTGCAATAAATCAAATTTAAAGATAAAGACAAATTTTATCTAATAAAATTTGTGAAAGAGCCATAAAATCCACAAAAGAACTATAAAATATTTTATGATTAAACAAACTTCCGTTTAAATAGGCACAGCTATTTATTTACTTAAACGAAATAGATAAAATTGACTATCATAAATTTAATTTATATATGCCAAAAACGTGTATATGTAGAGGAATACCTCAAAATTTAATCTAATCTGTGGAAACATAACTCCCTTAGCTTGCTAATCAGATAAATACCTAGACATTTGGGTTTTCTGATTTCCTTTTTGGTTATGACGTTTGTCTGAATTGGCTATTATAAACCTTCAATGAAACTGCTTTAATGTCTGGCTGCATTGTTTATCGATTTGAAAATTTCCCGTCACAAGCAAATCGACTTAGTGCCCATTGGATTCTCAATGTCGTCTGCAAAGTGTTGATAATATTGATAATTATTTACCTATTAAGGAGAGGGTGTAGAAATGCATTTTCTGCTTCTACTTTTCTAATTTTGTGAAAGGGCCATAAAATCTTAATTACTTATAAAAATATATAAATTTAAAAATTTAACTCCTATATGCCAAAAATATGAACTAACATTATAAAATTTAGAACAAAATTCTCTTAGCTTGCTTATCAGATAAATACCCAATAATTTGGGCTTTCTGATTTGCCTTTTGGTTATCACGTTTGTGTGATTGGCTATTATCAAATCTTTAATGAGACTGCTTTAATGTCTGACTGCATCGTTAATCGATTTCGCATAAAACTTTCCACCACAAGCCAATCGACATAATGGACATTGGGTTCTTAATGCAAACGGAAGTCTGCAAAGTGTTGATAATTGTGTGTAAATTAAGCCGAGAAGATTGTGCCAAGGAGGGCAGATAGCAAAGAGCATTGTAAACAGAAGTCAACTCGGCTCAGATGACTCTATATATAAATAGGAAGTATTTGCTATCAGGAAAGTGAACTGCGGAATGCAATTTCACTTTCGCTCGACAACAAAGGGAGTCAACGCTCTAGTGCATCCATTGGTTTGCTGATAAATGGGGGTTTTATATAGAGGGTGTGTACCCTCCATCAAATGCTTGTTCACCAGCTTTCGTTCGAAGATCAATCAAATGGAACTGTACGTTACTCGACTCCATGAAGTTATGTAGTTAGTAAAAAGATTGAACATTAAACGCTTTAGTTTACACAGTTCGCCTAATTACACTTAAACATCTTCCACATAAAGAAAAGATTTTGAAAAAGGGAAATATGCATGCTTCTGATACTCTCATGAGTGTCTAGTTAATATTTTATCTGCATATGTACATATATGTAAACAATTTTGACTCATATTTTAAATTGAGTTACGTTTGGATTTTATAGAATGGATTACTAAACCTAAAACCAAATGCTTAATGAATGAGCCAATGAGTCAGAAGAGAGTATTAGAAGTTCGTTTAGAAATAAATAAAACCATAAAAATATTTTTATTTTTAGTTAACAATAACATTTAGAAAAGCAACAATAAATCCAAATTGACAAGTCGCCTGTCTTGGACAAAAATAACTAAGCTACTCTGCTGATTGTGAAAGGTTAATCTTTTGAAATTTCATACATATAGGTAAGCTGCGTAAACGGATTTGATTTAACAATAATACAGTTTTAATCACCTGCCTCTATATATACCTATATATCAAACCGAAATCGCAGCTAATCAGGTAGCAGCTACCTGAGAAATAAGCAAAAGCGATAACAAATGGCGCCTTATGATTGACGCTTATTGGATCAACCAACTTTAATCGAATCTCAAAGGGTTCTATAAACCGAAACGAGTTAATTGCCATATAATCGTTTTATGTTCATTTCTGTTGGAATTGCCCCCCACTTGGAATTTAGCTTATCACTGGACATCTTATCGGAGATTTTTTGAGTGCCATCTTGGTCACATATATAGCCTTCGATTATCTCGATTAGGTCAGCAGTTTTCCCACCCATAAGTCCGCTGCCCAGCGTGACCAAATATTTAGCTTCTGCTGACCTTATCACTCAGTCTGCCCGCCCGATGAGTCGTCTGTATCTGTATCTGTATTAGAAGAATTAAGTGGGTATTTTCCGAATGCCCCACAATGTCAAACAAGACGGCAATATGTTGTCTTTTGTTCAGATATCTGTATCGGGCGCGTGATCCATGTCCAAAGTTCTGTGAAGTACTTTGAAATGGAGTACTGATGTGTCTACGTTAGTTTAGATTTCAGATAGGACCCGAAATATGTGCTGGGGTTTCTTAATTAGATATGACGAAAGTCCCCTAGTTTTACGATATTACATAAAAAACATAACACTGATTTTATTACTTCTTTGTAAGGTTGATTCATAGTGAAAAGTAACCGAAAAAATGTAAGGAAAGTTTCTGCAGTAACTTATGTTAATTATTCAATAATCCCCAGATTTCGTATTACTATCTATACGCGAATCTTCGACAGGATGAAGCCAATTGACAAATTTGACTGCCTCGAATTTAAATTTAAGCCTCGATCTACATCTATCTGGAAAATACGCAGGCCTATCCGTACACTTCCGATGTCAATCAGCACTTCCCGCTGGCCTGAGAACCTGTCCATTGTAAATCATAAACGCAAAAGGCCGCCCTGTAATTTACGATCCCAGAGTATTATCATTAGTACATTGTCTCTGACATCTTATCCAATAAAACGAATCGAATAATTGCGAAATAAATGCCAAACAATTAGAATGTGGGATCGGTGACAAAGACGTGCCCTTTCGTTATTATCGCCGGTATATGGATATGTGGATAAGCACTATTGCGATAAGTTAAAGAATCCAATTAATAGCGCCACCGATTTGAGTCAGTTTTTTGGAGTAAATGAGTCACAACCAAGAAAACAAATAACTTTGATTGGCTATTAATGAGTCACAGTTGATTTGCAAATATTGATAATTATTTACCTATTAAGCAGATGGTGAAGAAATGCATATTCTACGTTTTACTTTCGTCAAAAATATTCTTAAAAAATAAAAACACTTATTTTCGGTTATATCACTTTGCTTGTGCACTGTTAAATTTATTTCGAATTTATTTTTCCAGAGCTGCCAGGCAGGACTTAGAACCTTTGCGGTCTCGAAACGAACTCCATCGGTTTTGGAGCGGCACGCGTCTTTTATAACTGAACCTCGGGCGGACCAAGAACGGAACCCTCGGCGGTCAGGCACAGAATGATTACTGAAAAGCGGTACGAGCATCGGGCAATGTGCACACGCACACAGCCGCAAAAACACACCCACACACGAACTCTGCTGCTGCACTCACACAATTGAACATTGAATTATGGCAACGTTTTACTCAGGTTTATGTACTCTTTATATTATTTTTTCGGTTTTCCGCTTTCCCGCTCTCGCCACAGAAGAAATTGTCAATCGAAAATGCGCAGATTTAGCGGGCAAAAAAAATTTTAAAAAAATTCGTTAAGCAGCCGAAGGTGAAAATGCAATTACCGAGCTGCGCAGTCGACGTCGAGGCTTAGAAGCTGATTAATTGATAAACGGCGAACTCTAAACGAACGGTAATTGTCAGCTGAGCGAGAGCGAAAGAGCAAGAGCCGGCACACGACTACGACTCTCACACCCGCGAAAATCCACACTGAGAGAAATAAGATCACTTCAATAAAATAAAGTCAAAGCGATCCGTAATTTATATTGTTTGGAAATCCTTTTAATGTTTTCTTTTCAGCTAGTTTAAGAAAGGGTTAACTTCCAGATCATGACTTTAAAATGATAATTTAAATATTAAATGCTGAATATATTTCTTACGTCTGAAAATAGGTTTACTTACCCATAATAAAAAATAGTTCAGTGTTGCAGAGAGGACGTCGCAGGAAGTGACGTATTTATCAAGATCGAGATTGCCACAATTTGGCAAATAAATTTCAGTTGATCCCAGCCACAGTCCGCCACTCGGTTAAAATTAGAATTAAAATTAATTTAGTGCTCTGAAGTGACCAATTGTTGCACCCACATGCAATTCTCGAATCGGAGAGACAAATGCTAATTGAGCGGGACAAATTTAGGTGTGCAAGCGAGATGGCAAGCAGAGGCTGTCGTCGCGAATGTTTTTGGCCTTTTGTTGACCATGTCGACGTCATTAAAGTGCAGTTAATGTGCCAAAAGGCAGAACAAAAGTCAATGTCAAACGGCAGCTGCTCTCATTTTCCGAGAGAGTGGAAAGGCGGTTAAATAGGGGTGGTGAAAGGGCGGGCCGGGTGCGTTTTGGGCGAGGGAAAATCAAAATGCATTTCCGCAACAAATCGCCGCTTGACAGTAATTACCGCCAACACGAGTGGTAATTTGTGACTATCGAAATGCGAATCTCGATACCCTGTAGTCATAAAGTTTACGGTATTTTAATGGAGGCACTTGCTTTCCTATGTTCTCTAACCCAAAATCTGGATTTTATAGTTTCCATTTATTGGAAAAATGTATATTAATCTAATAACAAAATGGCATGATCTCAATATAGAGTCATACTTCCTGATTTAAAATGTTTTTTTTCTGACTTCATATACTTGGAAAAGATATACATATGATATAATGATGATATGATATAAGAAATATAAATTTATTAACATATTAGAAAAATATTTATGTGTGTCATTGAATTCAGAATAATCTACAGTGAAAATCTAAACTACTTCAGAACCTTTTTTAGTTACTGAAGTTTGTCTGGATAAGTAAGTCCTTCTGATTTCCGCTGCCCGATTTGTTGTAATTGATGAAAATGTTCTTATAAATAGAAAGTACTGCACCCTTAGCCGTTTTATCGGCCGCTCACCATCAGGTGCAATTCATGATTGGCAAAAACAAATTCAACAAGCGTGCTGACAAAAGGCGCTAGCGACGTCACGCGATTGCGGACAATCAAGAGGGAAAAGAAAGAGCAAATAAAACACCACATGTGACAAATTGCACTGCTGACCCCAATAATCGTTGCAATTACAAACAAAATTACATTAACGGGAAACGTGGTGGCGAGCAATTCTGCAAATTAAAATCGAATCAAATCAATTGAACGGCGCCAAGCATGTGATTTGCTGGTGCCCAAGCAATTCAATTAATTCTCTAGAAGTCACCAAAGCAAGTGAGCAGTCAATCGGGAACAGCCATAATAACCAATCAATTTCAATTTAAAATTTAAATCATCTTATCAGCAAAGGAAAATTCAAAAAGTAACCGTATTGCGCGCTTTGAATGCAACCCTGTCCATTGTGACCCAGCCACATACTATTCTGTGGCAACTCCCTGTGGCCTGTCACTTTGCAGCGTTGCCACATCGTTGTCTCTCCTGTCAAACATTATTTCATTATTGTTTTCAAGTAAACGCTGTGTTATCCAGCACAAATGATTTATCAAAAAATAAGTTTTCCATTTTTATAAGTTCAACGCTGTGGTTCACAAAGCCCAACCAACAAAGTCCAGCCAAAGTGGCCAGCAACGCGCGCCGATTGCATCCGGGTGGCAACTCTGGCAGCTGCGAAAGATTGCAAAAGCAAAACGAAGAGAACGCAGCGCAGCCGAAAAAAATTGAAGCAGCACTGCACGCGATATATTTTGTATTTTCAAAGGTTAAAGCCGCATTCAAAGGCATCCGCCGAGCGCAAACGAAGTGCAAAAGTGCCGGCCAGCCGTAAGTTTTGAAATATTTGCAGCCAATTGTGTATTACAGCCGCTAAAAGTGTTGGGAAAAATTTGCAAGAACCGAAAAAAAACGAAAAAATTTTGCACATCGTCGGCGGCGTTGACGGCGGCAGCGACGTCGCTTCTCTGCCGGCAGCATCGGCAACGCAGCAGCCAAAAGGGAGCAGCTGAAAGAGGAAAAAACGATAAAATACAAAAAGCGGCTACGCAACGCCGAGAGATTTTTCTCTGAAAAAAAGGGAAAAGAAAAGCGGAAGCAAGTGTGGAAATGATGTGTAAATTCGATATGTAAATTCGGCATGTGCCGTTTCGTAGTGTGTGTGAAATTCTTATTGGAAAAGCGTGCTCATCGGTGTGAACGAACGAGCGAAACATTTCGGCGGCGAGAGAGTGAAAGAGAGCGAGAGAGCGCGCACACGCTTGTCTAAGGTGGTGTGCTTGTGTGAGTGGCGGCGGCGGACACACACAGGCACACAAGAGGAAAGACAAAGAAGAAGAGGAAGCACTACGCTGCTGCGCTGCCGGCAAACTCGCGGTCGCAGTCAACGTCGCTGCCGACGTCGCAGCTGGCTGCGTTTTGTGTTTAGCCAGGAATTTTCTGGCCCCAAAATAACTTCAAAATTTTCATTTTTGATTGCTAGTGCGTCAAAATTTATTCCCACCTCGTCGAAAAAAAATTCAAAATCCAGAAAACAAAACCATTCCATTTTTTATTGCTTTCTAGGCAACATTTAGCAGCCGCAAAGCAAAAGACTGATTTGATTACAAGGAATTAGGAGCAGGAACGCGAGGATTCTGCACTGCACACTGAATTGTGGGTACTGCAAACTGTGTATTATTTCTGAGTTTAATTTGTTTTTTAAAAAAACCATAAAGGAACCCTAGATAACACGGCAAACTGCAGTCGACGGGGAAAAGTCGGGAGTTGAAGGCTGGGCAGCAGCAGCATCTTCAGGAGGGACGGACGGCGAAGAACCACCAAAACAAAGCAGAAAAACCAGGAGCCACTGCGCCCAGCAACATGGAAGATCTTCTCGTGGAAGTTCGGCTCGATAATGGCGCCTACTACAAGGTGAGCTAATTAAAGCGAAGAAAAGGTTTTCCCGAACATTTATAGAAGATAAAACAACAAATAAAAACAGACAGGGAGTTGGGGCAGCAGCTGCCTCAGTTTCTAATTTCGTGGATTTTAGCTTTATTTCTATAAATAACAGCAACATTTTGAGTGGAGTCTCGACATCATCGCCACCACCACCGCCACTAAACCAACACTGGTACGCATTCATCGACGCACTCACGCACACGCACACACTGCAGTGTGGGGGTGCCGACGTCGACGCTGGCTGCGCTGTTGACTTCGCTGGCGACTGCGCTGCCAACTGACGTCGTCGGACATTCGTATTTGTTGTTTTGGTGATTTCCCTCTCTAAAAGTTGCAATTTTTTCTAAAGATAAGGTGATTTTACCATTTCTATACGCGGTTAAATGACGATTTATGATTAGATTATAGTCCTACGGGGATTTTATCCCACTCTTTGTTTGGTAAACAAAGTCTGGGAAAAGTTTAAAGCTAATTTTTCATATCTGAATTTTGAGCTTTTTAACAAAATAGGCGTTTCGTGTGGTTTATCTCAGTTTTACCCAGTTAAATTAGGAATAAGTTAGTCATTTGTCACACTTTAATCTGACAGAATTAAATGATGTTTGACTAATGTTGCTCAGAACATATTAAATTAGGTGGTTTTTTATAACAATCTAGGTTTAAAAATTCTGTATAACAGATGTATTATTGAAGGATACTTCGCATAGCGCCGCCTTTGATTTCAGAGCTAGTAAACAAATCAAGTGCAGTGCACATAAACACACTCGCTAAAGACTTCCCTGATGATGATGATTCAGCACCCGACTGTTTGCATTTCGGATAAGGTTCTTCAGTTACTCGCTTATCGGAGATACATATACCATTCCCTTTCTCGATTTCAGATGGCTTGTCGAGCATTTCGGGGTGGGGAAATCATAAAAAAAACTTATTTTATATATAAGTTTATAACCAGCTAAATCCACATTAATGACACACATTTTTTTATCTACTTCTATGCCTCTTGATGTTTGGCCCTGTCAATGCTCTTGTATTTCAACCGTTTGCTGCCGCCAACAAAAAACTACAACTGGCCCGACTGAAAAATGAAAACTAAAAACTACAACAACCACAGGGCCAGGTGACAGCTGTCGGGGATGATGGCATCTTTGTGGATGTGGATGGGTGAGTTTATTCAAACAAACAAATCTGCGAACAGGGCAAACAACAACCACAACGTTTAGACGGCATTTCTAACTAATTTGCAACGATTAACAACCACCGACGCGACTTCTTGGCATCCAATTAGAAATTAGAGATGCTGGGCACGCATCATTTATGTCGTTCGTACGCTATCCGCTATCCGCTTGCCTCCTCCACATCTCCCTCTCAGCGGAATCTCTAATTTGGCGCAATTTGTTAAACGCCAGTGCCGCTGCAGTAGCGCCCGCAGTAGCAGCAGCAGCAGAAATAGAAGACCGACGGACTGACTGACCAACGCCAACCCGAGACTGTCCGCCCCACTCACTTGGGAAGTTCCCCAGAGAGGAGATCCTCGCCAGACGCGGAGCACAGGGGCTGGTCCACAACGGGCTTCCATCTCTGCCAAAGCTGTCAAGTGCGAACGACAAATGCCACTAAGCAGCGGCGCTGACACGGCGGCCAGCGTCAAAGGCGCGACTATTTTTAACCGCGGAAAGAAACCATTTATATTTATTCATTTCCAATTCGGTTATGATGCTCATTTCTTATTCTTTTTCTGCTTTTGATTTCTGTTTGCTTGCTGCACTTCTTGTGACACTTTTTTGGAACGAACTGTTTTCGTTTTACTACATATTGAGTTTTGTTGACTTCCATCTATCACACACCGAGATAGCCACTTCAGCTGAGCAGCAGCTGGATCTAAATTTAGTGTTTGTCCCGACTGTGTGGCATTTCCGATATGTTTTTTTTTTGTTTTATGGCGGGATTTGGAATGGGATTGGCAATAGGAGGTGGGTTTTGGGGAATGGACATGACTCTGCTGTGGCACCCCCACAATGGTTGTGGTTGTTGTTGTTGGTGTTTGTTGTTGATTTCAATGCACCTTGGCCCTCTGCCAGTGCAGAACAGCTGCAGTCGGCAAAATCGGCAAACACCTGTCCGCTGAGTTTTATGCTACGAAAATAACAAGTGCACCTTAATTAATTGAATTGCCCTGCTCCGCACATGAACAACACCATTGTTGCATTGTTGCCTTGTTGCATTATTGCAGCGTGCCCGAGGTGATGAAATATCCATTTGTGAACGTTCGCCTGCCGCCCGAGGAAACCGTCGAGGTGGCCGCCCCCATTTTCGAGGAGGGCATGGAGGTGGAGGTGTTCACGCGCACGAACGAGCGTGAAACCTGCGGCTGGTGGGTGGCCATGATCAAAATGCTCAAAGCGGACATCTGTGCGGTCGCGTACATCGGTTTCGAGACGCCCTACACCGAAATCTGCGAACTGGGCCGTCTGCGCGCCAAAAACTCGAATCCGCCAATTACAGCCAAGTCCTTCTATCAGTTCACGCTGCCCGTTCCCGAGGAGTTGCGCGAAGAGTGAGTATCCTTTCTTATATTTCCCATTAACTCATTCTAAAATGTAATCTATATCTTTTGTAGAGCCCAAAAGGATGGCATACACAAGGAGTTTCAGCGCAGAATCGATGCCGGCGTCTGCAACTACAGCCGCGATCTGGACGCCCTGATCGTCATCTCCAAGTGGGAGCACACTCAGAAGCGCGCCAGCATGCTCAAGGATATGCATTTTCGTAATCTCTCACAGAAGGTGCGTTTTAAAACCAGATCTATTAATGAAGTTGTGTAAACTATTAGTAACTCTTTTAGGTTATGCTGTTGAAAAGGACTGAAGAAGCTGCCCGCCAGCTCGAAACGACTAAACTGATGAGCCGTGGGTAAGTTTTATGCAGATGAATTTCTTGGAACTCAATTTGGAAAACCAATAGTCATTCTTGCTCATTTTCTGGGGTGTCACAACCAACTCTCTACCAAATTTCACCCGCAAAAAATTTCTGCAACAATAGCTTTTTTTTTATCACGCTTAAATAATATTTACGTCTGATATTTGATACGCTTCATTCACGGTTTTCTGTTTTTAAATGAGTACTTTGCTTATCTGTAAACCTCGTATCTGTTTTCTCCTTAGAAACTACGTTGAGGAGTTCCGTGTGCGTGACGATCTCATGGGCTTGGCCATCGGCTCGCATGGCTCGAATATTCAGGCGGCACGCATGCTGGTCGGCGTCACCAACATCGAGCTGGAGGAGAAGTCCTGCACATTCAAGATCAGCGGCGAGACCGCGGAGTCGGTGCAGCTGGCCCGCGCGATGCTCGAATACGCCGAGGAGTTCTTCCAGGTGCCCAGGGAACTGGTGGGCAAGGTGATCGGCAAGAATGGACGCATCATCCAGGAGATTGTCGACAAGAGTGGCGTGTTTCGAATCAAGGTGAGTGCTGTGAGTATTGTGCTCTAAACGCGAACCAGTCCTAATCTGTTTCGGGTCAGATCGCTGGCGATGACGAGCAGGATCAAAACATCCCACGCGAACCTGCGCACGTACCCTTTGTGTTCATTGGCACCGTGGAGAGCATTGCGAACGCCAAAGTGCTGTTGGAGTATCATCTCTCGCATCTGAAGGTAAGTTCGGTGAAATATTTGCTATTATTCAAGATTTAAATTCAATGATATCCTTAGGAAGTGGAACAGTTGCGCCAGGAGAAACTGGAGATCGACCAGCAGCTGCGCGCCATACAGGAATCCTCGATGGGCTCCACACAGAGCTTCCCAGTGACGCGGCGCTCGGAGCGCGGCTACAGCAGCGACATCGAGTCGGTGCGTTCCATGCGCGGCGGCGGCGGTGGTCAGCGTGGCCGGGGACGCGGTCGCGGTGGCGGCGGTCCCGGTGGCGGCAACGGGCTGAACCAGCGCTACCACAACAATCGCCGCGACGAGGACGACTACAACTCGCGTGGCGATCACCAGCGCGACCAGCAGCAGCGCGGCGGCTACAACGATCGCGGCAGCGGCGACAACAGTGGCAACTATCGCGGCGGAGGCGGCGGTGCCGGCAACAACAGGCGCGGTGGCGTCAACCGCCGGCCGCCACGCAACGAGCAGCAGAATGGCCGGGACTATCAGCACCACAACCACACCTCCGAGGAGGTGCGAGAGACCCGTGAAGTGAGCAGCGTGGAGAGAGGTGAGTGACGTGAATCATGCTCCCAATTAACCAATTAGTTGAATCAATTTATTTCGCGCGTCCAAACAAGATCCAAAGTGAATACTTGATCCTCTTCCCCCTCCCTTCAATTCAATGGTGGACATCGTGTGGGGTCAAGAAAACGAGAATCTGTACAGCAAGTTTATTAGTTGTTAAAGAGTATTGCAATAAGGACTGTTTCCCATTTTCATATAATTTTGATCCTTAACTTAAAATAAATCGAAATATCATCATCTTAGTTTTCTTGTTTGTTCATATGGAAGTATTCTTTACATTTTTTTAATAGTTTGTAATTATTTACTTATGTTTATTAGAAGACAGTATTCCACACATTTTTTCAATAGTTTGTAATTATTTATTTATGTTTATCAGAAGACAATTTGTGTAGCGAAAACAAAAAAAGGAATCCCTACATACCAGTTTCCACAATTAAACACAGATAGTAACTTACACCATAATTTTTATTCTAAATATATTTATTGTTTAGTGTACTCTTATTTATTTTTATAAAAATGGAAAGTATTATAATTTTTGAGGAACATTAAGAGCACTGTTTTTTTTTTTTTTAGATTTGGAGCTGTTCTAAATCTTTTGTCAGGCGCACTATTATAAAAGTTAAAATATAAAATACATTTATTTCCTTTAACCCAAAATTTTTAAAAACTATTATTTTGGGTGTGAAAAAGTGCCGTTTGTGTTGTGGAGCTTCGTATGTTTTCGTGGTTTTCCATCGCAATATAAAATTTGAAATGCAATCGGGACGCCTTCTGGATACTCGTGCACACTGATACCTAACCCATTATCCTCCTCTCCACAGCGGACAGTAACTCGTCGTACGAGGGCAGCTCGCGGAGGCGCAGAAGGCAGAAGAACAACAATGGGCCAAGTAACAGTGAGTAGAATGCAATTGCCTGCCGCTGAGCTTATCCTTAAACTTACCTGCTAAACAATACTGTTGCTGTTTCAGCAAACGGAGCTGTTGCCAACAACAACAACAAACCCCAGTCGGCGCAGCAGCCGCAACAGCAGCAGCAGCAACAACAACAGCCACCGGCGCCTGTGAACAAGGCGGCACTGAATGCCGGGGATGCCAGCAAACAGAACAGCGGCAATGTGAACGCCGCTGGCGGTGCGAGCAAGCCGAAGGATGCCTCACGCAACGGCGACAAGCAACAGCAGCAGCAGCAGCAGGCGGGCACACAGCAGCAGCAACCGTCGCAGGTGCAGCAGCAACAACAGCAGGTGCCACAGCAGCAACAGCAGCAGCCGAAACCGCGACGTAACAACAAGAATCGCAGCAACAACCACACGGACCAGCCAGCCGGACAGCAGCAGCAGCAGCTGACGGAGAACGTAAAAAAAGAGGGCCTGGTCAATGGCACGTCCTAAGCCAAGTGAGAAACGTGGGGAAAAAGCGGTAGAAGCAGTAACAGCAGCAGCAACTAACAGATGCGAAGAACAACATGAACACAAATTGCACATCGTTCAACGGAGTAACAATGTTGTATGCGCAGCGGGGGCAGCTTAATATATTCATCCTTATTGCGTTGAATGTGTAGCCGCCACACAACACAACCAACAACAAGAACCACAACCACAACAACAACAACAACAACCACACATCCAAACAACAGCAGACACTAGAACAACAACATCAGCCAACAAAATAGCAGTCACTAACAAATTGTTTGAGAAACTATATGAGTAACTAAAAAAAAGGAAACGAAAAATTAAAATACATGAAATATGTAACAAATGTAAAAGCATATACTAACACACACACACAAAGGTACACTCACACACACAGAAAAGTTCGAATTATACACAAAAAGAAAAAGAGGAATAAAAGAAACTTCATGCCTAGGCTTATAATTTGAATTGAAACTAAAAAAAGCTTCAATAACAATCAAAATGAATTATATTTATGTATAAAACAAATTCAAAGGCAATTATTAACAAGCAAAAAACAGAAAACGAACGAATCGAAAGGGAAACATTGAATTTGTAAACTAAAACTTTAACTCTAATTCGGGCAATTAGCGTAGTTTTTCGAAAGGAAAATCTAAAGAAAACTGACGGAACGGGCGCTTCTAAAGCGCCCTTTGCGTCGACTTGAAAAGTTTCTAGTTATATATGCATATTATAATAAAACGAGTATAATATAATTGCATTTTTTTGTTTTGGTTAAATTAATTTTAGTTGAGTCAGTCATGTGTTTTTTGTGTATAATTCGTGCATGCAACAACTTAATCGCCAAGAAGGTTTTTTTCAATTTTACCATCATTTTTTTGTATTATTATTGTTTAGTTTACCATTGTAAATGCCAGGGCGCGTTTGGAAGTTGCTTTAAAAATTTCAACAAAGTAAACGAACGCGACTCCAGACAAAAACCCAAAACAAACACGTTGAACTACTAGTTCGTCTTGGGCTTTTGCAGCGTTTGATTGTTTATTTTGTTTGTTACAACATGGAAATCCTCTCTTACTTGTATAATGTTGTATTTATTTACTATTATTAACACATACCCACACTCACCCGCATACCCCATCAAAATACACGAATATCAACTCTATCACACACACACACGCTCGCTCATACAAACAAGAAGGGAAACGCATTGAATTTGATTTTGTTTTATAAATATATAATTTACTTCGCCAAACCTACAAAGCGTATACTAACTTAGTCCTCTATTGAATACTCTTAAATTATTTAATGCCAGTAACGTGCAGCGCCGGGAGCATTAAACACACAATCATCGAGAAGTGCGAATCATTTGAATGAGAAGAGAAACCATACTAGAAGCCCCTAACATAATTTAAATTAGTTCAAGCAAGCAGATCACATCAACTAAGAAATATAAATACAATGTAAAGCCACATAAAAAACCATCTAAGAACAAACAACAAGATGCAAAACAGAACAATTCTTCGCTCTTATTCGGAAGAACAGTGTCAATAATATGTAAGAAAAGCAAACAACACATTTTAACATACATTAAAGAAGGAGATAACGATAACGGTACCGATAACGATAAATCTAAATAATGTTGTGTAATTCAAATTAAATAAATACAAAAATCCAGCAAAAACAAAACTGCATAAAAACATAAACGTAATAATATAAATATAATGAGAAAAATGTGCGATTTAAAATTATTATTTATATAAAGATGAACTTATAAAGAATAGAAATATAGCAAGTAAATTTTATTAATTTAAAATTTATATATATAAAACAAACAAACTATCAAACTGAATACGTTGCAATTTATTTATATTCGTTCTTGAAAACTTTAACGTAGATAGTCGCTTCCACCTGAATGATGATTAGATATCATAGGATTGTAAAATTGTGAGCTTAGGTTGAGGTTTGTCCTGAAACCCAGGACCATCTGATTTTTGAGCTGAAATCGTTGATTTAGTGGAAAGTTTCTGTCCAATATAGTTTCGCTTTTAAATCAACGGGTTGTCCGTTCCGCTTTCATTTATTTAAATACAATGCTTCAGTAAAATATTTAATCATACCTTTTGAGATTTTTTAAAAGTTTATTGCAACACATATATATTTTATGTATTCCACTCTTGACTCTGAAAAAGAAGTTTATAATTTTCAATTTTCTTTCTAAAAAATGCTTGAGTAGCGATGGAGGATGAAGCTGGACTAGTTGACGTCATGATTGGGTTAAAAGCTTCTCTCGTTCAAGATGCGTCCTCCGCGTTATTGGTTGCAAAGTCCCTTGTTATTACCCTGATTAGCATTATAGTTGCTTTAGCTTGTCGCGGCGGCAGTGAAGATAGTGGCTGTGAACTTTCAGTGGCAAGTATTGTCTACACAACCAGCTAACCACACTGCCAAAGCGCATAGCCAATTGAGTTAACTTGATTGTGGTGTCACTTTTATGGTTAATTTATTCCGAAACAAGTGATTGATGGATGGGCAAAACGTTTAAAGGAACGGTTATTTTTTTAAATATTTTGTACAGAAACCCAAACGGCTTCTACCTCACCATCTTGCGGATTTTTCTCTTTTGACCAACTTCAGTTTGTCGAGCTTTTTGGCGCCAACGAGCGCCACCTTCTGGCCGATGTTGTGGTGGTTTTTGGGGGGATTTCCCGATATGCTGCTTTTTATGCTACGTTGCGTGTCGTCGAAAGCTCTTTGGGGCGGCGGTGGGGGCGTGGTAAAATGGTGCACAATCATAGCGCTGAAAAATATGCAATGTAAGGCTTTAATTTTGTATTAATCGATTTTATGGTGGATTAATTTCAAAGTTCTGAAAGTAAACCGCTATTTTAAAGACCTTTTTTATCTTGGCTTTTCTCGAAGGACCTTGGTTCTTTAACTAGCATTATAAATAAAATATAAGTCAGCGCAAGGCAAGTTTAGATTTCAACCAAAGACCTCCGTGGCACAATTGCTATAATTATAATTGAACCAATTAGAGTCGGAGTGCCCAAGGTCATCGCAAGCTCTACGATGTCGTGGGTAAAAACCTTGCAGGCCAAGGTTGCATCTCCGTGCGTTTCAACATTTCATTTGCTGGCTGCCCTCAACATGCAAAGTTCCCCTGGTTAATCCAATAAAACCACATAATACATATACAGTTTAAAATCTTCATGGAAGATATTTATGTTTTATTTTAATTCTTTATTTAAAAAACAGTGTCTTACAAGTATGTATATCTTAACAGTAAACTTATTTATTTCTTATTTATATGTTCGGTTTAATAAAATCAGTTTGAGAATTTTGTATGTCACACTATCACAAAAATTGCATATATTTATTGCTCGCATTTTCTTGCATTCGGGAAGATTGTACGTTCTGGAATGTCGTACCAGATAGTGCATTTACATGCTTCAAAATGTTTCAGTGCAAATGCACTCCTGACACGCAGCCCAAAACCTTCAAAGGATGCATTATCCGTTTTATTGTTTTTATTTTTCTTTTCGACTGAAATAAAAACTAAAACTATGTTGAGCACGGCGCCTCGTCGCGTTTTTCTTTTCTATTATTTTTTTGTGGGGCAGTGTCATTGGCAGCTATTGGATAAGTCGATCGATCTTCTGGCTGCTATTTTACTGGATTGGACTCAACGAAAAAGAACGAAGGTAACTCCAAAAACCAAAAACAAAGCTCAAACGCATGCAGAACAAAAGTGGCGAGGGAACTGGAACTGGAAGGGAAATGTGACTGGGAAACCGAGTACAATGAACCATGAGCTGAGAACCCGATCCCCACCAAACCAAATCGCTCTCGAAACAGGTGATAAGCAGTCGCAGGTGCCAAGGTGCGCAGTTGGCAGTGGTGATAAGCTATTGGAACAGCGGATCGAGGCGATATATGCATGTAGGTGGGCCCCGCGGGGTGTGTGTGCTATTAAGTGGGTCGATGCGGATCGCTGATTATCGATCCCCGATTACCATTGAGTTACACAAGTCGTTTGTTCGTCACCAAATGCCATTCGTTTCGGTTTTTTTTTTTGTTTCGATTTGTGCTCGGTGCCATCAGTCAGCGCAATGTAAGCTGGTAAAACCTAGGCGGAAACGCAACTGGCAACCCATTTTCCCCAAGGGGGCGATAAGATAAGCGGGGAGATTATAAACGGATTGCTCAAAAAGTAATCCATTGCCGAAATTCGTTGGGAATTCGTGTGCCCAGGGTGACTGGCTCATCAAAGCAGTTCCAAATGCTTTCTGGAGCAGAGATTCGTTTCCATTCTGGCAAAGGCAAATAGGTGCAGTTTGGCCAATGCAGCCTTCAATTTCGACTTGCTTGGCTGCTTTTATTTTCACTAGACTCTAGGTGTGGCGCATGAACAGAAAATAAATCCAAAAACGAGGACAAAACATTGAGCCCAAATAAACAAAGGCAAGAAGAAGTGGAGGAACAAGACCAATGCTAACAATTGTTGTGGAATAAAATCCAACGAATCTCGAGTGGAGCTACGTACAACGAAAAAACTGAGTTTTTGCAATTAAAAAAACGAGCGAACAAGACGGCAAACACACTGCGTATACGCGATGTGTCATCTATATGCACACACATGCACATACTATATATATGTATATATATAGAGTGAAATATCTGACAGATAAACAGTTGTAGCTTGTAAAATTCATAATGTGTGTAACCATTTAGTTTTTAATCGCGTGCCAACGAACAGACTATGTGTGTGTGTGTGTTGGTGTGTGTGCGTTCTAATTTCGAAAGAACAAGAGCTCGGGCAATTAAATAAATTATTGCTCATTTGTGTCGCTGTGTGCGCAAGTGTGTATTGATAAATGAAAAGCTAGCTCATGAGCTTAAAAAGCGTTAACTGAATAAAGAAACAAAGTGCGGAGGCACATTTTTCCATGTGTGCCCGTCAAATCGTTCGTTTCCATGTGCGTTAAATGTTAAATGGGTTACATGCTCGACCTGCCAGTCGAATGAAAAGTTTCTAAAATGCCCCAAAACACCTTCTCGCCCCATTCTACCGCTCCCCCATCCACTTCCCCTTCCCCACTCGCTACCGCTTGGCTACGCGCTCCTCTTTATGGCCCACTTAGTGGCTCAGTTATAATTTCATTAGGCAAATGCTGAGCATTTTTCATTAGCACTTCATGAACCGATGGCCCCTCATTCGCTCGCTAGCTCAGTTCTCCCCTCGAAATCCCCCTCCTCTTCCCATACCCCTTTTAGCCATTCCGTGTTGACCAACACGTTTACTTTTATCTGGGTCATAAAAGCTGCTACCGCCGACCGGCAGAGTTTCAAAGAAGTTGTCGTCACCGGAAGTGACCCGAAGTGTTGCCAAACCGAAATAGAGGGCCATAACGCTACTTAAATAAATTACTGTTTGACTTGGCCAAAAAGAATTGCAAAGTGCCAAAAGAATATCGTGAAACATGAAGCCAGCGCTGAGGTGGAAAAACAATTTGCGAGAAAATGGCAATTTTTCATCCGACTGAATTTCTGGTAAACTGTGACAAATAATTCATAATGGAAAAAAAAGGAAAGATTCTATTTACTCTCAAATAGAGTGTAAAAAAAGACTATTTAATTAGAAACTCTTTAAAAATCTATTATTTCATTATGAAGTTATATAGCAAATAGTGTCTTTAAAAGTCGGGCTATCAAAGTCAAAAAGTATCAAAGAAAATAAGCCTTCCCTCCCCTTTCGTTTCAATGGGTCGCATGATCAGCCGCACAACCGACAAAAAAAACACGCACGCCGACTCGGCACTTATTATCTGCTAAATACACACTCGACTGACTCAGATACAGATACATCCATGAAATTCGTAGGCAAAAGCACACGCGCACCCGCTAAGTAGTGAAAACCCATGGTTCGGCAAACGCTGCGTATACGTAATCACAGACGCGGAATGCTTGCTATTCGATTCTTTATCTGCAGACGGGAAACAACAACAACAACAAAAACAGCCAGACAAGTCCAAAAGCAAAGGCAGCCCTTGTCTGGCTGGCCACAATTCATACAAATTTGAATGTTGAATGTTGAATGATTTCTTTTGGGCGTTTGCTTTTTCGTCAGATTTTTTTTCGGAAGCGGATCGTGTGTTCGGTCGGCAACAGTGGAAGTAAATGGAAGTTTGCCTGGCCACGATTAGCTGGGGCTAAGAAATTCCAAAACATTTATCTCGCTTTCCGTCACCATTTACGTGGCTGCCCCAGCGGCATTTATAATCAACGGAGACCGCAATTGACGCAGCTAACTAATGACGAACGCCGCTGAATGAAGCATACATGTTTTTTGCTTTCGGTTTTTTTGTGGCAATTTCGTCTAAAATTATAAAAAGAACCAAACGAACTGAGTCATGCGTGAAAGGCGTGATACCCAATAGAGGATCATAAAGATCATAGCTGCGTGCGTATGAAAGAAAACGTAGAGAATTAGGGGAAGGTCTGACCATAAAAATAATCTAGTTACGCGTCATTTCTAAATGGATCTGTACAGAGAAACGTGTTGAGTGAATTTATGTTGGAGGAATAACAATATTTATAAGTTCTGTTTGTAAAGCTTAAAACCCTGTTTGACAATGAAAATTGTAAGCTATTTTCTTCGAAAAATTTAAACTGAAATGGAGCCAAAAACCCAGCTGAAAGCTTATTGCCTTTCTAGAAACCTCGCAGTTAAATAATGCAGATACTTTGAGCAACTTTCTTTGAATAACTGACGACTGAATCCATCAAAGTTTAAACTGTTCTGCCAAGAACAACAAACGGACTTGGCGAATTGGCCGAAAAGACATCGATAAAACCGTTTGAATGTGAATGTGAACGTGAGTGTCTGTGTGTAGATTTGTTGGCAGGTTCAGGTTGACCCAAATCGTTATAGGCCTCAAGCATTCATTGCCTATCGTGTCTTTTGCCTTCTGGGTGATGTAATAAGTGGCAGGCGAAGTGACACACAAGTGTGCATTGAATTTGTAACACAAAAGGAGGCGGCAAAGGGGCGGAGAAGGGGGAGGGTGTTTCTCAAAAGTGGGTAATAGATGAGTTATGCGGTGGGCCATAAATTTGTCATGCTACTGCATTTTAGCCATATTTATAGAGCACTCTTTCACTTAATTCAACGGGCAAACTAATAAATGTCAGCATTCTGGCAAATAAATATAGATAAATTCTCTGATGCACTCTCTCTCTATCTCTCTTTCTCTCTTTCTCTGCATTTTTTTTGTGTTGTTTGTGGCATGGCAACATTTCACTTTTGATTTTAGCCTGCAAAAACGAACCGCCCTCCAATCCACACCCTTGCGAAACCAATGTGCACTGCATTTGGCCCGCAGCCAAAGAGAATTTTTATTTTTGGCTCCTTGGCTAAGCTCACGACTGCAGCCAGGCCATGGATGGTGCCGTGTATCCGTGTATCCGATAGATACCCATATACACTTGGGCCAGGCCAAAGTTATCTAGGTTGGCTATACTATAATACATAAGCTGACTGGCTGACTGACTGACTGCCCTGACTGCCCTGACTGAAAATCAATAAGCTGGGCGTCACGAAGCCCATTCAATTGTAATTATCCGAGGTGCCAAAAAGCCCATTTCAAACTAATCAAACTGCAACTTGCTGGTTTTGCTGGCTTGCTGGCTGGCTGGCTTCTCCGCCCAGAAACTGGGTCATAACACTGACCCAATTTCCCCTTTACATAACCGCTCTGTAGAGTGAGTGATTCGGCTTGGCTCTTTGGCGGGGTGACGTGGTGGATCGACCTCCATGCGGAGTAGTTTGCAGGCTGCTGCTGCACCGACATCGCACATCTCCCCACCAACGACCTTGCGGTCCGGGCTGAAGGTCGCCCCTGTTGGCCAAAAGGCAGCAGAACGTTGTTTCACAACAAATACCTCTATATACATTTGATTTCAAGAAAAATCTTTCGAAACTTTCGAAGCCAACAAATACAACACGTGATTCATGCGGGTTTCTTTTTATAAATCTGAACAAATACTACCGACTGCTAGACTGTCTTATCAGCAAAGGCGATAATCATTCTAGTCTGCTGGCTTGACAAATTAGAAGGCTTAACCGATACAAGTGAGGTTGACTAGCTATATACATATAGTATTCTATATATGTACAGCACAGCTCAATGATCCATCAGAGAATGCCGCATACAATGATGTCATAACGATATCTGTTTATTGGGGGTTTACGTTTGTTTTTGCTGCTGATATCAGTTAAGGTCCAAAATCCAAATGCAAATTGAACAAAAATTCGCGGCACTCTGGCGAATGTTTATAAAAACGTACATATATACCTCGGTATTTATAAACGCTGCTGGCTGTGTTAATAACGAATAGCAGACTTCAAAGTTCAAAGAATAAATTTATTACTTTTTGTTTAGAAAAATCTTTCAACTTGTTTTGTATTTTACTACCAAATTTTTGCCAATTCTTTGGGTATTTTAAGCGAATTTTTGTTGAATTTTAAGTTATCTGTCTAGCTTTAAACTGGTTTTTGTATTCCCTCAAGCCAGCAAATCAATCAACTCGGATTTTTGCAATGAATCACTAAAATATTTTCGTATTTCTCTTGCCAAGATAAGCGGTGTTTCTTCATCTCCTTTTGTTCGCTTTTGAGTTTGCTTTGGCTTTGGAAATATCTGCTTTACAATATCTGTTTGTGTTTGCACGCCTGTTTTATGTGTCAAATGCATTTTTCAGTCATCCACCCACACGAGCGGGGGAAAAACAACAAAAAAATCGACCTCATAACACCCACCCACACACGCACACCACAGCAGGTGTATGGCGGTTCGCGTGTGTAGGTTGCTGTGTGTGTTTTGCTATTTTTTTCTATTTACCGATTGGCCTTATGTAAAAGTCGATTCGTTATTTTTACACAAAATATTGCAATTTGCTGTTTTGCCCCCACACATGCGGGCCAACAGTACGTATACGTACTGTGTTTCCACATGGCGAAAACGAGCAAGGTCAAGTGTTTGAATGTGTGAGTGGGAGTGTGTGAGTGTAAATGTAAGTGAATTGTTGTTGTTGCTCTCGGATTGCAAGTGCCTGCGATTTAATTGCCCTCGCCTGAAATTCATCTACCCTTTTTGAAGTCGCCGAAAGCCAGACTTTAATTGAGATTGAGATTTCACTAGCGCAGCAGCAGATCCCCATTTTCAATTAACAGGGTTTGAGTTTTTGTTTTTTTCTTTTTTTCTGTGTGCATCTTATATAAGATGAGAAGCGAATTGCACAGAGAGATGCGAAATTTGGGTTACAAGCGACTGCAGCGATACTAAATTTAAAACTGCCACTGCGGCAAGTGCGAGCGAGAGAAAAAGCCGCCGTGCACAACTGTGTAGTTGCCGCTCGCTGATTGTTTTAAACAAATTGCCCGACTAGACACAAAAACTACTACTTAACAATGTGTGTGAGCGAAAAAGTGTTCGCATTGCACGGCCATTGTTTTTTTTTCCTTCCATTTTTTTTTCTTCCCATTTTTTGTTATTCGCCATGCCAATTACAGGGTGTCTCTTTGTTGTGCCATTGCATAATGCCCAGCGAAAATGCAATTGCAATGGCAGATGTGCAGCTAGCCGACTGATATTACGTATACGCCACCGAAAAAAAGTGAAGGCCTGTTTTGGTTTGGGTTCGAGTTTGGTTTGGCTTGGGGTTTGCTTTGGTGTTTTTTGGTTTAATGGGTTTATGCAATCCAGGAGGTAAGAACACACTATGGGTTTTGTTGGTTGTTGGTAGGGAAAACGCAGTTAATCAGCTGTTCGGTGGATCGATCGACTGTCCGCCAGCTGTGTGTTTAATGCCTCTCAGCGACTTCCGCTCGTTGTTGCCGACTCGATGGGGAAATGAACACTGAAGCTGGCCAACGGCAATTGGCCAACACAGAAACGAGCGTCGGCGATTGCAGCGGCAGCGACGTCGACTGCAGCTGCGTTTTTGGCTTTTCTTTTCGTCGTAAAGGAAAACTGTTACAATTTTAGGCCAAACGCGACGCGAACCGATACCGTTTTGATGGCCACGTGTGTGTCTGTCTCTCCGTTGCTGGTGTGTGTGTGCGTTTGTGTGTGTGTGGCAAAGACGCTCTAAGGTGAAATATACTAAATGCAGGGCGGAATTTTGTGCAAAATGTATTTCTGTCTCTCGCTGCAAATGCAGCTGCCACAACACACCACACACACACACACACACTCATGCTCGGGCAGAGCACACAAACTTTTCATTTCGCGGGTAAAAACTGAAAAGTCAAACTACTTTGGTCTAACGCTGAAGCGCAACTGTCAGCTGCTCGGCTCGTTCAAAAAAGCTGTGACACTCGGCCCCACAAGCAGAGAGCGCCGGAGAGCAAGCTTTCGGCTAAAGCTCTCTCCTCCCACACACACGCACGCACAGCGGAAGCCAGCAGCTTTTGCAGTTGCACATGACGCAAACAAAAACTATCTACCTCTCTTTATCTATCCCCCTCTCTTTTGTTAGCTAACTGTCCCACTCGCACAGTTGCAGTTTAATGTTCAAGGTGACGTTCCTCTATGTATGTGCGTGTCCGTGTGCATGTGTCACAGTTTTTATTCTTTTTTTTTTTGCGCGCGAGAGAGATTCCACAATTATGCGAAATTATCGATCAAATTTTGTTCTAAGGTCAACCTTAAATTGAAAATTCCGCCTTTTCCCCGCAACCGTTCCGCTTGAGGCCAACAGCTGGTATCGGAATTGTTAATCTTGTCATGCATGACCTGAAGCATTTCGTGTGATTAGTGGCCGTACTGCCATTATAATATTATTTCGATAAAACGAGAGCTACAGCACATGATCTTGTGCGATAAATGATTTCAGGTGCGCTGACTGTCAGACAATCGGCTGTAATTTTCATTAACAGTGCATAGAACCCTTGTTCAATGATATCTTAAAAAATTAAAATAAACGGGAAATCTGTAAGCAGTTGTGGTAATGGGGAAATAAATACTTTAGTAAATTAAACTATTTTAAATTTTTTGTCAAGAAATTGTTCAAATTTTTGGCTTAAACGGTTTGCCAAAAAAAAAACACAAAATAATGTAAATCACTTAGGAAAATTGGTATATGTTTTGTAAATTTATAGCTTAATTGTGTATATATTAAACATTCCGAGTAGCATTTTAAAAGTTTTATTCTTTGAAGAAATCAACGCGATGGCTCAGTACTTATTTATAATTATTCCCCATACATTAATGATTTAATTTGCTGACCATAAGCTTGCTATTTCCGTAGTTAAAGCAAGTAAAGCCTGATTTCTATATCCCTCGATTGCGTAAGTCGTCGCGCTTAGCCATTGTCTATTATTTGAGTGCGAGTTTTTATTGAGTTTGATGGCGTTTTATATGCGAGCACTTCAATCGCAGCTAATTTCATCATAAAACTTGTCATGAGGTCACCGAGAGCACAAAATGCACACTGTTCCGATGGCTGTTGTTGTTTTCTTTTTTAATTACCCACCAGATAATTGTTTGCCTAGCACGAGGGGAAAATTGATTTTACACCGCGCCATTCGACCGACAAAAAAATCATGGCAGTGACAGAACCCAGCGGTTGCATAAGTCACATGGCGAAGAGACTCTTAAATGCACACCGTATAGTACACTGTATAGTACACCGTATAGTACATACGAATACCCATGAAATCACGGGGGAGAAAGGAGAAAGTCGCTCGGGCAGAAAATCAATTTCGTTTTCCTTGACCTCAGGGAAAAAAGAACGAGAAAAGACAAAGGGGAGTGTCGACAAAGGATAATTGACGGTCATTTGAAATGCAAAAGTGACAAAAGTGGCTGCAGCCGCGAGCTGGCAAATGTCGAAATAATGTCACCAAGTTGCCTTTGCACAGCTGCAGTTCGGACCAAGAACTCTTGGCCAATTCGCACCATGCCGCATCGCATCGCATCGCATCGCATCGCTTTGGCAGCTTGTGAGCCAAAAAGCCGAGGCGAAACGAAAATAGAAAATGCCAAACGGCTTTCGATTTGCAGCAAGTGCACGCGACTCTGGGTGAAAACAGGAGAAAAACGAGCGAAAAAAAGAAATATTTGTGTATATAAATCAGAAACAAAATCAATTTGCAGCATGAACATCTTTTTAATTGTTTCTGCCAGCGATTTCTAAAGCTGATTGGACGGGCGACCGCTCCGCACTAAAATTTCACTCATTACTACGGACGGTTTGCTTTTTGTGCGGGCCATAATAATTAATGATTTGAAGAGTTTTCAGAGCGTTGCATTCGATGCGCCCATCATCGCACCTCAAAGCCCCAAAAGCAACCCCCTCTTTCTTTGCGTGTAAATGGGGAAGGGGGGTAAATAATAGATTCAAATTAAAAAGAAAATCGGAGCAAGTGGAAAACCAAAAGCGAAATTATAACTTTTCTGAATGTGTAACAAGAAAATGCTGAGTATAATCATATGCAATTTTTGTCTTCTCACTGATTGTTTTCTTAAACGATTCTTAAGTCCTAAGGTTATTTTATTCAAATTCCAATTTATCTCTTTTCATTGTTTTCTTTTTATTATTTTTGTTTTTTTTTTTTTTTGGGGAGAAATGAATACTTTGTTGAATCGAACCGAAGCTTATGGCTAATAGAACATTTTTTTAGTATGGCAAAATTAGGTTCGTAACGGAAAGTAAGAAACAAGTTAACGAAATGAAAATTATTGATAAATTGGACTTGCAAAACAAATGGTATTATCCTGAGCAGGAAACTGGTAGACTTGCGGAGAGACTTACCCTGTGTTGAGTTTTCGGAGAAGTATCCTGGATGATTCTGGAGCTGCAAGGATGCCAAACGGCCACTGGATACCACCAGCTGTGTTCACTTGCTTGCATTGTATTCAAAGCGAGCACAGGGTGTATCCCAACGGCAGTTGCACATGGACAATCAGCTTTTCGCGGAAAAGCTCAGCGGGGACACAAACCACTTTTGTCGCTCTGCTCAGCTCCAAGCTGCAGATGAAGTTTCCACGACAGTTATATCTAGCTGCACTTTTACGATTCAAGTTTACTCATTTTCAGATCACTTACTAAGTCATATTTTGGTTTTCAGAAATATGCTTCACTTCTCTTTGATTCACTGTGCGCGTAAAAATTGTATTAATGGGTAAAGTATTGTGGTAGACAACTTATCTCTGCTATCTATTTATACTTTTAATGTTTGATAATAAAAATTTTAATTTTAGAAAACTAAATTGAATGCTAAACTCTTCATTGCACTCTTTTCATCCTCTTGCTTTCTGTAGTTAATTATCCTTCTTTAAACTGTTTCCTTGCACAAATCCTTCACCGGATCCCATTAATATCCCCTGCACTATTTGAACTGTGTGTTTTCCCTCACTTCTGCTAATGTATAATTTATTGCACTCCTGCCATCTGTGACTTGTGTGCAAAACTTTCCGCTGCCCCAAACTGGACCTCTTGCCAGGGGGATAACCGAAGTGTTTTTGGCCTGCATCGCGTCTCCTTAGATTCGGTTGCAAACAGCTGCCAGCCGACTTGTGGGTTGCTCCACATAGGCGTCTATATACGGATATCCGTATCCCCGATCCCCGGAAGGGGGCGTGTGTATCTGAGTGCTGCCCACGCCTACTGCTGCATGGGTGTGGAAAGGTCAAGGTGCAAGACGACAATAACAACAACAACAGCAACGATACACAGCGTGTGTTGCATATGCCAAAAGTCTGGGTTCGTGTGTGCGATAGAGAGAGAGAAAAAAAAGAGAGAGAGAGAGAGAAAGTTCGGTTCGTGTCGCTGTTTTCTCAGCTGCTTAATTATTCAAATTTAATTGCCATATGCTGGCGTGCGTCACTTGAGTTGTATGTAAGTACACACACAGACACGCACACACACACACTGGAACATCGACCATATTGTTGGTATTTTTTACCTATTTCGGGCTGTGCTAATCAATTCTCCACACCTGATTTTGCTGTTTTGGGCGACGCGCCTTTAAAATGAACTTGGAACCGAACCGCACACACACACACACGCACACGTAAGCACCGAACAGGATACGGGGGAATCCAGTGGATAACTAGGCGTATGCGTGATGCTGACCTCATCGGCTGCCCGCTCGTCACCGAATAAACTTGGCCAGCAGGGAAGCTGCAGCTGGGCTCGTACAGGTGGAGGTCAGTTCCCCACACCCCACACCCCGTTCTCCTGGCCGTTTTTTCCCGCTTTTCACCCCGATTTTCGCTCCGCTTTCCACCCACATCCTCCTATCCCCTTAAGTATGCAACAGTATGTGACTACAACAGCAAACAGTTGGCCGACGTCGGCAGCGACGTCAGCCACGCTGTCCTAAGCCGCCCACGCAAAAGCTGCTCTCCCGAAAACCGAAAGCTGCGAGAGCGAAGCTTGCGCTCTGCTCTGATTTTGTTTTTGTTTAACCTAATCAATGGCAAACACTCGCACACATACTTACCTGCTGGGGGCTCTCTCTCGCGTGCTCGCTCTCCCACTCACATTTTTTTTTGCCGGCAGTAAAAAGTTTTCAAGTTCAAGTCGCTGAGCAAGAGCGCATGTCTGCTTAATACAGGCCTCCTCGCTCGCTCACCCACACACACGCGTGCAGTTGCATTTCGATTGTTGTTCCGCCTTTTCGCTTTTTGCTGTCGTCATGCAAAAATCAACGAAATCTCCCCTCTCTCCAAGTGGGCGTGGTGGGGGTTCCGCCGGGGGGCGGGGCAGTCCAATCCTTTCGACTTAGCGCTGCTCAGCTGAACTGAACTGTCGCTAATTAAATTTCCATGCTGACGCAGCTCACCACCCTAAAAATAAACAAACAAAGAGATTTTTGTTTAGAAGTCCATCGATAAAATGCAGGCTAACATTATCGATTCGGCAGCATACGAGCGCTGGCCATTGGTCCGTCTATAAACAAACATTTCGGCTTGCCATTCGTTTCCACATTTTATGAGGGCGAAATTTTTTGGTGGAATTTGCACAAACCACACTTGGTATTAAAAAAAACTCTATTTTTATATTTAGATTTCGAAATGGGGGTTTTGCTTTAAATGTTTGTTCTCTAACTTTGTCAAAAAATGAATAATAATAATAATATGCTTTCCATACAGTTCTTTATTGCATGCATAAGAACGATAAAAAAAGGGATAGCTTATCTTTCAAAAATCGAAACCATTTTATGTACTTTTGCCTTTTCCTCCTCAGCTTTTCTTAAATCGAAAGCAAAATATTCCCCTATTTCGCAAAGTGATTCACCCTATGCATAAATCCGAGTGAAAATAGATTTTTATTTTCTAGGTTCGCGGTAGCAGCTCCCCTCCCTAAAGACCGCCCACTCAAGGTCTTTTCGAGTGCATTGCACATTGCAAATTGCATTGCTGGTGCAACGAACTCGTCGCTATGCATAATGGAATTTGGTTTAATGTGTTATTTATGTATTTACATACAAACGTACACATTTTAGTGCCATGAGTGTAGTCAGAATTAGTTCTAGTGCGGCTATAAATACTGATTAACTAGAGACATGTTTCTGGAGAGAAATGTCCAAATAGGTTCGGTTAGAAACATTACAATAGATTTATTTTGGATCACAATCATAGGCTCTTTTCGTGCTGTGCATAGAATCAATTTCTGGGTTTGGGCGATCGATGTTCCAGCTTTTTGCTGTGTACATTGTTCAGCTACGAGTCCATTAAGTAAGAACACGCTGGCGATTAATTAAATGGCCAACAGAAATTCTCGTTTTGCTTTGGCAGGTAGTCAGACAGGTCGAAAGGGGGTGGGTGGGGCAGAGGGGAGGGGGTGATTGCAGTCGCCACTCACCGTAATCATCAACATCAATTCAATTAAAGCTCCACAGGCGAATTCGTGCGCGTGTGTGAGTGAAAGATAATAAAACTGAAAGGCAAAACGCATAGAGCAATAATAAGTGCGAATAAGTGTCGCAAAGCGAGCGTCGAAAATTGGCTTTATCAGCTGCACAGCAAAAAAACAGCTCGATATCCAACATTTAAGTATATATTTACAATAATTTAATAATGTTTTATAAAGAACTTTAAGAAAAGGTGAAGGTGAATTTTCTACAGTTTGTAAAGTATTTTCGTTAGCTTATTTTTCTCTTTAGCAAAGACTCGAGTGAGTGAGAAAGAACGATGTTTGCTCGCTTTTTATTCCTTTGGCAGTGAATGTTTGCCGCCGTCACTTTTTGTTTTATTGTTCGTACTTTTCGCCATTCCTTTCTTTGTGTTTGGTGTTTGCTGTTTCTGCTTTTTGCATTTTGCTTTTTCTGCTGTCTTTGCTTCCTCTTTGTTTGCCGCTGCACGTGTTGGCATCTCTTTCTGGCAATGAAACGTGCCAAACTGGTTTGCCATACACTCACACACATGCACATGGGTACAGCACAGCTCTACGGCAACTACGTGCTGCTAGCTCGCTTGCACTCACGGCTCTAGTGCTGTATGTACAACTAGTATCTTAACCTTGAACTTGAAACACACAAACGCACACACACAGAGGTAGAGAAATGAGAGAGCGACACACTGAACGAAAGGCAACACGCGATGCTGACGCCGCTGCCGACGTCGACAGAGCTTTTCGGTTAGCCATGTATTTGTGTCTGCTCTTTCTCTTCCCCTTTCCCTTTCCCCGTGTCTTTCTTTTCTCTCACTGTTGTCCATTTTGAACTGCAGCTTACGCGATGCATACGTAATATGGTGAACACCTGGGCCGAGTCATCATCTTTCTCTAACCTTATTTGGACTGTCCATTTCAGTTCCGACCCCCAGAGCACCACAAAATCTAGCTACATCCCCAAATCCCATCCACATACCCTCAAACCCAGTTACAAATGACGCCACAGGGCAATTAAAAGGGTGCACAGAGAGAAAAGCTGGTTTAGTCGTTGCCGGAACAAGAACAAGAACAAGAAAATTTGTATAAATTACGTATACGTAGTGATGGATTATAATAAAAACTGTTTCGAAAATGTCGTCATTCAGATGAAATTACTTATCATTCGAGATCATAAACTGAAATAGAATTTCAGAAATTAAAATCCATTCAATCATCTTTCAAAAATGTTAAGATTATTAGACGTTTTGATATCCACAAAACAAAGATCAGAACTCTACCATATTTGTTCTGATAAAATCTGGTGTTTTTATTTTCTCTGTAGCCGTGAAGATGACTTTTCCTGCCCAACCCCAACCCAAAACCCCAACCCCATCCTCGCTTCCGTGATTCCGTAATGAGTGTGGGTCGTGCGGAGATGGGGCGAGAGTTACGTAAACGAATTTCGAAATCCCATTTACCCACACGTATGCAGATGCACACATCGATGAACCCGTATCTTGTGCAAACAAAAGCGGCACGCAAAGCTAAACTCGAGTCAAGTTCAGATACAAAAATATCGCATTGTGTAGGTTGGCCTGCGGTTTTCCACAGGGGGTGGGCGGGGTCGCCGGGAAATTGCACTTGGATCTTGATTGACTGCATCACATAGCAGTATTTCGAGTGCTGTTCTGCTGCTCTGCCGTTCTGCCTTTCTGGGCGAACTGCAGTTTACAATTTCACAGAATTGTTTACCGCACTCGGCCGATCGTGTGTCAGTAGATAATCTGAGTCACACATATACGTACGGCATCTGTACATTAGTTGGCAATACAGAATAGAGCAGCACTGATCTGCTGATCCGCTGATGACACGTGATGCAATTGAAAATCAACAGACTGACTGGCCATTAAACTGCAGAGTTTTTCAACGGCCATTCTGTAAATTGTTTAGTCATAAACACAGCTTTTATGGTCCATTAAAATGACATACAATTTAGAACTAAATAAAGAGATCGATTGAAGATTAAGGAACAAAGGGACAGCTCTATAAACTGGTTTAACCTTATTTCTAACCTATCATAACCTTGGCCTTTTTGCAATCGGTTCGATGCATTTAATCTTTATATAGTTTTTGAAGGGGATTAAAGAATTCATTCAAATTTTAAATCCCTTGCCGCACTTAGGTTTGTTTACATTAAAAGCTTATTCCCCACATCGTTCTCTTTTTTAGCGACAATTGCCTGGAAATTGGTTTCTAATTGTTGGTGTGGAGTGAAGTCATAAACAAGCTCAGAAGCTGGCAAACAAAATGGCAGCACATTTTCGCACGCAAATAGAGCCATCATCATTTCGCGCAAAGTTCCTGAGAATCATAATTCCCTTTGGCCAAATTCCGAATGCTTTGCTCTTTTTTTTTGTAATCGTATATAAACGGAACTGTTTATAAGCTTTTTCGCATTTGTTTTGTTTATTTTCGCTGCTGTTGTGGCTTTTTCGCGATTATGTACTTTTTTCTTTGGTTGGCTTAATTCGTGTTGTTTATGTTATAAATAAATTTTTATATTTCTGCAAATTCCGGCCAAGGAAAACAAATGATTGGGAGAGATGGCCAAAACATATTGAAAGTCACTGTGTGTGTGTGAGTGTGTGTAAAGAAGAGAGAACGTATTTTGAAAGCAGTGGCGTTTGATGGGTTTTATCACGGGGGCTTAACTGATTTATTTGATTACATTTTTTAATGTGCCGTGCTTTATCAGTAGCTACCAGGAAAAATATATAGGTTATAGAGATTATTTAGTTGTGGTATTCAATTTAGTAATTACAGTTTGAGCACTTGGATACACTAATGCAGCTACAAAGTTTTCATAAAAAAAACTTCCCTAAACCGAAATCTATTGTTTTTATCGCATTCGTGTTTATATATTTCTATTTATTTTAATTAAGGGGTGTTCAACCCTGCAAAACACTCCTCCCCTTTTTCGGCGAGCCCCTGGCTGTAAAACTTAGCTTTTAGCAATTGTTGACTGTATTTTCCGCAATCACAACAACGGTGGGCCAAAGGGGAATTCGGCGGGGGTGGCGAAGTGCCTTTGATGACGCCGTCGAAAAAATGTTAACTACGACGCAATTCAGTTTACTCACATTCTGCTGTTTTCTGCCACATTTCTTTTTGTCTGTGTGTTTGCCGATACTTTTTTGTTTTCTATCATGCACTTTGTTTGGTTTGATTTTCGCTCAGAAAACTGATGCGTCACTTTTGGGCCAAGAAGCCCTAATCCTTACACAAACACTATTTTATTTTGGGGATGTTTGAAAAGTGTTTTAAGTATTATTTATTGTTTTATTTTTTATTTATTAGCTGGTTAAAAGGCAAATGCGATCGGTCGAAGGTGCCGCTGTTCAATGTCGCCGCTTTTTCGTCTACCATGGAAAGTTCTCGCCTCTGCCGCAGCGCTGCCTCGGCCGGCGTCGACGTCGGCAGAGTTTCTATCTTTCAACAAACACTCGCTCTCGTGTGCTCTCTTTCGTCAAGTTTTTCGATTCTTCCTGTTCCTGTTTCTTGGGCCTGCTTTTGGGCAGTCTTCCACTCTTGCCCTACTGCCCCACACACCTCTCAAAAACCCGAAAAGCACATGTGACTCCTTCGCAATGGCCTTCAAACTGACTCTCTCTTTATCTCTCTGGCTCGCTCTTTGGTGGCTCTCTCTGCCATTCTTTCATTCATTATTCTCCCCCCTTTCACATCCCTAAAATGTATCGTATCTGCGCACTTTTATCTGTGTTTGCCACTCACTTTTGCTTTTTTCGGATTCCTGTTTTTATTGCGACGCTTTTTCTAGGCGAAGCGAAACAAAACAAAACGCTGAAAAACAATTTCAAGGGTTTGGTGGGGTTAAAGAGATCCTCATCCCTTGATCCCAGCAAAAAGCTCGTCCGAGCTTTGCAAGCTCAACAAAAGGATACGAATCTTGCATACATTGACGTTTTAAATTTGGTTTCGTCTGCTAGGATAACTTCGTATATGTTGTTATAAAGAAAAATATTAATATCACATATCAAAGCAAGCTCTATTTTTTCCCAAGCGGTTAAGAAAACGTATTCCATGGAAAGTAATATAAAAAAGAATTAACATTGTGTGGTTATACAAGCCAAATTTAATTTTAAAAAATTTTGTTTATGCATAGGTATTATCATAAGTATAAAATCGGAAAAGTTTGGCTGACGAAATCGAAAAAATTTTAGAGGCATACTTTTCTTTAAATTTCTCACCATTAATGATCCCAGTCACGAAGACGTTTTTTCTGCTTTACATTTAGATTATGTTGTTCCTTTGTATTAACACTTTTTTTTTATCTGATTCGTTTTATATTGTAGTTTTTTCTAAGCAGAGCTCACTTCTTTTTGGGGGCACGTATTAAAAACAGTTGTGAAATGCACTTGCATTCTTCGATTCGTTTCTTCTTCTTTCTCTATCTTTCGTCAAAGCACAAAACAGATTGCACATAATCGAGTTGAATCATTTTAGGAAAGGTATGCATAATTTCCGTTTTTAAGCTTGTTTATTTTTTATTTTTTTAGCTTGACGAGCACTTCTCTTGAACACAATTAATTTGCAATTATTTTGCATTGTTATTTGCTTAGGTATTGTGAGTGGGTTTTGACAAAAATTTAATTTCGTTGTTGATGTCATTTGCGTGTCGAGTTTTTAACGAATAATAGAGGAATTGTTTGGTTTGAGTTTTTTTTTGTCTTCTTTAGCTTTGTAGTACTATTTGTTGTGTTTAGAATTCTTCTGGTTCCGATTGGGGATTTGCTGGGATTGGAGCGTTGTTGGCAGCTCGCCTGTCGCACTTTCAATGCTAACGCGCAGCCCAGCAGAAAATGGCAGAGCCGTCGTCGTCGCTGCAAAAAAAGCCCGAAAGCTTCCGATGCGAAGAGAGAAGAAACGGGCCAGTGTGCGGGAGAAAAGGGAAGAAGAACGAGGGCCCAGAAGACAGTCACATATGTATGTGGCGCAAGGAGCTGTGCGTTCCACTGCCTGAGCAGAACATGCACAAAACATATATGTATGTGTGTATATAGCACTAAAAAAGGAAACTCTGGGCAAGCTCAGCTCAAGTTCAAGGATGTTATGTAATAAAGCCTGGAGAGAGCGGCCAGCGAAGTGGTTCTGGTGTAAGTGCACATGCATGGCAGTAAGCAGCTCTCTCGCAGTAAAATACATACACGTTGGTATTCCTCATCTGATCCCCTTTCGCTTTCTCGCTCGCCCTCTCTATCGCCGTCCCTCTCGCTCCCTTCGAATGTACTTGCAGTTTAGGTTGTGCAGTCTCCCCTGACGCGCCTTGTTTACTGCCCCTGAACAGTGGTCATCTGCTAAGGAAGGTCAACAGGAGCAGGCGGTACTTCTCTCCGATTGGTGTCCCAATAGAATGTATAGAATCTATTTGAAAGGTGTGATCCAATGATATATATATACATATATATATTTGTAAGTCCTTTTTTTATAATTTAGAATGTCTCAGTTTTAAAAAAATGATTAACGATCATTAAAATTTGTATTTACCTATTAAAATATTCGGAATAAAAAATACAATTTATTATAATTTTTGTTTTCCGGTTTGGAACCAAGAAAAATAGTTGCCCCACTTTATGTGTGTTCACTGTATGTGCACTTAGTGCGCTGTGTATCTGCCCGGTTTGGGCTTTTCGGTTGTTCGTGTTCTGGGCCTGGGCAGCGAATTGTATATAATTAGCGCACTTATTGACTAACTGCCGCTTGCAACACAAAACGGTCGTAGCAACAAAGTGCACGAGTGATAGCAGGGAAATACAATAATTACTCGGCTTACTGGCCCTCTTAAGTATACGTACGAGTATGTGTTTTAGCTGCCATATATTCGGAGTAGGTGGAACCTGCTAATACCTATGTATGTACACGATGCACAGTCATGCGATTTCGATTGACAAATGTGCGTGTGCTGCAATTTTCCACTGTCTAAGCCAGCCCCCAAAAATCTGCCACCGAACACCCACGCTATTGGGATCTCTTTGCATCTCTTTCTCGCATTTTCCCTTTCTTATCTCTTTCCCTCGATGCGCCTCTCTTTTTAATAGAGCAAACATTGCTAGCCATTCGATTTTAATTTCTTAATTGAATTTGTTTGGGGGCGCAAGTATGTGGATGCCTTGTATATGTGTTGGTGAGAGAGAGGAAGAGAGCGCTTTCCGCCATGTTTGTTTAATTGTTTAATTAAATTAAATGCCTTGAGTGCAACTCTTGCATACGAAGACACTTTGTAACGGTCGCATCCGCAGATGTATCGCAAGAAACGCTCGTAGTTGCCATCTTTTCAGGTAAATATGTGTGTATCTCTAACGTTGCATGCATGTACAAACTAACACATATGTATGTAGCATCTATATCGTCGCCTCGGCTATATGCAACAGATGTTAGCTGGGGACTTTCATAACTTACCAACTCGTGCGCCGTTTTCTTATTTCTTATGTCATGCGCACCGCGGCGTTTTAAAGGGTACACGGTTACAAATACAGCTGCAGATACAGATACAAATACAGATGCAGATACACACACTCGTGGATGCACTGGCGAACACCGAAGCTTATATAGTGGCAAATATATATATATGTATATACAGCTGACTGCTCGCCCGATACACACACTCAGCCACGGCTTGCACCTCCACAGGCACAGTGACCACCAACAGTATGTGACCACTTTTCCTGCGGACAACAGGGGAACTTTTCTTTGATTAGCACTGTGGGGAAATGGGAAAAATCGCATTACTGCTAACGAGTGAATTTCGTTACATTTTGCAATTTCCAAGGGAAAACGGAAAGAGCCATAAATACAGCTTAAAGTAAAGTTGTTATCTGCTAAAAAAAGACAGAAGCTTTTCAAGGAAAAAAGTTCAACAACAATGTGTTCTTAAAATTCATTGTTAGATTAAACACATTTTAATTCCAAAATTTTTGGACATAGATTTAATATTTTTATAATGTCTCTTAAGCTAAATAAGTACAATAGTATTCTATTTAAAAAATATTTCTGGATCTACGAAATTGTTCTAAGCAAGAAATCATAAACAGTAAAATATTAAGTATACGTCAGGTATGACAAATTTTCCCTAAAATACCTTTTGTTACTAAAAATAACCACAGCTTAGCTCAGTAGCGCTCAAAATTGCCTATAAGGCTATACACCCGATTTAAAAGCACACTAGTATTTATAACCATGACGGGTATGTACCTTCGTTTGGTAACTGCTGTAGGACCAAGCTTAAGCCGCATCTATTATAGAATGTGTATATTTGGGGAAAACTGAGGGAGAGTGGGCGGTGAACATTTCGGCAGCACTGTGTGGGTAACTGCTGGTTGTGCTGCTACTGCGGCTGCTGTTGCTGCAACAACCGCCCTTGTTCCCCTCGCCTTTTCTGCAGCGCATGACTGTAGTAGGTGACCTTGACAGTGAACTTGAAATACACGCTACAAGGATTCGCTTCTCGTGCGTGCGTGTGTGCGCTCGTGAAACGCTGTGGAATGGAACGAAGAGCAACAAGAGAGAGAGAGAGCTTTTGTTCTTGGTTTAACTGCAGTTGTGTGGGGTGGTGAACTGGCTGTATACCAGTATATAGCATGAATCATCGCTACTTGCGACGCGTTGTCTGCAGTCGCCTTTTGTGCAATATATGTGCCAGAAATTTCGCTTTCATGTTTCCCTTTTTTCGTGCAGGGGAAAAGCGGAGAAAGAGAGAGCGAGAGGGTAGCTTTATGCAACGGTTAAGCTAATGGCGAGCATATGTTGGTTGTTGCTCTGGACGGACAAGTGTGCCAAACGGTCCACATTTACATTCGCGCTCGCATTCCCATTTCGATTTCGATTTCATTTGCTATTTTCTGGCATTTCCCTAGTCATCGGCGACTTTGATGTTGTGTTCAACTTTGACATTTATCAGTTTATAGCGCTTTCAGCGGGGGTACAATTTATGTATGCCCTGACCCTTCAATCACTTCCCAAGATGAAAGCACTGCACATTTCCTGAAGCTGGCTCAAAAGCGTTTACGGCTTGGCAACATGGCGTATGAGCATTATTAAGCAATTGTACGAAATTGAGATTTCCCACGCCTATGACCCAATTTTCATTTTATGCCAAAGCTAATTACTTTCCTTGATTGCAAAATGCATTTCGGGTCCAAAGATGGAAAACTATATCCCGAACTTTGTAAATTTCAACGTCAATTAATCAAAATGCATTTCAAGCATGTAAAATGTTGTTTTCAAAACCAATTAACACGTACACTCACCCACAACCGCACACACATACCTTTGAGCTAAATAAACACAGGAAAATGCTGTTGGAAACTGTTGCTAAATTTATAAAATAGAAAACGGAAAAAAACGGTGAAACTGAAATTTGTATCTGTGGGATAATGAATATATAGGCAAGCTGAGATAGAAAGATGCAAACGTAGGCAGAAAACATGCGATACAAATTGTGAGTACACAGGAAAAACAAAATAAGCAATTCCAAAGATAGTTGTAAGTTATTATTTTAGACTTTTATATGGCTGTTTTAATTTTTATTTGAATTACCTTTGTTTTGAATATCGATCATGTTGTTTTTATTTAAACAAAATAAGGTAAATACTTGAAATTACTTCACCTTTCCGTCCTCTGTAAACAAAAATTGAAATATTTCTGTACCTGTATCGTTTGTCAGGTGCATTAATCCAACGGCAAGAGGAATTGAGAACACGAAATTGCATTTGAAAATTCAATTATTTTCGGTAGTTTTCCATATCTGCCAAAAGAGAGTGAGAGAGAGCTTATCACATGAGCGATTTGAATGCATGTGTATGCGTTAACCTTGAGATTGTTAGTTCCTCGCTGGAGAGAGATGGCCTGCTTTAGAGGGAGAAAGAGGAAGTGAGAGCGCTAGAGAGTGAGAGGGGGGAATGCAGTTTGCAAATTGCGCTTGTGTGCGTTCAAACTTTTCGCTTTGGCACATTTCTTTGCGACGTGTCTGGCCATCTCTATCGCACGCTTGCTGTCTCCCTCGCCTTGCATCTTGTTTTTGTTGTTTGTTTTTCGCTTGGTGTTTGTTTTTTCCCTTTACTTTTTCGCTTTTCGAGCGCAAATGCAATTCACGTTCAAGGCCATGCCACATATATATATAAATATATATAGAAAATGTGTGTGTATCGTCGGTTGTCAACTATATTTTCAGTACAGCCACAGATACAGATACAAATACGAGATACACACGCACACAAGTGCAAGTGTACACAATCAATAAATTGCAAACTTCTCAGTTTTATCTCTCTTCCGTTTCTTTTAATTTTTGTTGCCTTTGCCTTTGTCTTATCGCCGCTTGTCTTTCCTCTTCGTGTTTGGCAAACATTAAAGAAAATAATCAAAACGACAGCAAAAGGGAAAACGGAAAGTATTTCAGACAAGCGCATTTCCTAATAAACAAAATTGCACAACTTTGGGAATGTATTGCAGTACTTTGTTATAAATAAACGAACTTATTTCGCTCATCTCAATATATTCATTATTTCACTATAAATGAGTACTTAATTTTAGTTTTCCAATGCAATTCGTTCATCTTCTTTCCTATTAAAACGATAAGATATTGCCACTGAAAACGGGTGTCTAAAGATTTAAATGCATAATTTTCCAACCCACTGCATCATTTACTGCACCCCCGAGGGGGCAAGTCGACTCATATTGCTCATCCCCCTTTATGAGTCCCTCTGGTATTATATAAATTGCTGTCAAATGGCAATGAGAATGCCATGCAATCAAGCGTAAACTGTAGAGAAATACCAATTATGGAAGCTGTTAAGACGTGTGGGTTAAGTGGAAATTTTCTTATCATAATAATATCGAAGCTGACCTTAGGCTTTCTTAAATTTACACAAATTAACGTATGTGAATAAGTTGTATTTACATCTTCCCTAATATGCAATCAGTTGTAGGCTATTCGTATTTTGTTTGGAATTATTGGGCCCAAATAATTTCTAATTGTTATCAGAAGTTTGCTTAGGAAATGATTTGCAAAGTGACAGTTTTGAATTTTCTTTTAAACTAACATTTCACTTATAATAATCAACAGATATTTTGAAGAGAATACAGAAGCTGCTATTACACAAATTAATGGCATAATATTTTTCCCCAATACAAAAAGGGCAGATGCGGTAAACTTTGTATTGGCAACAACAAATCTGAGTAATAATATGCCTTGGCTTCGAAACCAAATTAATGACAGAAATGTTACCAAAGGGGATTCAAACCAAACAGTTATCAAAAACTAATTTTTTTGTAATTGAAGTATTATATTAATTAATTAGGTGTAAAATAATTTGAATAATAACCCCCCTTTTTAAGTGAACATCTACGTCCGTAAAACATTTGATAGAAGGAATTTCAAGGAATTGCAGTTAAGTGTAAAATACTGCGTTGCACTTTTAATCGAGCTATAATTTTAATTGCCTATTAACACATAAAGGCGAAATTTGATTGCAAATATTATGGCGAATCGTATTAAATGCTAATTGGGGATTCGCTTACTGGGCTTTGTTTTTTCCCCAGAGAAATGTGTCAAGGAAATTTCTCGCTCCCTGCCATATGGAAAGCGAACACGGAAAATGCTTTAAGCAGGCGCCGTTGGAATGCAAACAACGCTCGATGATGAGAAATTCTATTTGGGGGCAAGGTCACGGCTCCATTGAGTTGCTCTCTTTCACTCTCTTGCATTTGAGTTGCATTGGTGTGAGGGAGGGGCGAACAACACCCACCCACCCACAACACCAGTTTTCCGGGCGTGGGTGTGGCCATAGAACGTGGGCAGATGCAGCAGCAAGAGGAGAAGAACGAGAGGGAGAAGGAGAGGGAGAAGAAGAGGGAAAGGGAGAAGGAGATGAAAAGGAAGAAGGAGCAGCTGGGTTGGCATCCTGCAAATCCATTGACGTGGGCCACACCAAGTGACCCATATGCGTCACTTCCTGGGCGCTGTTGCCACTGAAAAGCCCTGTTCTCGGCCATGTTCTCGTGTTCGCCAATTCTCCAGTTCTCTGGTGCTCTGCTCCTTCGATTCACGGCTTCCTGCCTCGATGGCTCTGCTAACTTGATGGACACTCGCCGCTAATTGCATCCTGCGGCGATTGTCGGTTGCATACGAAATGCCATTTGCACCGCATATGATTTGGCCGAAGGACATGGTCTAATCCTTCACCAGTCACGCCAGATTTCACCAGCTGTTGGCACATTTTATGCATTTTAAACAGTTTTCCATCTGGGGTTCGCAGATAAATTCACAGATTGGTTACTCTTATTTGGTAGTATAAATATCAATTCTAAACCGGTAGACTTGTGATAAATAAAAACATTTTTAAGCAGTGTGTATATACATTTTTAAAAAGACTTCCCATAGCTCTCTATTTTATTTAAATATAAATTATGAATAATTTAAAGTATCACACATAATAATCTGGCTTTTATATTATACACCTGCCATAAAAATAACAAATTAATTGAAAACCCTTAAAACTAGATAAGCATTATATAGTACACTATATCGCTGAGGTTGTGGGGCTCAAACTTACAACAAAAAAAATCCTTGTTACTATAGATTTGTAAAGTTCTAACTTCCAGAAACTAGCTTCCTTTCTTGTTTATAATAAGGTGGTATCTTAAGAATATTCTTTAGCCCAATTTTTACACAGGGTGAAAATTTCAAACCTTTTTTAAATTTGTACCGCCAATAGAGGGCGCTACTGAAAGCTTACCCTCAAGCTCACTCAATGAACGAACCTTTTTTAATAGGGGTGAAAATTGAGCTTTTCCCTTGAAACAGAAACTTCCTCAAGTACAAAGCACAATCATAGTTTACGCAAATATTCCCTATTCCACCTCAAAACTTCAGTTTAGGGGAAGAATGCGGCTAAGACTACCCCTCAGCCCACTAAAATTACGCATACGCACCGTGGGCTGCTGTTTGACAGGCAAAATCACAGCATGATTGACAAATTGCCATTGAAATTGCTTGCTATTTCCGCAAGTCAAGACCGCTGGTTAAACAAACAGATGAGCGAGCCATTCGATAATCAAAGTGATACACCGAACGAATGCGATTGTCAGATGGTTTGAGTGGGATTCAAATTGAAATTGTGACAGTATTGCCGGGGGAAAACTGACCACATGTCAATGCAAAGCAACTTCAAAGCGACGAAATGACGGACATGGCAAACCAAGGGGGCGTGGTCGAGGGGGGTGGGGGTAGCAGGTTAATGGCAGGTAATTGAGGCAAGAATTTCGCATTCGCATAACTGACAAATGAACAAACCGTCGCAGCACTCACTGTGTGAGCCAATTTAATTGGGCGAGAATCCATAAGCGGAATAGTTTGTCGGACGGGGTGGAAATTGAAAACGTCATTTGAATGCCAAATGACAATTAGTATTTGCCATCTACCAGGGGCCAAGAGGCCAACCATTGTGCTGACAAGTTTCTGCTTTAGACCAACTCACAAATCAATTGTGGCCCACGAATGTGGGATATAGTTAATTACCAAAGCTGAGACTTTTTGACCCCTCAACCGAGCAGTTGAACTCGGAATTCGGAATGCCATGCACAGAAAAAAATCTAGGAGACGTACTAGACAAAAAAAATTATTAAATACAAATAAAAAGTTCGAATTCCTTTTAAATCTTTAAATGTTATTTTTATTATTTAAGGAATTAGTAATATTCGAAATAATAAAATTAAGCAATTAATGCGAAATAAAAATGGTTTTCTATCATGACATGTTAATTAAAGTGGATGTTAATTCATCCCTAAAGTCCCAAAAAAATAAATAAATAACACCAATTAATAAACACGCATAAATAATTAAACACAATCAGTAAAAACATTTGATTACACATCCAACCTAAAGCATAGTAATTATTTCTCTCTGTGTGTTTTTGCATTAGTTGACACGCCAATTAGTGCATTTATAATTCATGACGTGGGTTAATTGCTACACTTAAACCCAACTAAACGGCCAACGATTGGGGGCTGTAAGACCTTTAAGACGAAGCCAAACCTTATCTCGAAAAACAGATAGCAGATAAAATTGTTTACGATTAAATCCGAAGAAGAGAGCGACTGTGAATCAGTTTTGGCCACAGCTTTGCAATGGTAACCACAAAACGGAATAAAGAGTTTTGCCAAAAAGTTCGGCTAAAATCAACGCAGGTGTTCATTGTGGCCGGAACGTGTTTAATAACAGTTTTGGTCACTTTGCTTTGCATTGGCTTTATGACCAGGTACGAAGTGGATAACGAGGTGGCCAACGTGGCGGATGTGGATTATTGGAAGGACAAGGTGGCATCGTCGCAGAAAATCTGGTATGACAAAGGCATTGATGAGCTCAACGAGGCACTGAGAACTCCAAGGGGACCTATTTATCCCAAAAATTTGAGAATATTTCTGATTCAGGGTGTCGATGGCCGAGATTTGGCTGCTTATCGGTTTTCGGGTAAAGATTTAAGCAATGGAAATACCAACTTTGTTTGGGATAAGTTTCCCCATTTTGCTCGATTGAAAAACACCTGTAGTCAACAATTTCCTTGCCCGATTTCAAGTGTTGCCAAATCTTTATGGACGGGAATACCTTTGGATAAAATCCCAGAAGCTCAACCAGATTGTGGTAACTTAGTCAACGAAACTGAAACCCCATTTAGTGTTCTTCGCCAGGCACAATTGGCTGGTTTACTAACTGGTTTTGTTACCACTCAAAGGTTTACAGGATCCACAGGAGCTGCTTTAGGAAACACAAACAGCAACTACGAATGCGATGAAAGAATGCCTTTGGGATCCTTAAAATCAGGTTGTCAGGATATAGCTCGTCAACTGATTACTGGTGAAACTGGTAAATCCCTGAATGTAATAATCGGAGGTGGCAGACAAATGCTGAGTTCTCTAGTGCCCAAATCCATATCAGATCCTGTGGATGAACTCCTTTGCGAATCCAATGATGGACGCAATTTACTTAAAGAGTGGAGGAACCAAAAACTCAAGGAGAGCAAAGTTAAGCCTATAAAATTTGAATTGGTTCAGCGAGCTGATGAATTGGAGTCCTTGAATGCCAGCAATTTTGACTTTCTGTTTGGTGTAATGGCAAACGGAGACTTAAGTGGAAATTCCAATGCACCAAGTCTTAAATTAATGGTGGAAAAATCACTACAAGTGCTGAAGAAGAAAAATCAAGGCTATCTACTTATTGTTGAACAGTTTATTCAATCGGGCATGAACAAAAGAAAGGAACTACAACTTCTAAATGAAACTTTGACTAATCTTAAAAGAGAGGAGGATACCCTTACTTTAGTTCTTTTGACTAATGCCATTTATCCAAAACCAATTCTGGATATGAGCGAAGAAACAGAAACAATTAATCAACTTTCGGAAACTTTTAATGAGGCGGAATTTCAAATACAGGAAACACTTTACCAAATGCCTTCGGAGAGCTTACTTTTTGCAATTGGTGAGTAAATTTCTTGAAACCATGTCCTATAAAGTAATTTTTGTATACTTTGCAGGGCCCAAGTCTTCCATTTTTCATGGTGTTCAAAAAGAAACCTTCATTGCACATGCTGTTTCCCATGTCCTTAGCAAAAGTAGTCCAAAAACTTAACATATTTTAGGAGGTACTCATTAATAGTTTTTGCTGTTGAAAAAAAAATCAAGGGAGGCCAAACCAAAGAAATGTTAAATTATGTGTAAATATTTCAAGGCTGAAAGGCTTTTATTAAAAGTTGTTTTTAAGAAAATCCCCTATAAACCAAAAAACAAGAATCTTTTGTGGTTAAAAATAAATTTGTTTCTGCAAATAAAACACCCCATTTAATGGTTTCTTTATCTTTTGATTGATTTATTAAACTTTAACTAGAGATCGTTGATTCAATGCTTCTAATAGTTGTTAAGTCACATGATAACATTGCCGCCGGAATCTGCATTCGTTGCCGTGGCAGCTGCAGTCGCACTCTCCGCCGGAGTTGCAGTTGCACCTGCAGACGAGGGAGCCACCCAGTTGAAGGCGTGGCCGCCGGAGGACACCGTTGCCGTGGCTGCCACTTGTCCCCTGTTTCCCGTTGCCGCAGCAGGATTGCCCGTTGCACTCGTTGTGGCAGCAATTCGTGGCACGGGCCGCAGGACATTCGTATTGGGATTGGGTCATTTGACGGGCATCGGTGGCATCAGCGTTTGTGCCACATTCGAGAGTTGCCGCAGGTGATTGGCCTGCACATACTGAAAAGCTGAGGAGCGTTCCAAGTGCTGCGACAGGTAGAATTCCCCCAGCGAGTAGAATCTCCGCTGGTCGAAGGGCTGGAAGGGAAATCCCGGAAAGCGCTGCCCAGTTGCATAGTTCTTGCCACTTGGCGGCGGATAGATGGGCATTCCCTGCGGTGGGCGTGGCAGGGAGGCGTAGGAAGCTGCAGAAGGGACCGCCTGTCCTTGGTTTTGCTGCAGCTGGACATGATCGGGCATTTGGTGGCCACCGATGGAGAGTTGCTGCTGCTGCGCCTTGAAGAAGTCAAGGTTCTTCAGGTTGTCCAGCATTTGGTGGGAGGCCTGGTGCTTCTTCAGGTAAGCTTGTCTGTTAAAGGAATATATTAATTAAAATTATATATTAAAATCAGTTAATGTATATTTATAACTAAGAAAAGAAAGAATGAAATCTAATAGTTTATATTCCATTTATTCATCTAATATCAGATACTCCTTTTCATCATATTATTTTACACAAATTGTGCAGATAAATTCTTGAGTATAACTCAGTCACTCACCTTCTAAATGTCTTTCCACATATATGGCAAGGATATATGCCATCACTGGTATCGTCAGCAGTCCTTCCAGATTCCTGGTTAACATCTCCATTCTCAACTATACGTTTCTTGTTGGGATTACCTGCACCACCAACTGCATCCGCTTTTGGTTTGTGCCAACGGCGATGTGAGGCCAAATTGGCCGGGCAATTAAAGACCTGCAAAGAATAAGCGTTTAAGACCCCATATAACCTACACCTTCGATTAAACCACCAACCTTCTCACATTCAGAGCACTTGTACTCAATGTGAACAATCCTAGGACATCGGTGCTGGGCCAACATGAAGGCATCGTCGTAGACAGTGCGACAAAGCTGGCAGAGATAGTCGCCAATCTTGTTGTCGATGCTGGCCAAGATGGCCTTGGCCTCCTCGGTGATTTCGACCACATTGAAAGCCGGATCAATGTCGCCTTTGCGCACCACCAACTCCTCATCGTCGCGCAATTTGCGAATAATTGTCCCAGAAACTGGACTAATGGTCTCCTCATCGATGGCCGTGTGCTTCCTTAGTTTCGATCTCTTTCTTTCCGTTTTATGGGGTCTACTTGGTGGTAGAGAAGCCACCGGAATGGGAGGAGGAACTGGATGAACTGGATGAACAGGAGGAGCAGCAGCAGGAGGAGAAGGAGGAGGAGGAGCCGCCATTCCTGGTGAGATGGTATCCCTGATCTCCACCGTTGCCACGCCACTCAAATCCGTGTAGGTTTTCCCGCTGTTGCTCTGCTCCTCCGCCAGTTCGCTAATCTCCACCACTGGTTCCGGGAAATCCCGGTCGAAAAGTCTGGCCAAACCATCCACCGCCTGGTTATGCAGCTCCTCATCTTCGTACAGCAATTCATTGCGTTTCAATGCGGTGGTCTCTTGTATTTGAGTTTGCCTCTGCAATCTTGTGGCTGTGTCCACTGCCGCCTCATCCTCGTCATCATCATCGCTGCCCAGGACATCCACGAAGACCTCCTCCTCCTCATCCACATCCACATCCACTTCCTTGTCCCTTCCCCCTCCATTTTCGCTGAGTTGAACCTGCAGCGTCTCATCGTCTGCTTCCTCCGCATCCGTGGCATACTCATTGTAGTCATGGGAACTCACAACTGTTTCATCCTCGTCCTCGGTCAGCACAATCGTCTCATCCTCCACGCAAATGGGCGAACTAACGCTCGATTGACCCGCCGGAATTTGCTCAAAGTTATTTTTCGTCCCGTGAAAATGACTTTTACTCAAGGAAGCTCCCTCGAAAATGTTGTTGCTGTTGCGTATTGCGGAATATTGTGAAGAATGTTGCTGGTTTGCTTGTTGTTGCTGTTGCAGATGTTGCTGTTGCTGTTGCTGTTGCTGTTGCTGCTGATGATGATGAAAGTAGCCACTGATTGGTTGCACCACCAGCGAAGAAGTTCCTGCCGCAGGAGCTGCAGGACTCGTCATGTGCGGACGCCACAGGTAATTCTCCTCGGACATCAATCTCTGACGCTTGCGGGGCGGCGAGGGCGTCGAGGGGGGAGTAATTGGCACCACATTTGCCGCCGCTCGAAGGGAAAGATCCAAAGGGGAGAGCAGCGAAATCGCCGGACGATGCTGGCCAAATTGCGGAAATGTCTCGTTGATTGCCGGTAATGCCCGACACTCCACAAAGTGACTGCTTCCCTGGTGACTTTGGATCAGTTGACCGGGAACTTGTGGCTGCTGCTGCTGCTGCTGGTGAAGTTGATGCCCAAGATGCTGCAGGGGCACTGGCAACTGTTGCAGATGCGGATTGGGGTGCGAATGGGATAAGGAGTGGGAATGGGAATGGGAATGGGGATGCGTCGGCGGATTCATGTTCATCATTTTTCTCCCTTTTCTACTGCGTCTTGCTGTCAACTTCTTGGCTTTTCATTTGAAGCCCTGCGTTCAATATTTTCTTCGTACAATAAAGTGCAAATTTAAGATCTAAACGTAAATTAAATGTAAATTAATGTTGGAACTTGTTCAATTTGTTTACATTTTATTTTGATTATCCGATTCTATATCTATTATCAATAAAAATTAAATAAGCTTAAAAACATTTGAATATGTACTAAAAAAAATAAAAAAAACCCTATACTATACTATACTAGCTATTAAAAATAACAGTTAAAACTATAATTTATAAACAAAAATGTATAACACAGAATTGAAGATACATATGTATTATAATTTACCTTATAAGGAACCTAAATTGATATCAGATATGTATATTTTTGTATTTTTATAGCACTTTGATTTATTTTTGAATTTCACACGACAAGAACTTGTATTTTATGTGCTTTAATTTTTTAAGGTTAGTCACTTCACTTGCTTTATTTTTATCTTACCAGATTTTAGTTTGGTTCAATATGTTCTAAATATTTATACATTTTTTTATTAATTTAGGGACACCTTTTCCATTGCCCGACCATAGAAACTTTTCCGAGCTTTCCACTGAACTAAGGGACTTCCCGTGACACGCAACTGAACCGCGGCAGGATTCAAAGAGAACTGAACTGCGGACGGTCACCTGTCGCAATGCTTTGAACTGAAATTGGGTTTGAATGCGAAGCCAATGAAAGGCGGCTCAGAGTGAACACTCATAATACAAACATCATTTACCACCCACCACCCATCACCCACCGCCCAGTGGGTTGGCCACCCGAGAAGGCCGCATTGTTGAGCGGGATGTGCGGCTCTCGCTCGCACCTTGCGGCGGAATCCCGGGCGGACTGCTACGGGATTCGCTGGGCGGGATGACATAGCTCGACAATCCCACCCCCGAAACACCCACGCAACAAGAAAGCGCATGCGCAAACACGCCCCTTGTTGCAGGTCCACCAGGGGGCGCTGCTTAACTGTATCATCTGTTGCTCCGTTGGAGGCACGCTCATTGGCAGCATTCAACGCCATGCCACGCCCCCCTCGCTCTAAAAGTCCGGAATGGAATGTCATTGAATTGCAGATGAAGAATTTCATTGCACTGCGTTGGAGTTTCCCCCTCCCAATCACTCCTCCCCTTTCTCTTTTCCTTTTCCTTTTTTTTTCGGTGGCAAGTTGGGGGGATTTGCCTTGCGGCATTGGCAGGTGAGTGCGCCTTTTGTTGCCAGTGGCAGGTGCCTTTTATCTCTGCTTCTGCCGCCCCTTTCCTTTCGTTTCCTTGCCCCAATGCATCCCCATTGTCAGAGCGTTGTTCAGACATTTTAAGAACCAAAGGATTCTTTTTGTGGTTTTGAAAATTTAATGTAGCTCCCCATTTAATTTGCGACGAGTTTCCAAAATGGCGTCAGCTCTTGGCCAAAAAAATTAAGGCATTCGGTGGCAGCGAACCAGGGATACAAAGTGAATTTATAAATTGGTAAGGTATTTTTGTTGAGTTAATTGTTTTTTTAATATATTGTGTAGCATATAAAGTAATAGTAAAATATTTTAGAAACTGATACATTTTCTTGTTCATTATTACATTATTTATACTATTTAATTATGTTTTAAAAAATATTTTACATATTACATTTACAAATTGTTTTTGCGAAACAGAGATACATATTTTAATGTTAAGCCAGTAAACCATTTTTATATTTTTATTAGAACCTGTGACATAATTTTTTATTTGTTAGACGGTTTAATATTTTGTTACAACAAAAGTTTATCCTTTTTAAATCATAACGACATACATTCTCCTGTTCACCCGCACATTTTCCCATGTCTTCAATTGCAACTGAATGCAATTAATTAGAGAAACGGTCTACAAAAACTTAATTAAATTGCTGCGTCGCGACGCCACCAGAAGTTGCCTCATTCGCAGCAGCGCCAAAAACAATTCCGACTAATAAACTGAAATTAAATTACGAACTTTTATGCTCCGTGGCAGAAGCGAATAAAAAAGCGGCTTCCCAGTTGACTAAAGAAGGCAAAAGTGAAGTATCATAAAAAAAATGGCTTATTAAGTTTTGAGCCTGGCCAAGATTTGTTTGGGGCAACGAGGTCAACAAGTTTCAGTTTGCGGCTTTTCCGGGACCCTCGGCTAATTGTCAGCTTGTCAGGGGCTCATTAGCATAACTTCGGCCTTTGTGGATTTTCCTGCTCCTGACACTTTTGTAAGGAAATGTTCTTAACGAGAAAGCGCCAAGCAGTTTCCACTCATTTGCATGGAGATTTTCCCGGGCTAATTGCCCAGGTGGTTTCCCTGCCGAGTGTCGGATTACACACGTTACAATTCGCAGCACTCCCCCTCCCCCTCCCCTCCCCTCTTTGTTGTGTAAAACACCAACCCCTCCCCCGGAAAATTTTCCTTGTAGAGGGTTGTTCCACCAGTTGGTTGACTTGCGGTCGCCGGTGTCTGTTTACACAGCGAGGGTTGGGTAATGGCCTCTTAATTAGGCTCATATGATTGTTGAACACGGATTTACGATTTCTTTGCCCGTTCGTAATAATTCAAATTACATTGCAGTACAAAAACAATATTTATATCATAAACATGTCAATATTTTTAAATATTTTTTTCTAATTCAAAATAAAACATAAACATTTATTCTTTTAAATGCAAGCAAGGTGTAATTATAAACATTTTAAATTATTTCGAACACATTTTGACTTAGTTGCTTAGTTACCTAAACTAAAAGCTTTAAACTTTAGTTACCTTTAATGGGTTTTTCTTCTATGTATGGACTGGTCCGTCTGTTAAAACCAGAATATCAGTTGCCATATCCCCAATTGACCTCAGCGTGGACTTCAACTTCTCCCCGCCAATCGCCATCTGCCCTGACGATAAATTGCAGTTTGTAGAAACCATTTGGCACGGGAGCCTTGACTATCATGTTGTCATCCAGAACCATTCGGTTAACGATTATATCGTGCTAAAAATAAATATTCATATATCTCATATATTAAAAGATTATAAGATTTAATACCAACATTAAAGGGACAACTGTGATTTACGTTGCTGAAGTTTCGAATACCATCATATACTAAATCGGCGAAGGGATAACGTTTTCGGTTTTTGAGGAAGTTGCAAACATCAAAGGTTATATTGTAGAGAAATGGCCTATAGCCGCTGAACCTTCGGAAAAAGGAAAGAGCGCACTGAAAATGATTAAACATAATAAAGTATATAATACCAATATGGAATTATTAATTTACAGACCGTAACACTGTTGATGGGCAGCTGATTTGCTTTGACATGTAAAAAGAGTCCCACAACTCCGCGATCCACGATCTTCAGTTCACAACGCTTAAACTCGCAAAAAGACTGGTTGTAACTCTTGCACTTGACATTTGTAAATTTGAAAAGAGCATTTGCATTGTAGAGCGACGATATTACAACCAAAAATGGCCAGACTGCGAACGGAATGTATTTAAGCTTCATTGTTGGCCAGCAGTTCACAGTTTATTGAGCAAAGTATTACAAAAAACGAGACATTCGGTTTTTCTACCCTCTATTCCTAGAGAAATCGAGTATATCGGGCAAAAATTTGTAAGAAGTACTTGGGAAATTTGTAAGTGTATTTCCACTTATTCAACATAAGTTCCGAAGTATCGCACATCAAAAGATTATGGTATAATAGGGTATAATATGATTAATGGGTATAATATGGTTGAGAGACTTCGACATGCAAATATTCAGTGTTGTTTTATTTAACAATTTAAAAATGATGTGGTTGGCTGCTCATGGTTAAAAAATAATTAGAACGATCGAACTTTAAAAGCAATATCGTTTAGGCATATTTTGGAAGTTAAATAACAATTCATAGTGAAACAGGTTGTAACAATGTTTAGTGATTTTTGGCTGATTAACCAGTTAAATACTCTAAAACTATTTTTATATATATTTTTTTGTACAAAGTTATAAATTCATAACAACTTAATTTCGATTACATACTCGACCGATCGAAAGGCACTCAGCAGCAACATTAAAGACTTCCTGTTCGCCACGCGAAGAACAAAACGCCGTTGACAAAGCATGGGTGAACATACATACATTTTACATTTCCCAGTTGGAACCCAGGGAATTGGAGTCGCCTCAGCGGAGACGTTGATGACCTTTAGGGGAAGAGTCCTCTGGCCGAGTCCTTTTGGCCAACTAAAAAAGAAAAGGAGTCCTGCCCCGAGGGCAGTTCTTAATTAGAGTGGCATGAAAGTATGCCCGAGGCCCCTCCGTCGCTCAATGCGATTCTTATGCAAATGCTTTTAATTACAAAACTGTGAAGACGAATTACGCAACATTGCGTTATTTTAGTGAATTATTTTGAGGCAGGTTCGTGTGTTTAATTGCTCAACTCAACGCCTTTTTAATTGCCAGAAAATCACCCGATGGTCGTCGGTTCCAAGTTGCATTTTAAAGTTCCCCCAAGAGCTACTCAAAATCCATTTTGATTAAATCAATTCTTGAATAGAAAAAAGCCCGAGAAGCCCTAATTTCGTTGACCTGTCCCTTTGGATTAGCTCAAGTATTTCCCCACCAAACAGCAATTTGTGTGAATAAACCAAGTGTGTGTGTGCTATTGACCTCGCCCTGTTGCCAAATTGAAATTGAAAAGCCGAGGCTAATAGAAAATGTTTATAGATAAAAAGGCGACAAATTGAATTTGCAAAGGTCACACATGAGTGCGACACTCGACACTCGATACCAGGCATTGGCACTTCACGTGAGTGCCGCCCCCTTTCCAATTTTCCCCCAAGTATTTTCAGCTACTTGCTGGAATTTTCCTCGCTTCCTTGAGATTGAAATTTGGGATTTCCATTTGCCAAGATATATATTCACATTATTTTTGCCAAATTGAATTCGCAAAGTGATTTGATTGTGCGTTAAGAAAGGCAATGCCAATTGGAGGGTGTGACCCCTGTCAGCCAACCCCTTTTATTTGCTGGTAAAAAAAAGAAATGCCTTGGAAAATAATACTCGCTGAAAACCGCATTACAGACTTTAATTAACGGTGGCAGGAATATTTCAAGCTCCATTAAAATATCGTATTACCAACGTTTTACAACACGTTAGCTTGGGAAAAGGGTTTTAGTGGCTTACGACCTGAATATTTTTACCAAAGTTATGGCAAAGATGGTTTTTAAGAGAAGGGTGAGTTTCCCTTATTGATTGGCCATTGAACATATTGTTTTTCTATTAATTATAACAGAATTGCGCATATGGCTTCCGGGGGAAAACCGCAAGGATCCCGCGGGAAATCCGGAAAACCACACACACACACATGCACGCACGCAAGTCCCTGTTGTTCGAGGATAATCACCATAATCGGCCATGCACTTGGACGGCGCTTTAAACGATTTTCAATATGCTCCCTGCCTCGCAGAGAATGACGCACAATGGAAAAACTGAGGCGGTGGAAAATTGCGGAAAATTTCGAGGGCGAAAGGACAGCAATCCGCTTACAATGCAGACGGGGGTGAACCCAAAAACACACATCCTGTAATTACACACATCCTTTGTTGGCGGACACTCATGCAATGTTTATTTGGGGGCAGTTGGAACTCGAATCTCTGTGGTCACCTGAAAGGCGAAAACCTTCTCGGCCGTTGCCTCAATCACCTCAACGAAGAATTTGTAGGTTCCGTTCTGCAGAACCTGTGGATATATATCCTTGGCAGCCACATTCTTCAAAGTATAGTTTCCCGCTCGCACAGGACATGCAATAATATCGCTGAGTTGCATTTGCGATTGCAGAAAGTACTTCATCATCGGGTTTCCCGACAACTCAGTGAAGAATCCACAGAGATCCAGTGATCGCATTTGGAGAAGGGTCACGAAAATCTTCTTTTCCGCCGGTCGCACTCGCAGCTTTATGTTGAAGGTGAGGAAATTACTGCCCAATTCCTCCCGCAGCCAAATCGATATGCCAAATTGGGTGCGGGTCTCGTCTATAAAGGCTACAGCCTTCATATATCGAGAATCCCCGAAGATGTTGATGTGATGGATACGGAGTATGGGTTTCTGCAAAGGGAAAACTGTAGATCCATCCCTAAAAAATGTATTAAATACCTGAACAGCTTCCTCGTCTTCATCCCAAAGGGATTTTGAACTCGTTGTGTTGCCATCGATTATATAAAACAGCGGAAAAAGCAATGCTATCTGAACGAATTTCATTTCGCAATGAAAAGTTCCATCAGGTGGTCATGATACAAAAGCTACTGAGGCTCAATGTTAACCATTAATTAAATTACCCTATTTCCAGTCGTTCTGTGTCATTAACTCCTTTATGATCGAGTACGTTAATAATATTTTCCACAAATTTTGTATTAATATAAATAAAAGTATATGGAAGGTATAACCCCATATGATTTTTTGTATTATTTTTTTTAACCCTAAAATTGTGATACTTGTTTAGTTATAAAATTTGTAGTTAACAAAATATAATTTTTACACCATTTACAACAACTTTCCTGTTTTTTCCAGAGGTTAAAAAACTAAACATCTTTTTTCATTCCATGCATTTGTTTTATAAATTCTGTTTTAATAAGTATAGTTTTTTGTAATCCATGTATTCAGATTTTTAATTTTAGATTTCATCACATTCAATTCCACTCCTACGAACTCTACACTCAACTTCCTTGTTAACAACATAAACCGATGAGGTGACTTGCAAGGCAAATACTTTGGCAATCTCTCCGATTTCCTCGACTATTTCGGCAAAGAACTTGTAGGTGCCATTCTGTACCCCTTCTGCTTGAATATTTCCGGCCACATCGGAGTTCAACAAAGAATAGTTTCCCACTCGAACGGGGCACTCGATTAACTCGCTCAAGGCCATGTTTTTCCTAAACATCATTTTCATCACCGGATTCGAGTTGTATTCTTTGAGAAACTCACAAAAGTTAATCCGTCGCAATTCAAATAATTGGATAAAAACATTAGTTCCATCGGGCTTCACGCGCACCTTGATATTCATTACCAAATGATTGCTTCCCAGTTCGTGGACCATTTGAACTCTTAGATCAAAGTGGGTGCGATCTTCGCTGATTTCCGCTTTAGCCTTCATGTAGTTCGACTCCCCGAACACATGAATGTTCCTAATGAAAGCCACAACTTTCTGAAATGTACGAAATCTAAATTTACTCTAAATTAGCTCTAGGGTAAAAACTTACCCTATCACTTGAACTGAATTCCTCGAAAAACGAATCCGTATTATCGACCACATCGATGGCTAATTGAATTAAAGCCAAAACCCAACCGAACTGACTGACTTTCATTTTGTAACAAACGTATAAACGGTCCCCTAACTTAATCGCTAGACAACTAAATGCCAAACTAAGAGCCATCCATTTGTTTAATTCTTAAATAATTTGACTTAATGTTATCATTTTGGGATCGGTTCTGGTTGCTAAACACTCGTGCATTTGCACCTAAACACGTGTAGCTCAAATTGGCATTGGTTCTAATAATAAAGTGTTGCTTTATTTCCAGTCATTGTTTGGCTTTTAATAAGTAAGTATATAGTAATAATCATGTAGTTAGTGGTTTTAAAGAAAAATAAAAAATAGTTTTATTAAGAGTTGAGTGGAAAATACAACTTTTAATGTCCTTCTAGACTATTCAGACTCTTTATAGTCTTTTGACATTCTAAATTCCTAATCTATGTTTTTACAGTATTTTTTGCTAAAAGTACACTTGTCTCTGGCACTTGTGAACATCTTAAATGTTGTGTTTAGCCGATTGGCTATTTGTGTTCCTTGGTAGTCACCAATTTGTAATTCTCGGCTATGTGTCACCACCTACATAGTGAACGACTCAATTAGCTAACCGGCGGATATGTGCTGCCATCGGGGCTTGTTCATTAGACGCCATCAGCAGCAGGAAGCTCCAAAGTGTTGGAAAGCCAATTAGCTTTTCAGCGGCGGAAGGAAGCCATAGCAGCTGAGTTGTGCGTGTAAATGGAGGCTAACAGAGCGTTACAAACTTTAAAATCTTGTGTGATGTGAGAGTAGGGTGAAAAAACCCACCCACCTGCTGAACACCTCCCCCTTTGTTCCTCCGCTTGGATCTTCCCACTCCGGAGTTGCGTAATTTTCTGCGTCATTTAATTAAGCCGATTCATGGCGCCCTCGAGGGCGGAGAACCAAGTCCGGCTAAGCCTCCAAGGTCTGGCCCACACGCCCACTTGTGTCATATGTGCCCCCCTTCTCCACTGGGTAATTAACTCAGCCGTTCACATCGATTATTTATAATATTTTCCCCTAATTATTTATTCATAACTGCTAATAGTGTTTGTCGGGCTTAAGTGCCAACAGCTTACGCGCTATTAATTGGCATCGTTCGATGCTTGGAGTGCGGAAACATTGATGCAATGTCTCCGTCTAAACTATAATAATCTGATTTCCAAGAGAACCTTCTTCTACTTTCTTGAACTTGGCTTCTTGACACGAGTGTCGGCCAGAAAGCAGGATACCACGCGGTTCCCATCCTCGGAGTCCAGGAGTCGCACCTCCAGGCGAGTGGGAACCTCGGGCTGGCTGTTGGCCACTGGCAGGAGCAGCTGGTAGGTCACATCCTCGCCAGCATCCAGGGGACAGTAGGCACCATGCAGCAGATTGTCGCACACATTTCCACGGGAGGCTTCCAAATCATAGGGTATGGTTACTCCCAAAGAGGTAAGGTGAACTTCGGCCGACAACTTACGCATAGTATTGCGAGCTAGGTAAGAAAAATGTTAATCATTAAAATGTTAAGACACATATATGGATAAATTGTATGTAAATAAAATTATAAATTACATTTTTTTAAAAATTATACAAATTTATTGGAAAAGTAGAACAGAGTAACGAACACCATTTGAAATCAACTAAAACATTATTCGAACTTTCTAAATTAATTTGCATTACTTAGCTCAATGTTGGATGGAATTTAAATTAAAGCGTCAATGACTTTTGGGTTCAAACAATCTTGGATCTATAATAAATACCCTTTCGAATTAAAAAGTTTACTTACTTGCAACAAACTGGATGTCAATTTTAGCTTCGGTTCCCTTCCACAGTTCACAAGGCAGTTCATCACACTCGTCGATTTGCACCATTAAAGGCTGGGGATAGCTGCTGTCGGCACCTTAAGTTATATGAAACAAATATTTAATTTATATTTGGTTCATCTCAAGAGTATTCCTAGATCCGACTTACATTGTCTAATTGGCGTGTTGGCTGCAACCAAAGTCCACATGAGAGGGATCATCGCAAAGAGGCAGAACTTCTTGAAGCTGGACATTTTTATAAGATTTTTGGTGGCTTGCTTGTGTTCACTTTGAAAGCACTTTCAATATTGGATTTAAGATTCACTAATCGCCGGGGTATTTATACCTGAACTGCCCAATTTGATTCTTTTGCACTCGTCCAATAATCTAATCACTTTTGGGCTTTGAACGTTTGCACCAAAATTACGTTTGATTTTGTTGCTTTTATGGCATTCATTACGTCTTAATCGCACTCAGAGGCATCATACGTAAATTTCTGGTTCGGCTAATCATTATGAATTAGATTAAAAGCAATACTTGCAAAAAACGTGAGAATGTTTGGGGGTTGAACTACGTTTTAGTTTTGCACCCAAATAGGTACTTCATTATTTAGATGATTATCAAAAGTAGATTTCTCGCAATCCATGTGGTAAACACTGTTTTTATTAGATTAAATTATTCTAATGAGTTGTTTAGAACATTTGAGATAGTGAAAATAGTTAGTCATGGAAGGGCAAACCTAATTGCTCTTCAGCGTCCCCGGAAACTAAATGAATCATGGCCAATAGAACCTTAATTAGGGGCCATAATTCAGTAGCCAGTTCACCTGAACTTAACGAGTGCAAAGCGAACTTATTTTGGCCAAGATAAGATGGCCAAAAAAAACGAACACCTGTTGTGTTCTTGGCGATTTCGGGTGCATTTGAACTCGAACCAATGAGAGCACTAAAATTAGCAAGCGATTAGCGATGATTTATTGGAACAAACTCGGCAACAGAGATTATGGGATTCCGACTTTGTTCCCATAAAATCAATTTCTTGCATACTTTCAGGCCATTTGGCTATAGCAACCCTCTGCCGATCGGAACATTAACATCAATTTATATGCATAGCCAATTTGTAGCAAGTTTTACACAATTTCTTACACCCACTTGACTTGTCGAGAGCGAAAACAGCAGCTGCCATCAAGGGTTGCCCAAATTTCATCAATATTTCCTGATTTTGTTCGCAAATTCAACTGTTTTATATGCAAATTAGCTAAGCGATTTGGCCCCTGCCAGCAATTGATTTTAAAATGTTTACGTTCCTTCGTAAATGAGTAAATGATTGACGGGGTTGAGGAAATAAACTTGAGCATTCAATTGGCCGAGATATTTGTTTAATTTGCATTTTTATAATTAATTTGCGCGTTAATGAAGTTTTAAAACATTTTTTAGAGGAAGTAAGTTGATTAAAATTAAGACATTTCAAGTTGAGCAAATTTAATAGCAACAGCTTAAATGGTTTTATAAATTGAAATGGAACAGTGTTATATCAAAGTACTTTAAAACTTTTCACTGCATATTTCCACACTTTGTAATCATTTTCAAGGCAATCTAACTTCGAATGCAAACTTATTTGCAGTTCCTGGGAAGCCACTAGAAATTTTCCTCGGAATTCCTTGTACTTGGTAACCATCAATGCCAAAGGGAATTATAGGTAAAGAGCCCTGGTCTAAAATTATGCAACTCAAGGCTTCCAGCTAACATTTTAATTACACGAAGCCAGTCAGAAATTGAGAGCGAGTGGCACATATTTATGCAAATTAGGCAAACTTCTTTTCGCCCGAAGTGGGCACATTTCTCAGGTGAAATCGCGTTGCCAGGTGAGAGGAGGTCCTTGCTGAAAGGCAGGACGAGGCTTTAAAATGCCAACACGTCGCAGGGAAAATTACTCGACAGCCGAACTTGTTGCAACGCATGTTCCTTCTGATTTGGGAAAACATGAATTTCGCATTCACTTAATTACAGTGCCAAAAGCAAATTAATTAGCATCCCCTTTGCGCAGACCGACTTGCTGGAAATATTTAATAAAAAACATTTTTGCATGACGGCATATGCAAATTGCTATTGGAAATAATATCAAAGGGTGCAGCAGGGCGAGAAAAGCCTCCCCCTTTCCGATTTTCCAAGTGGAAAGTACAGAAAAAATTGTCTCAAGGCCAGTTGGTCACCTGGTTGACCACAAGTAATCATAGATTTCCCCTCGTTAAATTGCAAACAGTTGAATGCACTTGGTTAGTTTGTAACTACATAACACTCAAGAAACCCTTAAAGATAAACCCTTCGATTTAGGGGTAGTTCTGGCTAGCATTAACAGAGATAGTTTTAAAAAAGGAATTTAAAGATACAAATCATTTTTATGCTTGAGGATTTGAACAAAATTGTAACATAACTATTACCATTAAATAAAATAAGCTTAAAGATATATTATATTTCTTTTCATTTCCCCCACCTGTTGAGGGTGAAAAAGGGTCAGGGTTCATGGGCAATCGGGCACGCCCTTCGGAAATTCCGTTATTAATTGACAACACACGACAGCTCCAAAAATTTAATGAAAAATTAACAGCACGAAAATCAAATTGCCGCCTAATTGAGACACAATGACCGCGCCAGCTTGTCACTTTTGTCGTTCGGCATTGAATTACGTGCAAACAAATATCAAATTGAAATAGAACAGACAACCAGCTTTTCGAGGGTGGACGGGGTATTCGGGGTTTTCGGGGGGAAAGGCCACAGGATTGGCGTGACAAATTGTTTGGCTTTGGCGCTGGCATTTAATGTCCGACTTGATTTGACAAATTAATTGAGTTACCTTCGCAGCGCACAGTGGTCCAGCCCGTAGGCCAAAAATAAAAAAACCAAAGTCCAAATTTTGACTTTAAATGTACCAATTCTTATTTATAATTGGTCTAGCTATTTGAATTTATTCATCTTTTTGTTTTGCTCTGTCTGTCCGCTTCAAGAATAGCATCGAAAGAGATAGCATGATATTCATTGTGTATTGCAGCGTAAGCAACGTGCAAGTGAAGCTCTCCGCAAAAAATTTGTTTAACATTTTTAAAACAAGTGTTTGTGCCATGGAAGTGATTAATATTTTAAAGAAAGGTATTAACTTTCTTTTTACAATAAAAAGTATATGTAGTATTTATTGTGTTTTGTGTAAATCATTGTTGTACTTAGTACATAATTGTGAACGTTCTTAGTTTGTCTTTTCTGTGTTTGGTTAGAGTTTTAGTTGTGATGGCACTCTTTGGCATTCACAAATCTTTTTGTATAATATTCTTAAGCATTTTAAGAATATAAGAAAGTTTAGTTCAAGTGCCGTAAGGTGCCGTGCGGCTTGCAAAATACAAAAAGGTAACCTAACCTCAATTACCTCAATAACATTAATTTGTCGAATTGTTACTACACATATATGTAAATATTAAAGGGTAAGCATATAAATTAAAAAAATGTATTTATTTTATGTTCGTTTTTGTAAATTACATTTTGTATTTCTGTAATTATTATTTTAAGGCGAAATAGTTTCCCGGCGAAAACTCGTTTTACACTGATTGTTCCTATGGCAGTTATAACCTATAGTATCAAGATTTTTACTGAAGTTTCCCAGGTTATATACGAAAATTTCCAAATTATTGTTGCTTCAAAATGAAAAACAATAGTTTTTCATAAAAAAACTGAATATCAGACTGATTGTTCATATGGCAGCTATATGATATAGTTGCCCGATCTGGCTGATTTTTACATATTATTTTAGGATAAATATAAAAAAATTTTCTGCAAAGTTTCAAGTCCCTACCTCAACTAGAAGTATTTTTGGCCGCTCTCCCCATACAAGCCGGACCACAGTGCAGCGGGACTTTCTGGGCGGGTTTAGTGATAACCAGTCTATTCAAATGAAAGCTTAGGTAGACCTTATTCCCCAAGAAGCATTAAGTGTTGCCTACTTTTTGCCAAGAAATAATCAATAATCAAACTTTCTGCTTTTTCCCCTCCTTATTGATTCCCTGCTAAAAAAGCACATCAAAGATAAGCTAAACATCCGTGAAATACATTTGGGAATATGCAAAAAAAAAAAAAAAAACCGGAGAACACCCAAAAGTGCAAACGGAAACCGGAGCAAGTGGAAATGTTTGCCTGCGAAAGTATTTGGGTATCAGATTTTCCGACCCAGATAATTGCATTAAATGACACTGAAAATAGAATCTCGGTATCAATGTATCAGGACTTGGGCTGATGCTAATCAAATATTGCGGTTCCCTCAGATACATTTCGGGGATATTTTTCCAATGCCGGATTTTCCACTGCTTTGACATATTAAATAATGTCACAACAATTACATGTGAGGAGCGACGACAGTTCCTCGATGGAAAAGGGAAATTGAGGAAAAGGGCAGGGTGGCAAGTTCAAAAGCATTATGAGGAAATCTCATGCTGCGCTGCGACTGTCCACATGGCAAGTCACCACCAATCATCCGAAATGTTGCAAAATATTGACGAGGGTGGGTAGAAAAAAAATGTTGCAAATATGAATTAATATGAATTAAAAGTACAAAATATATAAACATATACGAATTACTTCATATTAATTTTTTTGTACCATAAGAAGTAAGTATTTTCTTTTAGTTTTTTTTTGGAATATGGACATCCTCCCCCCTCTTCCAATTTTTCCTTTCATTTATTTTCCCACAAATCCAAAACCTTTCAACCCAACCTCGCTTTCCCTACCTTTGGCAAAATTCGCCAACCGTTGAGTGCTGCGTGGGTGGGGCTTTCGGAGGGGGACTTATATTTTCCAGCTTACTTTAAGTCCGTTTCCTTTATACTGGCACATTTTCCTGCCCCGCAGAAGTTCGAGTTCCATTGTTAGTGGCTTTGGCCGAGGCACAAATGTCTGTGGGTTTTTTGCCATTGCCATCAGAGGCTTAGTGGCCTGCCAGCAGAGTGCTCTGGGATTTATTTTGGCACTGCCTTTGTACTGGGATCCCATGAACTCGGCGATGAAGTGATAAAATTCTTCCAACTGATTTCAGTATGTTACGATCCTGCGAATGCGACTCTAATGAAGCGAGTAAATGCGCGGATTTGAATTAGATAAGGAGTATCTAATTATTGGGTAATTGTCATCTATTTAATGCAAGGGTAGTTTGGCCCAAGCTTATAAATATTATTTACCTTGTGGGTTATCGTTTATTTCATCTTTGTAGATATTTAAGACCACGGTTTTATGATAGTTTTTAGCTCTAAAATATGTACAAAATATTAAAAATGAATAGAATTTACTATGTTTTTAAATGAATCTGGCAATGGTTGTTGCAGAAAAGTTTGTAGCCGATAATAACCAGCAGCATTGTTTCGATAAGATAAACCAAATCCGAGCGTATTAGCCGAGAAGCCACTCGGATCGGGCTATAAAAACGATGGGGACACAGTTCTTGGAAATCATTTTGAGCTTAGAAACATGCAAGTCAAGGCGTTGATTTTGATCTCCCTGGGAATTTTGTCGCTGGTTGCGGCAGAACAGGAATATCCGGCCACGGAAGTAAAGAAATGTGAGTGGTATTACCAAAATATTTACAATATCCAACTAATTAATCCTGATTTCCATTAAGGCTCTGGAAATAAACCCTTTCCTCTGGAGGTTCGAGTTCATGGCTGCGTAACTCCGCCGTGTCAAATTGTCAAGGGAACTGTGCAGAAATTCGAGATCGATTTTGCCGTGGATAAGTATATTACCAAGCTGACCACCTTGGTGAAGGCTACCACATTGGGAATCATCACCGTGCCCTATGAACTTCCGGAGGATGTGGCTGCTGTTTGCCCGAATCTTCAGTACGGCGCCTATTGCCCACTTTATGCCACCGAGGATGTATCCTATCTGTTCTCCTTCCCAATCGGGGAATATCCCGAGATCGGTGTGAAAATCGAAATCTATCTGGTGGATCAAGACAATGAGATTGCCACGTGTTTCGTTTGCGACATCAAGGTGGTGAAGAAAAATGGTGGCAACTCGGTCTATGAACTGGACTATCTTAACTAGATTCGAAACGAACTCCTCCTTCGATTGGCATAAATAACTGTGATATACCACTCTTTTTTTTTTCAAAATCCATCACTGAGCTTACGGATGTCTCATGAATATTTAATAAAATTTTAAAAGCTTTATTCCCCACATATGAGGGTTGTTTGTTTGTAAGAACATCCTGAATGTTTCCTCTTGGGTTAGGCAAAACAAAAACAAGAAAGAATTCGGTCGTCTGGCATTTTTTTACACTCGTATTACAAGGCATTCTATTGGCCATCGGCGCTATCTGCACACGCAGCTGTTAAGTTGTAAAGTCAAGTGGGCCAAAATCCATAATCGAATCAAAAAATAATTCGCAAATCGGGTGTCTGATTACCCTAACACACCTGTTCAGGCGCAATGCGAAGAAGAAGAGAAATGTACCCGGCTATCAATGACCATTTCCTTATGCCCGCAAACTCATTCACGCTATCTGATTTATTTTCAAACCGGTTGCACTGTAAAAAGAGAAGTACAACTAACAAGTATCGGAGTTTATTGTAAGCAAATTAAAATCCGTAAGTTCGTATAGTCCTTGGTAATTAATTGCAGTAGTAGTATGGTAGAACATTTGAAAAAAAAAAATTAATAAATTTAATCTTTAATTTAAATTTAAAAAAATGCAAACAACCAATGATACTGATTATATTTCATCGGCTTATATCAACACTACTTTTCAAATGAACTATAATCCTAAAATGTTCTTTGCTTTGGTGTATTTAAGATAACGTTTTGGAAATCCCTGTCTTATGACTAGACTTTAAAAGAACACCTGCTACAGTTTCTCTTTATCAAAATGTACCAAATCTCCGAGGAAAATCTGTACATTTCAGCATAATTTCGTTGAGTGTAGAATTGCACCCAGCAAACGGTTATCGGAGTATCACGAAGGAGAGCTCAACATTTGACCATATGGTCAACACGATCACCGAGCGGTCAATAAATGATTATCAAAACGAGTTTATTGGCAATTCTGCCACTGAATCAGTGGAAATAAATTACTGGACTTTCGGTGCAAACGGGAACGTCACAGATGACTGTATATAAATAAATACGGGCTGAAATCTAATCGATGGGCCAAGAAATGTGCTAATCCGCAGACTGATTGCACGGGTACACTGGAATCCGTGACGTAGTCAAGGTAAACAAATACGCTTATCATTGCAGAGTTTTAAGTTTATTGTTTGGCAAATTAGGTGGAATACTCAGTCGGCCCGAATCGGTGGTGCTGTGTACATCGTCCGATTAAACGGAACTCGAGTTCGTCCAGTCCAAAGCGAGTTCCTCCTGCTGCCTTGCAGCCTCTCCTCTCCGGATTTTGCATGACACCACGAAACAGGAGATCGCTTCGCCTTGGGCATCGTTAAGTGTTACGGTGACATCAGCCGTGATTTCGGGGAACGAAGGCTCCACATAGAAGTTGAACTGATAGGTGACATCCTCGTCCTTGTCAACGGGACAAATGGCACCATACATCAGGTTAATGCAAACGTTGGACACCTCCTCGGGAAGTGCATATGGCAGATTCATGCCCAGGACCCTTGCCGATGTGGTGGCAGTAATGGTCTTAATATTGTTGTTATCTGCAAGAGGATGAAAGTAAGAACAAAAAGCATAAGCGGATAAATCCTTTCAACTTACTGCCCAGGAAGTGCACCTCCATTAAGGCATAGAACCCTTTGTAGACAACACATGGTGGCTCCTCGCAATCCTTGACTTTAACGTCCAGTGGAAACGGCTTGTTCTTGCCTGAAAAAAATTAAACAGGTGAGCTCAGAAGTAGGCTACGTTTTTTTCAACTTAAAGATTAACTGCTAGCGACGCGCCAGATAAGCTTTATCGCTTTGCCGGTAGATAGATACTCTTGAGGACTTTTGTTCTAACTCAAAGGTATTTTTGGCAATAGTTTCCTGCATTTCGCAGAGATTATGCTATAACAATCGGTCTGTGAAATGAATCACCAACCTAGACATTTTATAAAATCATGAATCAACTTTAACAGACAATGCTATTAAAATCCTGTATCCATGGTTGAGTTTAAAGTTGTTTTGTAAAGTAAAAGAAGATATTAAGCTACTTACACTGCTGGACAGTGGTAGCACTGACCGAAGCCCCGATTAAAGCCAAAGTTACAACGATACGCAGCATTTTTACTCTGGGGAAACTCCTTTAGTCTTTGACCAAAACAAGTAAACTTCTTGAGTACGCGAGCACGCAGGTGATAGCCGTGAATGGGTTTGATGGAACCGGTGGTCAACCTTAAATAGCCCGAGTCCGTCTATGACCAGCGTTCTGAGAGAGCCTGATAAAGGCTCGACGGCCATTGATATGGGGTAGCCACGCAGGTGTTACAAAAGAAAACACTGAGGCCCACAGGTGTTGCGCTCTGACGAAGAGCAAACACCGCTCGAATCGAATCAGTAAATAACGTAAATTTGGCTGATAAGCCGTGAGAGTCGAAACTACTACAATGTTGCGGCTATATAGCTGGTAAACAATGCCGTTAATTGTTAAATCTGCTAACAAAGTGGGAAAACCCCACTTAACTCCATTTATCAACATCTAATAATAAACTTCTTTCGGTTATAGATCTAATTTAAATATGCCCGCCACTAGAATCCTATCGAAATCGATTGTAGCAAGCGATCTTATCGATTAATGGCCGTATGAAAATCTGATAGTGATAATAGATAAATTACGTTTCATTCCATGGTCTTAATGTTTTTTAATCCGTTAGGGTTTGTTCAGTCTTAAATGTTTTTGTCTTATAGTCGCTCACTTCCGGATTTTGCAGGACACGACGAAACACGTGATTGGTTCATTTTGGGCATCATTAAGTGTTACAGTGACATCCGCCGTGATTTCCGGAAACGAAGGATCCACGTAGAAGTTGAATTGGTAAGTGACATCCTCGTCCTTGTCAATGGGACACATGGCACCATACAGCAGGTTGATGCAAACATTGGACACCTCCTCGGGAAGTGCATATGGCAGATTCATGCCCAGGACCTTTGCCGTTACAACGGCAGTAATGCTTTTTATATTGTCATTATCTGAAAGAAAATAGAGATTAAGCAAAAGGGACATTTGTATATTCATTTTACTTACTGCCCAGGAAGTGCACCTCCATCTCGGCAATAGTTCCTTTGTAGACAACACATGGTGGTTGGTCACAATCCTTAATATTAACGCCCAAAGGAGCTGGCTTGTTCTTGCCTAAGAAGAAAACAACAGATCAGCTTAAATGTGTGCTATAGTTTCTTAATGATCAAAAGTGCAGTCTATGCACCAAATGTCATGTCGCTTTGCCAGAAGGACTTACACTGCTGTACAGTGGTGGCACCGACCGAAGCCACAATTATAGCCAAAATAACAAGGATACGCAGCATTTTCTCTTAGTGCGAAATTGTTTAGTTCTTGTAGCAGAAATTAAGTTTGGCAGTTAAGCGAGTGTAGAGGTGGTAACCGTGAATGAAATCGATCGGCCCTTGGTCAACCTTTTTATAGGCCGTGCTCGGCGATGACTAAAAAACCTATTAATCTCGACGTCTTCAGATATGGGGCTACTCAGCTACGCAGGTGTTACAAAAGGAAACAGTGTGCCAGGTGTGCCCGGTAAGTTGTCTGATAAGCCGGGAGATTCTATACTACAATGTTGTGGAAACTTGGCAGACAAATTCCACTCAATTCCAATAATGATCATTATTTACTTGAGTTAAACTTTAAATCAACCGCCGATGAAATAGTTTTGATATCGATTGAAGCAATCGAAATACACGATAACTGTTCATTTAAAAAAGGTAAACAAAAAATATATCAAGCTAATCTTGGTCAGAAACCAGACTCTGATAATGGAAAACGAAGAAGAAGATTTGGATCTCTTCCTGGCGGAGAATTATCCTGGTTTGTTTGCCGAGTTACGTCCAAATGGTTCCTGCCTTATACAAGGGAATATTTGCAAAGAGGTGAGTTTTTAGTAATCCAAATACGCCCGCAAAATTAATTTGATTGCTATTATCCAGGGAACCTGTCGTCCCCTTAAGCTCTACTTGCCCCATTACCCGGTTCTTAATGACTTCCAGCTGTTTTTGCTGGAGAAAATGGAGTATAAGAAGTATACATCGGAAAACTTAAAAGTTCAGGATGAATGGATGCTGAAGGACTTGCTGGCCAATCTTCCGAAAGCTCCTCTCTGCCCAAAGAAACCAGAGCTGCAGGGAAATGTTTACCAAGATATTTTGGCCTTGCACAAGTCCGAGGAGTATCGCACGCAAATGGACGAGGAGTGTACTCGTCTTCGTTTCTGCGAATTTTCCGATTTCGAGCACCATTACCTTGAGCTAGAGGTTCCGTCGCTTCGATTGGTAGATCACAGTTTGCCTGAATGCGTTCCACTGGGTGAAATGTTGACCAAGAGCACAGGAAATCTGGAGGAGAAACTGATCCTCTTCCGCAAATTGCTGGAGGATCTGCGTCCCTTTTACGAAAACTTCATGGACATCGACGAGCTGTGCCACGTGCTGCAACCTTCACCGATTACCACCAAGCACAACACACGGGTGTTCCCCCTCAAAGATCGTGTCTACCTGAAGCTGACCATTGGGGATCCCTTTGCCTGCATGGCTTCCATGGCGCTAAAGATCATTGGACCGACGGAAGAGGTGGCCCAACTGCGCCACGTACTTAGCGATGGCCTGGGCAACTGGGACTCTGAGCTGGACATACACAAGAACCTGCTGCGCATCTTTGACCTGTGCTACTTTCCCATGCCGGACTGGTCTGAAGGCGCCAAAAAGGATGAAGAAGAGAACGAGGAGCTGCGCTGCAACATTTGCTTTGTCTATCGTCTGGATAGTGGTGAAGTTCCTCTCGTCTCCTGCGACAATGCCAAGTGTGTGCTCAAGTGCCATGCCGCCTGTTTGGAGGAGTGGTTCCAAACCCTTATGGAGGGCAAGACCTTTCTGGAAGTCTCTTTTGGGCAGTGCCCCTTTTGCAAGGCGGTGAGTTGTCCGAGTCCAATTATAATGTCAAATATCTTTCAATTGTATTTGAATTTATTTAACAGAAGCTGTCCACCTCCTTTGCGGCCCTTTTGAACGACTGAGAAACAGAATTCCATTACAAACCTACATAAATAATAAAACAATCTTTTTATGAGTAACTTATTACAGAGAAGTTTTAGTTTCAAATAATCTTAAATATCAATTAGGTATAATTTACTTTAACTAAAGAACATATATCCATTCATATGTAGATCAATCTTTCGGTCTATATCCAATCTAAAAAGACGACATGTTTTCTGCTCAATGCGGTTAGGTAAAGAATTATACAGGTCCAAGAGGAACCGAATTTTCTTCCCGGCGACGGCAGCAGCGGAGTTGGCAGATGAGCAAACGCTTCACAAAGGGCCAGACTCATTCCATCTCGTCGGAGATCAGACGCAGCATGTTGCGCACGACGTAGGTGCTGCCGTTGATCGGCGTGTTCTCGCTGGCCTTTCCAATTCGCACACTGGATCCTGCCAGGCCAAAGAACACCCGAGGCGCCAGATTGGGCTCCACTGCCTTGAATTCCCAGCCGACGTGCTGGGCGCAAAACTTGCACAGGATGATGTGCCACTGATAGCCGGGGAACCAGCTAAATTTGGTGGATGGCTCACCGCTGTAGCCGATGGCATGGGTCATTACCCGATACACGGTGTTTGTCTCGTGGATGTAGCCCTCTGCAACAAAAATTCTTCTAATTAAAACCATTCACGAAACCGTAGAATTTGTTAGTGACTTTACCTGGATTGCAGTATTGCGTCTGGACTCCGTGTTTCGACATTGCAAACAGATCCGCGCAATGCGCCAAACTGCTGTTGCAATATCGGCAGAAAAAGAGCGACTCCTCATTGAAGGTACTCCTTATTAGCTGAAGACGAGTGTTTACGGAGTCCGTGAGGAAGGTGAGCCGTATCATCTTCTCAGTTAGGTGGAGGTTTCGCACCAGCCAGAAGGATAACTGAATGGGGCATTTTGGCATGGTGTCTATCTTCTGGACCTCTAGTCTTTGGCGTGCCTGTTCCACAATGGCAGCAAAGGAATACTCCTGGCAGGCCTCCGCCGGCCAACAAGTGCTGGCCAGTTGGAACTTGCGATATTTGTCTCCCATGGAGGGCAAGTCTCGAAACCTGGCCATTGAGCCCATGTCAACGGATTGAAGGGGTTCGGGCAGGAAGTACTCCGGCAGTATTTTGACCCTGCTGTAGCACTTGCTAGTGGGATTACGAGCTATGTATTGCGGTGGCCTTAAATGATTCAAAATAATTGTACGAAAAGTAACAGCAGAAAGGCTGATTCTTCACTCACCCTTGAATATCATTGCAGTCGATAACAATGCGCTGTAGTGCTCGGGATTTGTAGAACACCATACCCCGACCGCTTTCACCCATTTCGTAGATCTGGCACGTGACCCCGTACAGTTTGTGTGGGTTGTCCTCCGGTGGCTGCATGAGCGGAAAGCCCACGCCGAAAATCAAACCATCCAGGCCGGGCATATCATCGTCGAACATTCGTCCATCGACCATGAAGGGCAGCACCTCGCCGGGAAATAGGATGTGCTGGTGCAGGAAAATGAGCATGTGATGGGTGCTGCCCACCTCCAAGTAATCCACGCCGGGAACGCGGTTCAAATGGTTTCCGAAATACGAATGCTCTGCCGGTAGGTTCGTATCGAAGCGTACGCCTTCTTCCAGCTCGATGTCGATCTGCGGACGTGGTGGAGGCGGCGGTGGGGGTTCATCCGACTGATCGGTTGTCTCCTGGCTGGTTTCCTCGCTGTTGCGACTCCGTCGACGCTCCTGGCTAAAGACCATGCTGCGTACGCGCTGCAGAAAGTTGTCCCGGTTGAGCAGAGCGGCAATTCCGCCGTCTCGATTGCGAGCCTGCGAGACCATCATTCCGACGGCGGAGCGCAAACGGTTCTGCGGAATCATCCAGCCGGGCAGGCGATCCAGGTCAGAGTCATCTGGGTAAGAGTGTGTTAAAGGTGGACTTTTAAGAAGCTTAGAGGTGAGTAGAAATACCCTCACTGCCTGGACTCTCCAGGGACATATCGCTGCTAGGATGGCTGCCATCGCTGGAGGTGTCATCTGGAAAAACATCCTCCGCCACCTGCAGTGGCCCTAAGATATCCATTTCTACAGACGGTGCTGGCATGTCTTCCATTGGATCGCTATCAGCTGCCAACGGCTCATCCACCGTCTGATGTAGTGGCTCCTGGATCGTGCTGCTCCCTGCATCTTCTTCCTCCCCATGTACAGAATTGATTTCTGCGCAATTTAAGAAGGTCATCATTTAATACGGTATACAATCTTAGTGTTTTAAATTAACAATACGTACCTGAGGTCTCCTCGTCGTCCATTTGAGCCGTTTCGTGTGTGTGCTTGCTTCGTTTTGCAGGTGAATTCAATTTTTATTTATTTACTTTTTTATTTTGACAAAGGAAAATATGATGAGCGATGGGTGTTTTCCGATAGGCATCGATTTCTCTCCTGGACAACCAGTGTTGAGAGCGACATACTATTCAAAATGTAAGGTGACTAAAGCCCGCGCAAAATAAAATCATCACTAATTATTATTTAAAATTTCTCGATCTTAAAAGCGCAGCTTTCAAAAGTTATTAAAAAATTATTTTAAAAATGCACTATTGAAACTAGGCTTGAAATTGTCCAATTAATGTTCGGGCTGTCTGCTTCAACTCTATATTTTTCGTTATTTTATTTATTCAATTTAAATTTCAGTTAAAAAAACAAATCATCGATAGGTATTAATAAAGCATCGATTTTGTAACACCACTAGTTAGAGCGGCTTAATGGGATCCAATCGGAAGCCAATAAGAGAGGATCTGAACAGTTTGGAGCCGAGCTTCGTCATTGGTGGATCCAAGCGGATGTGGAAAGTGAAACTGAGGAAAGTCGTGTTGTGTTATCTTGTAAAGCCGTCTGCATTGTCGATTTTGCATACCAGTTAATCAAAACAGAGCGCAAAAGAGCGAGAGATCGAACGATGATCAATATTAATTCGCGAGTGTTGCTGATCGCATTGCTCTTTGCGATTGTTGGGAAAGTGGCACGCGCCCAAATCGCCTTCGTCGAGGATCAAGACATTGATAAGAAGAAGGCCAACCTTGAGGTAAGCTGCAGTCGGAAAAAACCGATTAGTCGTTTCGAGTTTTGGGCTTTGATAAGAATACCCGGGACGGGGGAAGAAAGCCAGTTGGAACTGGGCAAAGCCAGGCACAGAATACTCTTCCCAATTAGACTGGTCCCCAGAGAAACAAAACAAAAAACTAAATCATTTTATTGGCTTAAAACGCGGCTGCAGTACTCGAATAGAATACAATATCTACATATTTACTTCTGTATAATTAACGATTTCCGAGTTAATACCAAGAAAACTTTTCCCAGCCAAGCGATTAAGATTTGGACACAAAAAACCCGTTTAATTTATTTATGCGAAAACACGTAATTACAGAGAAATTCGAATTACAATTTACATAAAAAAAAAGGAATATAAAAATAATAAAACAAAGATTAAAATCTTTTTATCTCTAAACTGTAAAAAAGTGTTGGCTCAAAAAGTAATAAAAATAAGAGGGTCTTCATCATCAGGTAAATTATGCTTCGACTTCTTGGTAGGGTATTGTAAACAGATTGGCAATAATCAATCAGAAATCTCCCTCAACCGTCTCCCGGTTTTTTATCTCTTTTCCAGGGTCGCAAGCCGCTTTATTCCCCAGCCCGATGCCCCAAGCACCAGCTTCTTTATCCGGGGGACCAGCAGAAGCAAAACGACTGGGTCTGCGACTGCGCGCCAGGTGAGCAGGCATAATGGAGCTACCGCGGCGATGACATAATAATCTGGGTACCGGGTACTTCCCGATTCGACAGCCACTCTGTATTACCCAGAGACCGATGCCTGCTATCCGGCCTACCGACAGGGACCCTGTGAACCGGGACAAATGCTAGTGCTCTACAAGGAGCAAGTGATCCCGGAGTGCGTGCGCAATCCCTGTAACCGAGATGGGCTTTTTATGATTCGCGATACTTGCTACGAATTCGGTAACACCAAGCACGATGGTAATCCGTGTCCTTACAAGGAGGCAACCTTTGTCCTGGGCGTTAATCCCACCAACTTGATGGTGGATTGTGTCAAGCTGTCTGTGCAACTCGAGACACGCTTCTCGGAGATCTCGGAGAAGGCTCCGCCGGAATACTACGTCGAGCTGGCCGAAAAGTGCGCCCGTGGCAGTCGCCTTTTGGCCCAAGGAAAGTGTGCCTAAAAGTTCATAACAAAAGATTTTAAATGGATAACAAATATGTGTTTAATGTATTGTGTTGTACGGTGCTGTATATCCCAGTGAAGAATTTCCAATTTGTTCAACGTTTACAGAATGTTTTTTGGATGACATTTTTATAAAGACCAATTCACAAATTAATTCATTTTGTATTTCAATAAGTTTAATGCGAATCAGTGCTAAAACTACTCGTTGAATAATGGATGTAACCTTAAACAAAAGGCATCTCATTTCACAGGGGATTCCATTGAAAGAGATATTTTTACTTAACCAAAGCCAACAATAATAATGCTTTTGCATTACCAAAAATTAGGATTTGGCTTTCCTTCGGCTCTTCGTTGGAGTGGCAGCAGGTTCGGGACTTTCCTCTTCGATTATCTCGTCCGCTTCAGCGTCATCTTCTTCCGGCAGCGTGACTCCGTCCTCCAGATTCTGTTCGTCGTTGGCAGTCTCAAGCTTAAGCAAAGCATTCTCCAGCGAGGCAAGGAAGGAGCTCTCTGCGTACTCCGGCCATTGACGAAACTGACTGAAGAGTGTCAGCGCTTGGCTAGGCTGAAGATCTCCGAACTGGGTGTAGATGTTAATGCCTGGATAGTAGTTCCTGGTGTTCATTGAGGTGCTCTGACAGGAATACTGTGGCAGTTTCTTGGGCGACTCATCAGGGTAGGTAGGCGTCACGCGCTCTGAGGCATGAGGATTGATGATCAGTCGAGGTCCGCAGCCGGGGGCCCATTTTCTGCTCAAAGAACATGGTTGAATAAAAACAAAGGAAGTTTGTTCTGGCTACGTACTCTAAATTGGGTATTATTCGATTGCGGCGGCTCACAAAGTTTTGCTTTATAAAGAACCAAAGGGCGGGAAGATCATGAGGCTGGCACAGCTCGTGGAGATTGCGACGAGGGGAAAACTTAACCAGGTACAGATACTCCGGATTAATGGAGCGCACCTTTCCTAGCTTGCTGCCTTTGGTAGGACTGTAGTCGGACTGCTGCGGCAGAAAATCCTCACGTGGAACTTTGGCTATAAACTTGTGCTCGAAGAGTATTTGGAACAGCACGCTGGTCGATCGGTAGATGAGGTAACCAATCTCATTGTTGCAGGTGAGGTGCTACAAGAGATAAAATGAAATAAAATTATTTTATAAAGGAAACCCATAAATATTTACTATGTAAATGGGCGGCGGCATGGCGAGGATCATCTCACAACGTCCCCAATTGAATAGGCTGGTCTGGAAGATGAGAGAGTTGATCAAATGCTTGAAGAACGGGTACGACCCCACGGCTCCGAAGACAAGCATATTGATATCTAAGGGAAAGTGGTTAGGGATTACTCATATGGATATATTCAACACCATATTAGCTCACCATCCTTGAAAGCTTTTTGGGGCACATCATTAAGCAGATCCGCCACCCTAGAACCTCCGTCCATTTTGTCCATGTACACCAACTTCCAGAGGTTCACAAAATCCCCTTGGCGGACTTTCACGCGCTCCGGATATAGCGCATGCAGCTCCTGGAGTCTAGGCATAAAGTGATCCATGCTCTCCAGCAGAATGATTTTCCGAAACTGGGATTCTCTGTCTAGCAGATGGCGGGTAAAGTGCCCCGCTCCGGAGTTCAATTCCATTACAGTATCACAACCAGAGCTCTGAAAGTGGGGCTCTAAGTGCTGGCCAATCCTTTGGGCAGCTTCTGCATTCGCCAAATACATGTGAGTGGGCACCTTTTGCTTCCGGCTGAGCAGCTTCTCCGGGAATTCGCTACTGTAGCGGGACACCAGTTCCCTTCTGGCCTTGGTGCCATAGTTGGCCCTGGCCAGGGACCAACTAAATCGCATGGGCAGCATTTCTTAGGACGATTAAAAAACCAAATCGAAATCAAAGTTAACTTTTCGTTTGTTTACAAGCAACAGTTGAGCGTGTGCTTTACAATACTGATCCATAAGCGGGTAATCAGCTGTTTGAAAAACAAACCACAGCTGGCACGGCTTTGTGACCTTATACAACACTTTTTTGGTTATGTTTACGAGGAACGTTTTTTTCGGTTCCCTCGGCTTCACGTGAATTTCAAGTAACTTCAATAAAACATATATTCATTTCGGAATGGGTCAGGTGGTTACTATGGTGGCCCGCCGGGTGAATCGCTTCAACGTCGAGAATCGCGCACATCGCTTCTTGGAACGCGAGAAACCATCACCGGCACCCAAATTCGATTCCAATTTGAGGGACATGGAGCGCACCTTGGAATGTGAGCTATTGAAGTGCATTGGGGTCTACATAAATATGTTAATATCGGTTTTACTCCCACAGTGGATCCCAAGTTTGTTGACAAGCTAAACGTAAAGGACTCCAGCTTGGATGGACGATTGAAAGACGTTTATGTAACCTCGCAGGATCGATTTGTGGGTTAAGAGTTTGGGAAACTTTTTGGACAAGTACTGATTTGTGCTTTCTACACAATTGTTAGATAAAGCGAGTTCAGGAGCGCCGGGCAGCGGAGGCGGCGGCGGACAAGTCTGAGCAGCGACCTCTTCCACTGGAACGCAAAACTCCGGATGACTTCGAATTCGGCTATATGGAGCCCCCGCGGATCACTCCGGGACACTGCACACTTCGCCAGGCGCTTAAATTCATAAACGACCATCAGTTGGATCCGGAGGCGTGGCCAGCTAAGAAGATAGCCAATGAATACAAAATGAAGGAGCCACTTGTTGGTAAGAAAGGAGAATGGTGCGATTTATGAACAGTCAGACTAACTTGTTCCCTTTCAGAAAACATCTTGCACTACTTTAAAACCTTTAATATGTATATACCCGATCAGAAGTATAAGGATACGTTGTTAACCCAAGCCACAAAGCCTCTGCTTCAAGTGAAATCCAACCCTGAGGGCAAACCGTAAATAAATAGCAATTGTTTTTGTTTTAAACCTACACTGTATTGTACGAAATGCGAATCACACAATGGCATTGGGCGGACAGTAGTATATGTTCAGTGACTTGTCCTCAGAGGCGGAGGCCACCTTGTCGTTGCCTGGACTGTAGCGAACACCCCAGACTTGATCCGTGTGCTCGGCGAATGTGTGCAGACACTTGCGTTCCGAGGTGTCCCATACTTTGACGCTGCGATCGCTGGAGGAGCTGGCGAAGTGCTTGCCGTCCTCGGAAAAGGAAACGCACAGCACCCAAGAGGCATGACCGGAAAGGGTGCCTACGACATCAGAATGGGCTCTGTAAAAAAAAGGGAAAGCTATAACAATGATTGTAGGGTAGAAGTATAAAGAAACATACACATCGTAAAGCTTCATATGACCATCATCAGACCCGGTGAGTAGCATCTGGGAATTGGGTGAGAAGCAAAGGCTGCGAACGGGCATGGCATGACCCTCTAGAGTTTGAACCACCTTGCCCGCTGCCACATCGAAAATGGTGATGATTCCGTCGATAGCTCCACTGGCTATGTACTTTCCATCTGGACTCTGTAATAATGTTAAATAAGGTATAATTATGTAGAGCTTTAATAGGATAATATTTACATAGGCAATACTCAGTGTGTATTTGCCATTCTGTGCATCTAGTGTCTGTTCTGCCTTTCCCGTTTCCACACTGTACATCGAGATTTTGCCATCATTTAAACCAGATATCACGTATTTGTTGCAGGGCGAGAATCCCACTGTCCAGAGATCAACGGGTCCGAAGGTAAGCAGGTGTTTTTTCTCTCCCGACCGGGCATCCCATAGGCACATACTGGAATCTAATGAACTGCTGGCAATGGCTAAAAGAAAGTAATGTAAGAGGGGAATTTTGTAAATATTGGAAACTTAACAAAGATGATTCCTTTATCTTACTTTGTCCATCGGAGCTAACGGCCACGGAAACGACTCCAAGAGCATGTCCCTTAAGCTTGTGGCGCAGTTTTAAGGTATTGTCTTCCCGCAAGTCCCACACCTTCACCAGGTCGTCCAATCCACCAGTGACTATGAAATCCTTTGGCTTGGCTTCCTTCTTGTCGAAGTCGAAGGGATTCTCCTCCTCCGGTTCCGTGGCAGCATCATCTGGATCCGGATCAGCGGTATCGCGGCCCCAAGTGCAGGCCCACAGCGCGTTGTCGTGCGCGTTTTCCTCTTTATGCAGTAGCGAAAACTTTGGAGAAGCAGAGGGTTTTAAAATTCCACAATATCTTTTTTATTTACATTTACTTACCATTCTTAAAAAGCCGGAAAATATTTATGGGGAATGAGCACTCAAAAGCGATGGGAGAACTATCGATACAATTCGTGAACTCAGAATCAGTGTTGGAAAAAGTTTACAGTGGGCACCAAAAGAAAAAGCAAGTTAAACACAGTGCATGATAGTAATTAAAACTATTACTTTAGTTAGTTAAAATATACAATTTTAAATACAAATATTATTAATATAACAGGGTTAACTTTAAATAGGTATTAATTAATTTTTTTTAATAATTTAGTATATTTGTCCCTGGCAAACCCAACACCCGGCGTGGTCACACTGACAGTATGTTGCGACTCTCTACAGGCGGTCACATTGTTTCTACCCGTCGAAACCCGAGGAACGAACGTCGCGTTTTAAAAAACAAATCATCAAACGACTCGGACGCGAAATCTAAGCGACTAGCGAAAAAAGTGTAAGTGAACGAGCGGTGCAATCTAGTTGGCCCACAGTGCAACGGTGCCCGGATCCACCAGTGCGGTTATATAATGCGGATATAGTGCATAGGACCCGCTGCCGATACCAAAAACAAAGAAAACGGACCAACGCGTGTTCTGTTTTCAGTTGGGTTCTCTTTCTTTTTTTTCGTCGCCGTGAATCGAATACGTATTTTCTCTATGGATCCGCGTGTCTGGAATATATTAATAAACGTTCACAGTGAAGCCTCGTGTGCGTGTGTGTCCGTGGGGGCGGGTGTGTGTGCGAGTGTGTGTGCTTGTGCAGCATAATGTTTATCTCCCATATCAAATCTTTCATCAAAACCGAAAAGCGAATGATTCATTTTTATGGCAGCAGGACTCGCCTATTTGTGCACTAAACCGAAATAAATAAAGAAATACATATATGTATGCTGCACTTTCCATGTGTTTTTCGTGGTGTGTTTGTTTTATTGATTCCCACTTCCCCCTTCCTTAATTTCCACCCAGTTTCTTCCCTCTTCCTCTTTGAAAGACATCTATATATTCGCGCCTGCCCCCACAACTTCGTTTCCGATTTGGTGTAAACAATAACGGCAACCGGTTTTCGCGTGCAACTTTATCTCTCTAATTTTGCCTTTCCTCTTATTCTTTTTCTCTTCCTCTTCTTTTTGTTTTCGATTATAATCGCAATTTGCCGTTTTCAAAATGATATATGCAAACCCCTTCGAATAAATCAAACAGTTCCAGTTGAATCTGTAAATTATCAAGGTGAGTCTCAAGCCGGTGATCGATAATAGGGTATAATAACGCCAAGAGATTTGCATGTTTATGTAATCGTATCTGAGTTGTATGTAAATTTAAGCACACATGCCAAAATCAGAATGTGTAGAGATTGTATCTATAGCTCAGAACAAAATGTTATATGTATCTTACACATTCGTTCCCAAATCCTACTGCTCTGCTCCATTTGGAACTATTGTGTATATTCGCTCAGTCATCGTTGTTGCTCTTAGCCTTCGCACTAATGTGACTGGAGGATAAGAATAAATGTTTGCCCTTAAGAGGTGCTAGAGCAGCGCCCAAACAAAAAAAGAATGGAAAAACTAGACCATAAACATAAATGCATTTCACAGCTGCCATTAGTGCACAACTTTTCACAATCGGTTAGAAAAACCAGCGCAAAAACCGAGTACGACAAAATGGAAATCCAGGGCAGGCGCAAAAAGAAAATGAAACAGTGGCAACTGCGGAAAAAGCCAAAGCCCATGCGAAATGCACTCGGAAAATGGATGAAAAACAAAACAAAGTTATTAGTTGAGGTGGGAAAATGCGGTGCTGTGATCGGGGGAAATGCGAAGTCAAGTGTGGAAAAGCGCTCGCTGGGAAAAGCGTGACAAAGTCAAAAGCAAGGGGCGAAATTGGAGCAATTTGAGACTGTGTGATATGACATCATTGTAGGGGGCGTGTCCGGGGGCGGGAAAGCACGACAATGACAAGTGTTGAAGTTTCTCAAAAAAAAATATATGAGAAAAATATTGTCAAGCCAGCGAAAAGCGGTCGCAAAGATTTGAGGCATCAGCCTTGACATTATTTCAAAGAAATGCTGCAAATTACAAGAAAGCTTAGTTTAAATATAAATAAAATGGGAAAGTGTTACATTAGACTTTTTTCGAAAAGAAAAATGTTAAAAAGACTTATATTTGTGAAAATAAATCCTTAAAAAAAAGCTTGCAACTTTTATAAATGTTGGCGCCCTTAAAGGGAAAATAATCCCAAGAAGCTCGATGGAAATTACCATGCGATTCGCGATCACGAACATCCTCTGATAACAATATCGCTCGAATAATCGCCATTCGTTGAACTCGTCGGTATATTCATAGGAGCATTGACTTCCAAGATCGCGTTCTGCTGTCGAGGCAATTTTCTTTACACCAATCATCAAGGCAACCAAGACGATGGCGTCAAGTCATGACATTGCACTGGCGAAAGCACAAGAACAATGGAAAAGCACTCTTTGGATTCTAGTAGAAAGCAAATGCCGCCCTAAACTTTTTGCTTCACTGCATGAATATTTCTCGCCCGATCGCATGGTCGAAAGAGTATTTAAATCCAAAGATAAGATAGTGCTATTTTTAAAGAAAATGCTCATAATAATGGAGTTCTTTTACCATTTCCGAAGGCCGGAATGTTATTTTAAGCCTCAGCCTAGAGAAGCACCCAATTTGGACTCTAATTGAGGCCTCGTTTTTAGGGGGCACGTGTAAAGTGCGACATTTGTTATGTGTGTGCATTTGTGTGAAATATTTTCATTAGTATTTTTGCTTTGGGGCCCTATTTATGGACCATAGTTCTCAAGAGGCGTTAATGGCGTTTGGCTTGCTGGTAATAGCAATGGTCATTAGCATATGTTGGCATAGTGTAAATGTTAATGGGTTCCCCTTCTAACAAATATGCGGGATCCAAAAAGTATATATTATCTTTGTTGTTAGTTAGGTTCTGTAAGTTACTAATTTATCTCAGTTTTCAGTCATAAAATGAAAGTTTAATTATATTATTAATCTAAATACAGCTTTACTTGGAAAGTCTGTCTAAAATAATTGTCGTCCCTTTAGAACACACCCATCTTTAAACCCCTACGCGTCACTTAATCTAACTGCAACGCAGTTGACCTTTGTTAGTAGAATGCCATAAACTGCATTTTTATGACCGCAATGTGTTAAACAATTGCAAGTGAAAAGGGCAAAGAATGCAGGGTCTTCCTTATTGGAGAAGCACTTGAAAAACCATTAAACATTACTCCCTCTGGACACGAAACCCGAGAAGCTCCCCTCTTTGCCTGTCTGCCCCATTAACCCATAAACTGGAAATTGATATCGTTCAATGTGAACGTTGTTGTGGCACTGATAAAATATCAGCAGAATTAGATAAAGTTGCGGCCAAGGACAAGCTACTTTTACACTTACTTTTACTTCTATTTTAGTTATAACAACAAAGCTGTTTTAGAGTCGAAGAGAGCGCGTAAAATTGTTTATCTTTTGCAGAAGGCAGAGTTCAGCATTCGGCTTTTCCTCGCCATAACGATTTCTTTTTTGGCATTCGCTGTTTGTGTTTTTTTTTCTTGGTTTGTCGGCCTTTCACGTGATAGGCTTTTGTGTGTTTATTAATCGCATTTTTATCGCCACTTTAATAACATATGCCGCGCTGTTTGGGAAAATGGGTTTGGTCGGTTGCAGATGGGGAGTTTTTGGGCGTCAATTAGCTGTCGGCTGGGCCAGGCACTTTCACAATTTATCAAAAATACACCATCAAAGTGTCCACTGTTCGTTTTCAATTTGATACTTTTTGTTGTCTGCGCTTTTCTTCAACCACTTCTTTTTTTGTCTGGAGGGAGGAGTTTCATTATTAATTAAAAACCTGACAGACATAGCCGTCATCACGGTGACCATGACCCAAGTGGGTGAGCTCCTTTGTTGCGATGTGTTGCTTTGTTACTTGTGCATTTTCACATTGCAAAAAGTTCGCTGCTCCGGTGAATAAGAACTCGCTTGTCTATAATTCAGTTGAGACACAACTACAACATGCTACTCTTGTTACGCCCGCCTTTGTGCCGGTGTTTGGGTTTTTAATTCGAGCCTCGATTTTCCAGTTTTTAGCCAGTGAGGCATTAACTTTGCTCATTTACCCACTCAGTTTATTCACTCAGCCACTCACCCGTTCGTTTCATTCATCCAGCCATCCGTCTATCGTTTAATCAGCCCTTTTGCCTTCTAGACCAAGTTTAGGAGCCGGTTTGCGATTTTCGAGCTCTTAATATGATTAAGTTTTTACGCTTCGACAGCTTCTAGCATGGCTCACTCACCTTCTCGTTTTACCTATACAAACTTACATTTCCATGGTTTTGCTGTAAGCACATGTGTATACAAAAGTTGCGCTATATTTCCAACCACAAGTTTTTCAATTTCCCAGGAAGTTTACCTTGGAGTGAGACAAAAACTGGAGATTATCCCGAAGCAATATAACTCCCTGTTGGTGGGAGGGTTGCTCAAATTTCGTGCTCTAATTCAGGGCAATTTTGATGAGGTCATGCTTGAATAATATTGATAAGTTTCTTGTTGGTATCTATTCTATATTCTATATTTTATTCCATAGTTATAATGCCACTTTTATATAGAGTTTATACTTTGTTTACTGAGCAATAAGAACGAATAAATCCAAAAATATGATTTGAACCCCCTTCATTTTTATTGTAAAACCTGCAAGTGCTTTATTGACTAAACACTTTTCGCGATTTATTGATTTGAATCTCCATGCAAACACCCCATCCGAGTGGCTTGCCATTTCTCAATTGGAGGCATCCAAACAAATTGCATTTGCATGCTCGATAACCCGGAGTCAAAGCGAAGGCCAATTAATGGCAGTGAACAAAACATTGGCTCCTCAATGCAAATGCAAAGTGCTGACAGGCGACAATGTTTGATCGGAACGAGGTTCGTCGAATCGGCCAGTAAACATAAACAGATTTTCTAAATGGAGCTCATTTCATTGGCACTCTCTGAAATTCGACAGTGACCGGATGTGCCATCGTCCAAATCAAGAGCGGGAATGTTCTAGGAAACACTCGTTGTTTACAGATACAATTGTATCCATATACTTGTGCACTTTTAAAGTAAAATATTGGTGGTAGTTTGGATCCCACCTCATGATTCACCTTCCTTAATTATGCACAACCGTCAGAGATCGAAAGATGACGTATTTTAGCCATGACTGGGAACAAAACGAAGACAATCAAGATATATATTTTACCACTTAGAAAAAATATCTTATACTTTATTCAAATAAATGATTATTCGTTTGGCAGGTGGTTGTTAAATCGTTAAAATTCTTTTATTATATTTCGATTTTCGTATTAGTTTGTTTAGACAAGTGTTTATTATGATCAATTAAATCAATAATTATTCCTTTTTCGTTTTCAGTGAACTAAAACGATAAGCTAACAAATCACATATTTCGCCTTCCCTCCACAAATGTTTTCGGCCAGCAAAATTGCTTGTTAAGGTGAGTGGTTCATAATATATAATTATATATTAAATTCATCTACGTATTAGTGAAGATTGGCATATGTCAGTGACTAAGAACGCCACACTTAATGACTGATAATTGCTGTTGGACAAGAATTGCCTTCGTTTTCGGCTATAACCATTTCAGTGCGATTTACTTTTCGAGATTAGATAAGGATACACGGTCTTATCGGCTCTCTATGCAACTTTAGGAAAGAGATTTGAATTCCACGGAACATGCAGCGAAAACGATTGGATGGTATTCATATTGGCTGCTATTATTCATTGATCAAAGTTATTATTGGCCAACACTTTTCAACGTCAAGTGCACCTGGATATTTTAAGTTGTGCCCACCTGCACTCGACTATCAATATTGCTTAGCCAGCTCGACAGTCTCATAAGCCTGCCTCATGCATTTTTAATTGGCAAACGCTCCTTGACACCCAATGAAAAGTCGTCTTTTATTGGGCGATGGCCAACTTGAAAAGGCCAAAGTTTATTGGGCCAATAATACAATCGAGCTGGGGGAATCGACAATCGGCGAGAATCGAGATTCGAAATCGAAACCCGGCAAGAACTATTTTTAATTATCTCGCAGCATTTGGCTTTGACAGTTTCAGTTTCAATTTCTGGCTGCATTTTTCATCTATTTAAATTGATTGGGGCACCACACAGAGCCCACCCACTTTGGGTGTTTCGGGGTAGAAAGAAGAATTCCTAACAAGAAATGAAAATCTAAACATCTCTTAACAGACTCGATAAACACGAGCCGAAAAATAATGAAAGAGGAAAACTTTCATCAGTGGAAAATTTGTGTAAAATTTATTCTACTCGCAACTGTTGCCCCTTTCTTCTTTCGTTTTTTGCGGCGGCTGCTAATTTTAGCGTGAAGAAAGCTGATTGCATGGGGCATTTGTATTTCGGCTCTTCAATTGCCATTTCATTTATATTTTTAATTACGCAGAGCAATCTAGAGAGAGTTCTCCCTCGCCCGATCTCTCTTTCCACAGCGGTTTTGTGGCTCTTTTATGTGCAATTAGTTTTACAATTTGTCACAAAAAACAAAAAACTATTTTTGTGTTTTCACATATCATTTTGTAGTTAAATTTTAATTTTAGTTGCTGCTGCTGGGCTTTTGTAATTAGCTTTTGTGGTGGGTTTATTGAACTGTAGGCTGAGCTCTCCAATAATAATAAAAAAGAAACAAACATACCCACAAATTGCGACTCACATCGGGCATGTTTATGCGTTTCGAGCTATTTACGGCCAAAGGTCCCGGCCACAAAAAATATTGATGTTTCCATAGACATGCCCAGTTCATTGCCATATGGTGGAAATTCTATGGTTCAGGTAGCCCTGTGTTTGCCCCACTCCATTATGTTTGTGCTTGAGGCAAACTGGTTTTTTGATCTAATAACACCCACAGTCCGGCGATTATTTTGTCTAATGTTTTGGACTGGGTTTGTGACCGCAGCAATTTAAAATCAATTTTTGATGGCAAATTATAATGATTAAGAACACGGGCGAGGTTAGTACAGATTTCATATAGAAAGAACAGTTGCACAAACAATTTCGTTTGCAATTTTAGCGACAACACAAATTAAACATAACACCTTCGTTGCTGTTTGCCGTTTTCCTCTAAATACCAAAGCAATTAATTTCCAAACAATGTTAAACAAACAAATCTATTATCACCTGCTCAAAAAACAAGGCGAGTGCGATTCAGCGAATACCATTTCCTTATCGCGAACATGTGTATTTTAATTTAATGATCGGCGCCTATTACAAATATACGTTTAGGGGTTCCTAATAGGGGTTCCTTATAAGGCCTGCGGTTCGTCCATTCTCATTAGTGCTCTATTGAAATCGAGCGGCGCTGATAACAATTTGCGATTGGAAATCGACCTGTAGAAGGTGTTGATGCGATAAGCACGTTCGCCTTTGAAACGGCCAAACCTTGACCAACTAAATTGGGGCTAATGAATCAGCTGATTGATCACGAATCGACTCTCCGACTCTCGATCCATATAAGGTATTCGAGTCGATTTCGAAAGGTATTTTCTTTTGCGCCGCCGCCACCGCCGCAGCCGTTGCTTCGTTTTTCCAATCGGCAAACGCAAATCCAATTATCAATCGGATCAATTGGAAAGTCGGGGCCAGGCAACCGCAGTCCAATAAACGGGGCGTGTCAATGCAATTAAGGATGGCAGAAGGGCGGATCGATTTGGGTTCCGTTAAGGAAAGTAAACCCCGGAGCAGAATGCACCGAGCAAAAAGAATGATCGTTACTTCAAGGAGAAATTAATTGATCAATAAATTATGACATATATGGTAAAAGCAATAAATCGGTTAATCAGAGGGAAAACTTAATTTTTGTAATTTTAAAGAACTCTTTTTGGAGCTCCTAAGTTCCACTTTTTCGATGTGTATAATGCTCCCCGAGAGCTAGCATTCCCCATCTTTGGATGCTTCGCTGCCTCGTGTTGGGCCTAGGAAACAAGTTTCTCCCTCTCCCTCTCTCTCTTTGGGGAACCTACCATACCCGTCTCTTTCCGCGTTTCTGGTTGCGCATGAATCATTTTTTGTTTTGGTCGGACTCTGCTTTGCCCGGTGCTTTGTCTTTTCGAAAGGTAACTAAACTATGTACACACACCGAAGTACAGTTAAAGGGCACTCGACGGATCCAGGGGCGGGGATCGGAGAAATTGAGTTTATGACGTTTGCACTTAACCCCCAGTGGAAAACATGGCACAGTTATCATTCGTTAGCTTTCTGCCCAGCAGCAGCGGAAGTTTGTCGGTCGAGCGTGAATCGATCCACGCAGCCCGCTCGCTCGCCATTCGTCACTAATTCATTCATTCGTTCGCCCAATCACTCAATCACTCAGTCAGTCAGTCAGTCAATGGAATTGGTGTTTTAGTATGGTTTTTATTTTGCTGCTTGATTGCATTGCCAGCGGATATTGGCAATGCAACTGGAAGAACAAGGCCCGCTAAATCCTTGGGGATTGAGAAATACCAATTATTATCAGTAATTCCGTTCTGTTTTTGTTTAAGAATTCCTTTACAACCAATTAAAGTCATGCCACCATAGGAATCGGATTAAAATTGACAACCTTTTTTTTGGGAATTCTATTATAAACGTTTAAATGTGCCACATTAAAATCAGATATGAATTGGAAAAGTTGCGGGTTTTGGAAGAACTTATATCCACTTATTTTATAAGAAATAATCTAAAATAATCTTCTTAAATAAACTTTTAAAGTTAAAGAAACAAAACAACTTTTTTGCCTGTATTTACTTTTGTTTCACTTTTTAATGGCTTAGCAAAAGTGTTTTTAAAAAATTTAATAATCAAAAGCGAAAGAGAACTGAAAATGTGAAACCGTCACTGGTTCACGGTCAACTCGTGCGCCTAATGACAGCCGACGATTTACAGGCCGCATAATTACGGCAGAAAACTCAGCAAAGGCAAAGGCAGCAACAAAAGTAACCACTGCAAACATTCGTTTACATTCTGTAGAGTCATGGAATCTGGTCAATGAATCGGACTAAAATGCTCTTCATGGCAAAAACACGAGAGAAAAAAACCGAAATTGCCCAGAGCACGCCAACACACACTCCACGATAACTAAGAAGTCTGCACACGCGATGGCAAATCTTGTATGGAATACAATAAATGCCACGCCCACGCCCGAACAAGGCTTATTATGGCCACATTTATTGACCACAAAGTAGCAGCAAGACAGACCGACAAAAAACGGTCGAAAACCAGCACAATTCATGGACCAATGTGGGCAGGTGTCTTGGCTCTCAGTGTCTCAGTGTTTCAGTGCGTGGGTGGCTGGTAAGCGCCAAAAGCTAACCATTATTAACAGTTTATTAAAAACAACTCAAGTGGCCAAGGTAAATAAAAAGCAAGCAGATCAAGCTAAGCTGAAGCACGTGCTGCTCCAATGTGGGCCAAAAAAAGAGCGCAGCGAAAAGTAAAATTTTTAATGGTAATAAAAAAGTAATCAGTTTAATGTGGAACGCGATTATAAATACTTTATAATATATTTATAAGGAAAATTAAAACAGTATTAAATATTTCATCGTGAAAGCAAAATATATGGCTCATTATTTAAACATCTAAGCCTCGTATATCTTTTACAGAAAACTGGATACTTTGAACACCATGTCGTATGAGTAATATTGATAAACTTAGGCTTGTAATTGTAGCAGTATATCTATATATGTAAATAAGGTATTGTCCACTATTTTGGCAACAGTTTAGCCACCAAGCCACTTTTCCTTAACCTTCCTAGCTAACTTGCAACATTGTACATCGTGTCGTATGAGTAATGCGAGGCATTTAGAAAGCGAAACTTCGCCACTACAAAGAGCAGCATTCCTGAGTAAATTGCAAATGCTAAGTGAGAGCGGCCACATCTAACAAGATTCTTTACGCACACACTCACATTCCCAAGAGGAACGAGAGATAGATATTTATCGATTTCGGTTTCATGCTTAACTTGTTGCTCTCGGCCTCGCAAATCAATAACGCAATTTAACTCTCAAACGATTAAATTTAAATAAAAACGTTTTCATGGAAGCCAATTTGATTAAGTGGAAAAGCGCTCATCAGTCTGTCAGTGTGCCGCTCCATCATTCTGCCAAGACACAGAACTTTCCTCAATATTTCATGTAACCAGAAGTTCACTGACTTTGGTTGTTCAACGTAAAAAAAAATGAATGTTTGACCCAAAAAAAGAAACTCGGAAAATGTGCGTTGATGCGCAGTGGAAATGATGCGGACTGTCAACGGAATATATATATATTATGGTAACAATAACCACACAAAACATAATGCTACACAGAAAGATAAAATGGTGAGTGTTGTAGCTGTAGTATATTTAGCTTTTTGTTTTAGTTCTCTCAATTATAATTATTCAGTGGGGTTTTGGGAACAACATAAAAATTAAACAAGTCTGGTTGATCCCCTCTTTTTGATTTGAT